ATAAGGATAAGTGGGAGGAACAAAAGGGGGTCCGGGACCACGCCCTTTTGGGCGACGCCCTTTTCCCGAAAGAAGCATATTATTCTGTAGGAAACACCCCTTGTCTCCCAAGAACCGTCACTTGATATTCCGTCAGCATTGAACCTAATTGCCTGAAACTTAATTTCAGAGTTTTTAAATTAGAAATCTTACGTGTCTAAAAATCATATATAGCCAAGATCTATAACCAAGTACTTCTAGTAAAAACTTTCAAAAGCTACAATGTCACGAAATCCAATAAAAAGATCTGTTCAAGATACAAATACCTTACAACTGTTTTCAAGGGGATTCAAAGTTCTAATCAATAAAGCAAGTTTTCAGCTGTTTAATATTATGGACAATGTTCCTCGATTTGATTGCAAATTATTTTTGAAGAGTTGAAAAGTTAATTTTGTTGGAAATATCTCTCTCGCTGCTTATTAAAGGAAGATTTTCTAGCATTGTAGACAATATCAAGAAACAAAGTACGATAATCTACAAAGTTACTGACCAGGTGATAATTGTACATGGAAAATAACGTTATGGCTTCACACCGTAATCAGCTTCTGACGATCCAGATAACGTGCATATCCCCCGAAGTTTACTCATCGGATTTTCAAGGATCTCAAGGACCAACTTTCTGAAAACGTGGGGGGAATAGCCCCCCCCCCCCCATTCCCCACCCGTGGCTCCGCCAATGGCGGATCATATCACAGACTAACGGAGGTAAAACGTTTCTTTGGAGGGAGGAGGGACTAGACATGCTAAAAATCACGAACAGGTGCAATTTTGTCGCATTTCAGGCTCTATTCAGGCAATTCTATCTCAATAGACAAATAACATGCGAACAAGGGCCATGCAAAGTGCCTCTAAACATTAAACACCAGCAAACGCCCATGGTGACTGATGGCTTTGTGGAAGCTGTTGTTAATGGCCATACCTTGCTTTGGGAAATCTTTACAGATTGAAATAAAATCAATTATGTCCATATTCAGTTGTCAAATAGCAAGCACATGATATTCGTATAGAAAAATTTACATTACATTAATGCAACCAGAGGTACTTTGATTTTCCCTGATTTAAATTAGATGCTGCAATATTCAGGGGCATCGTGGCATCAACCATTCGAAAAGAATACACAATAAACCCTATTTGGCAGTACTCCTAAGATAGTAGTCTTTGATTCTCGCAATATAACTTGTATATTGCGCAATATAAGGTATCTTGCATCTCAACTGCGTGCAGGCAAAAGTTCAAGTGGGTAAGCTTATCTAGACAAGGGCAAGGGAGGTTGCCAGTCATGTGATAACATTCCTGTACCCCTATTTTCTAAAGGCAACATCGGAGGGGAGACCATACGGGGCAACATATCCACCTTTTAACATCGTTGGTAACCAAATACATTTAAAGTCATAACAAAATAGGGATGGACACAAACACAAAATGTTGAAAAAAGTGAGATGAAAAAACAAATTTGCTAAAAATTCTTTCTTTCTTTCTATTTTATCTAGAACCCAAAATATCGCAGATTTTAAGTCACTATATTCAAGTTCTATTCCTTAAACTTGGTCTCTCCACTTAAGTAAAAATGGCCCCAATATGCAGCCTAGTCAACCGAAGTTTAACGTTACAAAGATCTTTGTGTTGAAAATTCTAAATTTTTTGGAAGGAGTTCTCTGATGCATTCCTTGAAAACCTTGCATGAAAGATTAAGATTAAGGCTGACAAGATAATTTTTATGCGAGCATTTTTTAGCTTCTCGACTAGGGTGTCCTTATAAAATTCATTAAATTGTCAAAATTATTCAATCTTATAGATCTCTTTTTCATGAAATTTTTCTATCAATGCCACTTTAATGTGATCAGGGAGGGGCCAATTATTTCATTTTTCATTAGCAAGCAAAAGAAAACCACATTTATTATTTCACAAGAAAATATAACAAATATGATTAGTGTGTCAATAAAGCTATGATGAGAATCCCAATTAACTGAAATACAAAGGCCTCCAAATCAATATTGTCTTAATATGATTTTGCAAAGCTGTGACGCAAAACGTAGTTATTTCTAGAAAAATTTCGTAGTTAAGCATTAGTTATAAAGAAGACCTGTCATATGTGTTGGAACTTTGCATGCTCACTCCAAAATAAACTGCCATTCAAAGAAACAAATATAGGTGCATGCATGGTAGCAAGAATCGACAAACTGAAGCCTTGGCAGAATTTATGTTACAAACGAATTGCCATCAAGCCTTTTCTTTTGCTCCTGGGGGTGCATAGTAAGTAAGTTGTGATCTGTCTTTAAATTCATTTGTTAAGCCTTGGCCAAATGGCATAATACAGGGGCTTGGCCCCTCCGGCCCCCTGTGGCGTGAGCCCTGTAATATTGGCTGCATGGACTTGCTCATCAAATATCGGTGAAATTGGAACATCTCATTGTCTGCTTATTTCAAACTGGGATCATTATGGTCATCTTACATTTTGCTTTCTTTTTTCTTAGCTTCTTTGAAATTCGGCGGGAAATTTACCGGTCGAATAAATAAACCGGCAAGGAAAAGCAAGCAAAAAGGTCAGCAGGGTAACTTATTATGAAGATGTCGCACGACCCGGTCAAACTTTGCTACATTTGTGACCGATTTAAAACACGATGCATCAACCTGCAAAAGCTTGATGTATATAAAAATTTCTCAAATGCCACACAACCCAGCTAAAATATTTATTTAAAGTCCTTCGAGCTCTGAGGTTCGCTTGTCTCGTTGGTCCCGTCCTTTTAAATGGAAATGGATGCTTCTTCTTGTATGAAAAAATCAATTAAAACAAGTGCGCCAAGCCTTTTGGCAGGAATTGTAGGTCTAGAATATCAGGTGGTTAGGTTTGAACCTACTTAAAAATTAGGAGAAAATACTCAAATAATCCTTCAGAGAAGGGAAAGAATCACACTGTCGTGAATAAATGTGATTTTGTCAAAGAAGGACTGTACAGTCTAAAGCAGTGTTGAAAACGAAAGAGGAGAAGGCAGTTCCAGTTGTTATTGTGCTTTTATTTTAACAAATTTGCTTTTTGATTTGGTGTGTTAGTTGATGCTCTTTGTTAAATGTTAGGGTACGCATAGTTTGATACCGGGAGAACAATTTTTCCAGGGAAACAGCTCACTTTTAGGTCACTTTGACCTGAAATTGTGGTATTTGCTGTCAGCCTAAGGAGGCATGGCTTTGCTCATAGATTGTATTATTTAAAGTTGGTGTTACTGAAACATTTCTGATTGAAACCAAGTATCTACTTAGCAAGACTAGGTTTTGATTTTCAAGTTGTCTGGATATCTTATCTGCGTTTTCTAACACTATTAGTACTCTCTAAGCAGGCTTTAGAATCTTTTTGGGTCCCATATGAAAAGAAATCTTGGCCAGGATCGATGGAAAACCAGAATTTGAAATATGATCAATCAAATTAATCAAATCAAATTAGGCTTAAAGAAAAAAACAATTTCAAGTATTTTCAGCATGTTGAACGATAGTGTATTTATCTGTGATACAGAATTTCGTCAATTTGACCTTCATACTGGACTTTTAAAACGTGCACATAAAAGCAATTTCAAGTATTTTCAGCATGTTGAACGATAGTGTATTTATCTGTGATACAGAATTTCGTCACTTTGACCTTCATACTGGACTTCTAAAACGGCACATTTTACGCACTAGAAATCAGCGCATTTTTTAAGGGTTTTTTAATGGTGAGGCATTTTTCCATTGGTGATGTGTTCAGAAATAAGAAACTCTTTAGCCTTCATTTTAAACATTATGAAATAAAAATCCTCAAAGATGCTGACTAAAAGAGCCTGTGGCGACTTAAAATGAGGGCCATCTTTCCACGAAAATCTTTTACACTTTCGAAATCATCTAAAAATCCTATCATTTCAAAAAATTTAGTAAGCTAAATTTAGAAAGAATGATAAGACTTTCATCTTAAAATTCGAATATAAAATTTTGTCGATTTAAAAAAGGGGCTCGTGCCGTTCTGCAAAGTATGAACGACTTGATCATTTTAAGTGCTCAGTCACAAAAATTTACAAGAAAACACGCCTAAAAGACACTTTTGATCGAAAGTTTGACTGCTAAAGCCCACAGAAGAGAATTTGACTTATAAAGCCCACAGAAAATAATTTCACTGCTTTTTTCCACAGAGAAAATTTGACTGCTAAAGCCCACGGAAAAGAATTTAACTATCAAAGTCCCTTTTTAATTTGCTACATATTACATATAGAATATATTTATAAAAGCTAATCTCCAATTAAAAGCTGCAGAAAATGCTCAGCCTTCTTTAAAATGTTTCAAGGGAGGCCCAGTCCTCCAGTGCGCCCAGCGTGCTTGGCGCCCATGAGAGCACTGTGTTTTATTCCTTTAAATTATTGAAGTTCCTGCCTGGATAGTTGGACAGTATGCGAAATGATCACAGGTTTAATGATGGCATAACCGACTTTGAAAAGGCTTTGTTTCGGTAGAGCTATTAGAAAAGTATTCATGGGTTAATCCTATAATTTCTCCTATTTAGTCAGAATCAAATTTTTAAGTTGTCCAATCATACACTCTTAGCCCTCGTCGACTTATAGGGCGCTTATAAATATTTTCTTAGCACTTTGTTCAATTGTTGTTCACCTGTGATGCTGTTTTAAGATATAATTTGGGGCCACCTTCAAAGTTCCTCTGTTTATTTTGAATCAAACATTAAAGTTTTCCAACAATAAATTCCTGTTAGCCGTTATTCGTCCATGGTACTCGTTTCGTTATATTTCTTAAGCATCCAAATTCCTAAAAAATTATGTTGATTCATAAAAGAATTAGCGACTCCTCTTCTAAACTCCAAAGAGTTATAGAGTTATTATGCAGTTCTATACATTTGAGGTCCACATATCACATCTTCGTCACAATTAGCTTTTGAAACACTGCAGGAACAAAGCAATTAAGAAATGGAAAGATAAAAAACAGCCAAGTTTCGTGCATCAGAAAGGAATCTTACTCTAACAACAAATTAACAAAATACAATTTACGGACAACAGCTAATCTATATTATATAACTTTAGTCTTTTTCTCCACAGTCAAGTTTTTTCTTGTTTCATCGTTTGATTTAACGCCAGCATAAATGCCATAAATTTCGTTTCGAATGTCCGAGAAACACGTCTGCGTCGTAATTATTGCTTGAAACGCTCTTTGATCTAGATGAAGAACAAAAAGATTAATGAAGATGTTATTCCATGGTTAATGAAAGCACGTTTCAAAGAAATCGATATACAGCCAATCCATATTCTTATAAGCAGAAAACTACGCGAGGTAAAAAATTCAGAGAAACACGTTCGTGGCGGGTCTAGCGACTCTTTTCAGCAACCGGTTTTTAGTGTAATTTCACCCAAATAAGCATAAAGTCATTTGAAATTGTTCTCGTTAAGCGAGCAATACAGCAAATCCATTTTCCTTGAATTACAAAACTGCGAAGAGGTAAAACATTAAGAGAAACACGTTCGTGGCGGGTCTAGCGACTCCTTTCAGCAACCGGTTTTTAGTGTAATTTCACCCAAATAAGCATAAATCATTTGAAATTGTTCTCGTTAAGCGAGCAATACAGCAAATCCATTTTCCTTGAATTACAAAACTGCGAAGAGGTAAAACATTAAGAGAAACACGTTCGTGGCGGGTCTAGCGACTCCTTTCAGCAACCGGTTTTTAGTGTAATTTCACCCAAATAAGCATAAAATCATTTAAAATGGTTTCTAGAATGATTAATTTACAATTCGGAAAATGATGCAGGCAAAATCTACCGTCACCATCCAGCTTCCTTTCAGTATAAAACCACGAAATGAGGAGGAAATTCGCCGTTCGCGGCGGGGGTCTAGCAGTAAGCAACCGGTTTTTAGTGTAATTTCATCAAATTAAGCATAAAATTATTTGAAATGGTTTCCAGAATGATTTATTTACAATTCCCAAAATGCTCTCAAAAAGCTAGAAATAATTCTCACTCAAGGGGCAGGCAAATCCCATTTGTCACAGCGGGAAATCGTAGAAAAAGTGAAATTTTAATCGAAAAATACTCACTTGTTGAACCAAAAAGTCAGCGAATCCGATCGTTTATCTACAAAAAAAGGAAGGCGGTTAGGAAAAGTTGCTGCAAAGGATTCTCGATAGGCATAAAAAGTTAGGGGCTGGCAGGATTACATAATTCGCATTACAACGGGTTTTCCTATGAAAATCAAATTTTCTTGCATCAAGAATAAACAGCAGGAATAATCTACCACAATTCTTCATACTTTGATTGCAATAAAGCCAATCCAGTTTCCTTTTAGCACAAAACCACGAGAAGAGGTAAACATTTTTCGTTCGCGGCGGGGTTCTAGCAGCCGGTTTTTAGTGTAATTTCATCGAAATGAGCACAAAATCATTTGAAAAAAGTAATATCGAAAACACGTAAGAACAACAACGCTTACCTGTATTCACATGCCATCGATTCTGATGCTAGTGAAGAAGGGGATCAGCCAGCAGCAATCGCAAAACCAAAAAACGGGCAGCAGCGTGCGTACCGTACGTAGCTACTAAAACGAAGAAAAGGAAGATCGTCAAAAGCACGAATTACATGGCTCTTGCAAATGAAATAACAACAAACGGGGTTTCAATCTATCGATCGATAAAAAGGAAAGGAAAATAGCTAGCGAGACTCACCTGTAGCTGTAGCACTGTAGTACTGTAGTACTGTAGCACAGAACACGACCGTCGACAACCGCTTCGAGTTCGAAAAGGAATGCCAACCAGCAGTGCACGTAGATTTATTATCATCCAATTCCAAATCACCGAAATTATCGGCAAACAGTAGCTTCTTTGTGTTAAAAACGAAACGGATTTGAAAAGCCTCCGTTGAAATTGAAGGGTTGCTGGAGGAAGAAGTTTTGAAATCTTTTGTAGTAGAGAGCAAGAGATATGAGAGAGAAAGGACCTTTAGAAAGGCGGGACAAAGACCTCGGAGAGCACTAATCGAGATCTAGAGGATTTGGAACGAACCCGGGAGAAAACGTACAAATATCTATAAAAAAGGGAGGAAAAACGAAAAAAGAATCCCCACGAGCACAACTTTGAGGATCCAGGACGACGTGGAAAAAAGAATTTGGAAAATCAGCCGAGCGGTTTTGGCTGGTAATCTTCTCCAAGATCGGGCGGTGTTGTTTGAACCGCTATACGAATTTGACCCAGGTATCTGCTGGAGCATTGTGTTGGGCCTTTGTTGTTGAGGAGAATAGAGTTGATTTGCATATCCGCATATTAGTATTAGTTAGACAGCCAGGGCATTTTCTAAGGGCTTTTGAGTGGTGGGGCATTTTTCAAAAGGGCCAACGCTCACCTCAAGGAATTGTATGGGATTAATGAACGGGTGCTTATGATTTCTATATGTTTCCGCTTACGATAAAAATCCTGCTTTGTTGTAAGGACTAGCTAGGCTGTTTCTTGAAGATAATTTTTTGGTTAAGGTGTGTTATTACCAAGGACATAAACTAAAAGAAGTTTTGAATGTGGAATTGAAATTTTTGCGTTGTTTGCAATTTATTACGTTGTTGGTGTAGCAAAATGTTCGTTACATTATGGTCACGCTATTTCCATCCTGTTTTTTTTTAGAATTGAGGATTTAGGATTCAAGACTTGACATGAAGTATCTTTAAAGCGTTCTTACATATTGTTCATTAACAAAATTGGAACCTTTTCATAGAATATTTAGATCAGAAACATAGTAAGTAGGTTTTCCTGAAGACATAGACGTAGGAACCGAGAGCACAGGGGACAAGTTCCCCCACCACTTGTAAATAGTTCAGGTAAAATGCCCCTTTGCAATTCACCGGGTTGCCCTTTTTGCCAACTGCATAACAAAAACGCCCGTGAAATGCTTAGTCCCTATACGAAATGAGCAAAGGGAGTAGGGGGTGACCTGGCCACGATCCAAACATTTTCCTTGTGATCTAATTTTAAAACAGCAGAAAAACAAAAAAAATTCACAACGAGAGCTGCCAAAAGGTGAGGGGTGGGGGCAAAATGCCATAGGGTCTTAAGTTATAGGGGGAAAGTTTAAGGAAGAAATCTGTCAGAGTAACAAAATTGTCAATAAACCATGGTACAACATTTTAAAAGATTGCAAGAAAATGACTGCAAGAAAAATTCTGAAATGCCTTTTCAGCTTATCTATAGGGCATAGTCGCCAAAAATATTATGCTTGCTTTGCTCGTAGCAGACATCATCTTTCCGTTTTACCACGGCGGCGCTGCTCGCAACTAAGCCTAAAAATGACATCCATATCATTATAGCTAGGCCTCCAGAAACAGCCTTTCTTAACCTTTCTGAAAACTTTGTTGGGGTGTCCCTTAAAAATGGTCTTTATCTTTATCTTAACCCTATAGAATCTTTGTTAGGATGCCCCTTTAACCCGACGCTTTGCTCCCACTTTTCTTATGCTTTCTACGTCCTTAATTAAAACTTTTCAGTAAATAATTTGAATGTCCTCCCTACTGAAAGCGTAGCTTAACCCTATAGAATCTTTGTTAGGTTGTCTCTTTAACCCGACGCTTTGCTCCCATTTTTCTAATGCTTTCTACGTCCTAAGTTAAAACTTTTTCAGTGAATAATTTGAATTTTCTCCCTCCTGAAGGCGTAGCTTGCTCTTCAGTTTGCACTTGCAGTAGTGGAGCCATTTTACCAAAACATTACGATGATAGAAAATATACTACTGTTTTTTTGTCAGCACATTTGCAAATTTTAGTGCTATGCCATATTGAAATTTCGGATCCAGTTGAAAAGTAGAATGGGTCAATGCAAGAATATCGTCCTAAGATTTTCAAAATATTGTGCTGCAACAGTACAATTTTTACTAGGTCAATTAGTGTGGGATTCAGCGTTGTGAGCTTTATAATGTGAAATTTGTGAGCTTTATAGTACTTTATTTGGTTATAGTACTTACAGAGCAGCCAATTACAATGTAAAGTTCAAACTTTGATAGAATATCACTTTATAAAATGCTGATCCAATGTCATGGGCAATTACTTGTTTGAGCTTTTAAAAAGCACCAATATCCTCGTTAGTTTTAAACATCAATCCTTTGTAGAGTAGCTAATGTATAATGTGTTTTATTACAATTCAAAATAATGGCCGTCAATATTTAGACAGGGCGTCGACCTTCTTTCAGGATATTAGACACCGATCTCAATCTCTGAAGGATGCGTCTATCTTAAAGTCAAAGCAATGCTTTAGTTTCTTCTTAAACTTGTTTCACAGTGAGCCAATTGACGTCATCCACACAGAAATAATGTCAGGTTCAAGACAGAGCAAAGATTCATCAACTAAGTAAAAGTTCGTTAATAAATACCACTTGATAATTAAATTAAACAGTATAGAGCCTAACACGAAGACTTGCCAAGCTCCTAATTTATTCTGATACTCTGCTCATGCATTTTCCATTTCTTACAAAGTGTGTTCGTAGTTGTATAAAAACGTGTTCTAAGACTCTAGCAATCTGGCAACAACGAGCTCATCATTTCTAAAAATTAAAATAGGTATTTGACAGTTTGTGATAGGTACATTGGAAGGTTATTAATGGCAAGGAACTAATTAATTTGAAATTCATTTTGGATTCTAGGGTCATCGTTCTGACTTGGACCTACAATCCCAGACAAAAATAACTGAGACTTTTTAAGGAAAGTTGATATTTTCTCTTTCCTTTGAAAAATAACTCCCCCTCCCCCAATTCAATGTCGAGTGCATGATTTTGAAGAAAAAAAGATAGAACTACAAACCCAACATTTATTCGGGGAAAAATAATGATTCGAATTTAGAGGGGCAACGTAAAGTAGAAAATACAAAAATTACATTTTGTCTCGCCAATTTTGTCCGGGATTGTAGCTTCGGTTTTCTTTGCCCTCTCACAAACAGAAGAGTTTAAGCTGCCTGTACTGGAAGGGCAAATCTTATCCTTCACTTATCGTAGTATCGAAGGCATTCCGATCTGTGATTAACAAGGGCCTGAAGTTTCAATTTTTCTTCCAGATTGACAGCATACTGAAGTTAAAATGGCAGTCGGATGGGCGTTGTTTTACAACCTTGTGCTATATAACTTGTGCCATTTGTTAACAGCAACTCCGTTAGTAGATCAACCCATACCTTCGTTGATGATTTCTGCAGATACTTCGATAGGCGAGAAATTATGCTCTCTGTCCAATGAGTTCACGTGTGCCAGCTCATTCTGGAACAAAATTGGAGACAACCATGATTTTGTTACATTTTGGCGAATGCTGCGAGGAAGACAGCGGTTTCAATTTGCAAGACTTTTCACTTTCTCCAAAAACTGTAATGGAGTTGTTAAAGGTAGAATAGCTTCCTCTTTGAAAGAGATCGGCTTAGGAAACCATAAAAATGAATCTCGTGATGTTCTTCTAGATATCAGAAATCTAAAAAAGCTTCTACAGTGTGGAAATGGAATTCCCAGGTATACACAGGTGAGAGTCAAGCGAAATACGGCACTAGATTCGAATGTTACTGCAACAGCTAGCACCTTCTGTTGGCCATTTTGGCGCGGAGATGGCTACTGCGACCTTGGCTGCAATACGGAGGAGTATAACTATGATGATGGCGATTGTTGCTATGAAACATGCACCAAAAAAATCCGAAGGTATCCCTGTGGTTTTACTGGGTTTCAATGTAAGCAAAATACAAACAATGCACCTAGCTGGGTCAACGATATAAAATTTTGCTTTAGATGGAGGGCAAATGGAGATGGTTCACAGTGTGATACCGCTGGCAAAGGTAAAATCTGTGCGCCACTTGGTAGTATGACAAAGTTTTACTACGATGATACAGACGAACGGAACGGAGGCTGTGTACTGTCTTGGAAAATCGAGGCTATGTCTGCCCCTGAATGGTTTTGGACGAGGTTGCAGCTCTGCTTGTATTCATATTCAGACGGTGATATGTTCCAGTGCAATTACGGATCAACGAACAACATCCGATGCCGAAGAGCGAACGACTGGGTTCATTATGTAGATGACACTGATAATCGTCAAGGTGGCTGCATTTTAAGGTGGAAGGTGCTTTATTTAGGTATGGTATAGTGTAGCTCTTCAAGAATTCTCATTCTGATCTTAGATCCCGTTTACACTATCCCGGGACAATTTGTACCGTTTCGGTTCACAAGTGTTTACACTGTAGCGGCTCAACATTGTTCCGTTTAGCCGTTCCATTTAGCCGTTCCGTTTACACTGTACCGGTACGACCTTAATTTAATGGTATAACATTGTTTAGAAGAAGCTGTATTTAGTCAACGAAGGCTTTAATTTTGCCGCCGAAATCAACCATCGAAATTTCATTGAGAGCTAAAATGGAGCGGAAGGCCGATAAAAACTTTATTTGGACGGACGACGAGGTGGCTTTAATTTTCACTGTTATTTTAGACTACAAAACTGTAAAGTCCTATCAAGGCTTGGACTTTGAAAAAATGCAAACATTTTTTGTCATGGTCTTTTCTTCAGAATTTCCTTTTCTTCAGAATTTGACAATATAGTTACGCCACAGTCAAAGCCTCGATTACCCGAAACAGCCATACAAAAGACCTCTTTGTGAATCCTGACAACATCGTCTCAGATAGGTGCTTACACTATTCCGTTCAAAAACGGAACTGTGACGGTACAAAATTCGTTCGCTTTCAAAGCAGGGTCGAAACTGTTCCGGATAGCAGAGCAAAATCGTCTCGGTTCCACAGTGCTAGTGTAAACAGAAGGGTGAACCGTGAAAGTTTTGTCAAGGTTCCAAAATTTGCACGGGAAAGTGTAAACGGGGTCTAATATTGTTTTATTCAGCAGGGTTAGGAACAAGACGGTTTAGGTCAAAAAAGGAATTTACATTACGTTAAGTAGCATACATATATTGACCATATGCCTTAATCCTCTTCCTATGGTCCAAGCAAATGATTCAGAAGGACCTTAGCCACGGCACGGCCCTCGAATTCTTCTGTAAAACATGTTGTTGATTCTAACTTTTTCTTACGAGATGGTCTCTGCGCTTGTTCAAGACTTTCAGTGGTAGGTTCCCGTATCTCACTTAGTCGCCGTCTAAGGATTAGGCATTCGGTTTAAGCCCAATGGAAAGACTAGCCCACTTCGAGAGGCTATTTTTTAACCGAGAGGCTAGTGTTTGACAGGTCTCAAGGGAGTTGAGTGAGTAGATTTTTGAGGCCTATCAAGCAAGGGCGTAAAAAGAACTTTAGAAAGATAGAGCCCCGCATCCACAGCTAGGTTTGAGGTCAAGAACATTGTAAACACTCATTTCTATCCCCACAAGAATCGGGGCTCTATCTCCCAAAGCCCTTCTAGAATTTTTTATTGCACCCCTTTGGGCACCCTTATGACACCCATTGTGGCACCTCTAATGTCATCATTGTGGCACTCACTGTTTAACTCTTTATTTTAACCCATTCTGACACCCTTTCTGGCACCCACTTCTGGCACTCTGTATCAAATTTTGGCACCCCTTCTGATTCTTCGTCTCACACTTCTTATGGTACCTCTAATGGCATCATTTTTTACCATGTCACTGACACAATTTGCTTATGAATTGTATAGTTACTTACAAATTACAAAAACATCAAATTACAATTACAAAGAAACTACTCATAAAAACATCAAGGCAGAAAAGCCTCAATTAATTGAAAAATGTTTCATAGAAAATAAGAAAGATGAAGTCATAGATACTCTGTGGAGAGACTGTCAAAATATGATTTTAGAATAATTTAAAAGAACAGCTCTGTTCATCTTTACATTTATTAAGGCGTTAATGTTATCATTATGTTACAGGCAAATTACCAACGTGGATGGAAAATGCAAGATTTTGTTTCTACTGGAGGTCAAGTGGTGGCCAGTGTGGGATGCCGGGCCAGGCACGTCAGAATGACCATCATTGTGTACCAGTTAATAGCTGGACTGACCAATACAGGGATGATACCGATGCAAGAAATTACGGTTGTGAAATGGCATGGGGTTTGCTCTTGTAAGGTTCTTATCGCAAACAGCACCTTTCTCGTGTGGAACCGAGAAATTGTAGATTTGTTCTGATAAAGATTTGGCTTCACGTAGAAGCAATTTGAAGCATTTATCACCTAGGCCTCACTGCCAAGTTTTAGAATTATGTAGATATGTAAAGCGCTCTTTGAGTTTTTTGCTAAGAACAATAAGCATAAATTAACATATTCTATAATTAGACAGTCGCTAACGTCTGCTTCTCGAAATATTTTTGCATTACCGATAGCATGTAACTTTATTCTTCTAAGCAAAGCAGAAACAAGTTTTCTTATTTATATGAAACTTATTTGTTGTAGAATGTTTTTTTCAAAATTGACGATGTAGATTTTGATCGGGGTATTTTTGTTTCAATTGTTCTATAGATGTTTACATAATCTCGTCATTATGAAATAAATACGTCGAGAGAAAACGCTTTTGTGAAATTCTTCAGTGAAAATTTTCTGTAGGGCTACCTTAACGGCTTGGTAAGCAGCATTTAGTCATGATGTTAGAAAAAAAGCCTGTGTTCAGATTCTAGCAGAATTTAGGCCAGTGCGATACCTTGATTAAAACAAAGCCATGAATTTGAATCCCCTTTTTGCCAGTGGCTGTTCAGACGTCAATAAAAAAGCATACCTTTTCCTTGTGGTGAACTCTACCAACTTTTCTAATACGCTCAAAAACAGTGACGACACTTGTGGGATCGAGGGGCGACTGCCTGATAAATTCAAAGTAAAGAAAAATTTATTGCTTTTAAAAGATGGCTTTTATCCAAAATTTCGTTCACGACATCAACATTCAATGGTAACGATGGTAGCATGGGCTTATTTTATTGCTTTAAAACCAAAATTAAATTTTATATTAGCGCTTTGAATTACATTTTTAATTTGATAAAAAACACCTTTTTATTTTCTTATAAAAGCATTGGTACTTTATCTAAATCTAGAGATTTAAAATAAATTTGTTGGGGAAATTTATTTACAAAGAACAAGAAATTTAGTGGGGCTGGACCTTGCAGGCAAAATTTTTTTGATGTGAATTATTAAGCGATCAGACTGTTTTCTCTTCTGCTAGCGTTAACAATGTGATGTTCAAACAATAACATCCAGAAATATGAAAAAACTAACCATACTCAATAGCGTAGCCAGGATGGTAAGATGGAGGGCAAGAACGAGTTAGCAAGGATAAAATGGTGGATTACAACCTTTTGGACCCCAGAAAGCACCCTTTTCAAAAATACTTTTGCTATTGGATGGGGGTGTCCACCCCCTCTTGTCTCTTCCTCTCCATTTGGGGGCATCCACCCACTGGCTACTCTACTGACCATACCCTTGAAGGAAGTAAGGAACTATTAGCAACACTTTTAAGGCAAACTACAAAAAGAGGATTAGCACAGCCAATCAGGCAGCATAAACATTGCCCAAATTTGAGCTGCGGTTGTCAGACGCAGATAGTGGCCAGTTTGAAGCAATGGACTAAGAGGAGAACGCTATCTGGGATTTGTTTTCTTTCATTTCAGTTGAAAATATTGGCATGAACAAATACTGTTATCATTATTAATTCACTTCATAGAAAAAAGTGATTTCCAGTTTATAGGCTAGAATAAGGATTCACTCCCTTTTCAAATATAAACCGATCAAAATTTAATTGTTTTTACAATGCCTTTCGAAAACAGATCGATCGAATTTGGAAATGATCGAAACAAAAGCAGATTGAGAAGAAAACAGAATGAAATTAAAACAGCTTAAATGTTGCTTTCTCTGTCATATAAAAACTAGATAAATGTTCGTAGAAATTGCAACAAAAATGGTTTTCAAAAACGTTTTGAATGCCAGAAACAATAGTAAATTTCCAAGACAAATAATGGCTTGAACAATGCTCTTCCATTAGTGGAGTTTCTTATTCTTTGCAATTTCTGAGTATCAGCTGTAACCAAACTAATGATAAATAACAAAATCAATAACAATTTTTAAAAAACCGTTAATCGGATTCGATTGCTCAAGTTATCTTACATCAGTGATGCCCAAAAATATGAAGTACATCTGTCAAAGTCACGTGGCATTGCTCCCAGGACCAATTAAACGCCCATATTTATATGAAATTTTATATGAATTTGAAATAGGAATTGTAGATACATATAGTGAGTGCTAAATTGATATTCTGACTTTTGGGTCGCTGAAAACTATTGTAGGTAGCTGTGTTGAAATCTCACAAAAACTGAAGTGAAAAAAGTCTTTTTATACATGCAATATCGGTAATGATTCACGCCAAGAACTTATCTCGTTTAACAGAAACGCCATTTTCCTTTTCCCAACAGTTTTTGGGTATATGGTGTGCAAGTAGTGCAAATGAGCAGTTCCAATGCATAAGTGAGATTCTATGAAGTACTACGTCCCTCGATGTTATCAAGGGTGTAATGTAAACATCTTAAATAACAGTTTCCCTTTCTTTAATTAAAAAGGTTTTTCTCTGACTTTTGATTGCTGCTTGTCGAAGACTGTGCCTCTCCCGTTCCTCAATCCTGAGCCACAAATGTCATAGGGAATGATTATACAAGAGATAACATATGGTTACTGTAGGCTTTCAAGTTCCTAGTTGGCGAAATCGCCTGTTCTGTTAATGAATGGGTGCATCGACCGAATTTTTGGGGGTTATGAAATACACTACGAAATTTTCATGGAAGGAGCATGCTATTCGAAGTGGGGTTTGAGGCACATGTGCACGAGCAAATATGCTGTTGTTGACTTGCATTTGGTTTTATATTCTTCCAGTCGCTCTTGACCCAAATTGCAGTTGGCCAGAACGCCTAACAAGATGTATTGTCATAGAAAGTCTGGAAGTCACAAATGTTAAAGAAATTGAGTCCTGGGAAAGGGGTGGTTCCCATACCTTTTTTCTGTCAACCAATAGACGCTGGGCTTTTGATAAATCACCTAGGCACATGACTTTGTTGTTTAGTTGTGTTGTAGTTTACACATTCGACTATGAATTGAAACACATATATTTCAAAAATTGTATTTTATTCGTACAGTATAAACAACCTAAAGTGTACGTCAAGAATCAAGTTTAAAGATGGGCTGGCTCCACGCAAATTATAAACTCCATATTAGCTTAAAATTCGAGCCTAATTCGATTTTGCTTTGTCATCAGTGGGCGGTCATGAGACTAGAGGGATGGTCAGATTTAAACGATTAACAAGGTGAAGACGCTTACAAAATAGGACAGGTAACATGTTATGATGTGAAACAATGGAAAGCTTTTCTGAAGCATGCATTATACATCCAGATGGATACCCTCCTCCGTGCATATTGTATCGATTCTAAAACATGGAACCACTTGTGTGCGTATGTGACATACCAAAATTTTGATTCAATGTATGCATAATAGATAACAAAGAGTTACCAATTGTCGTCCAAGAATACTTTTTCTAGGTTTATGATTACTGCTACAATTATTTTCATTGTTACCACATTTGATTAGAAACACAACGATAAACCAAGGAAGCACACAGTTATCAAATTATCATTTAAATGAATACAATACTTCCACAAATAATTCTAAATTCTCATTAATGAAACCAATCCGTAAATTGAATAACTAAATAACTTAAAAAGAAAATATTGATTGAAATTCCAATAAAGTGATAAGGACCAGCTTTACTTGTAACAAGCAGTCAGCTTGATGGCTGGGATTTTGTCGAAACATTCTATAAATATGGGCTTTAATATCTCACTCATCCCAGATTTATCAAAGTGGGTTGTGAGTTTGATTTTGGACCTTCAATGGGGATGGGGGGGGGTGGTGCTAGCATGCTCTGACAGTGCTTTGACTAGCCCACCTCTGGCCTTTAGGGTAACTCCTTCAGGTCGTATTACAAAAAAGCTTTCGTAGATAACTCATCGAGACTTTCAGAACTCTAGAAAAATGTGCTGAAAATACAACGAAATCTCCTATGATCCTAAGCACTATTCTCCACTACTCAAATCTAGCAAAGCTGAATAAATTAACTAAATTTATTATACAACATACGATTATACTATGAAAAAATGAGCACCAAATGATCAAAAAATAATTATATCAATTATATACATGATTATCATTATACAACCAATTGTCACTTGTTAATTGGATGCATACCAGCAAGGTTATTACCGAACATATCAGCCTCTTGGTTTGAGCTAAATGCGCGCCTACATTCTAATAAACTTCACATTTCTGCTCATCAATTGGTAAAACCACGTGGCCGGGTCTATATCTTATCACTCACTATTCAAGGTACTAAACGGCAAATGAAGATGATTACGGGTGATGTTTGATAGTAGACGACAGGGAAAATTTATAATTGCATGCCAGCCATATGTGAATTTCATTCTAGCCATGGAGCAAGCAGGAAAAAGGCTTCAAGTCTTTCGTACGGGACCTAAAGACCGAAATTTTCTTCTAGAGCTGATTAATATACCTTATAGTGAAATTTCACATTGAAAGAAATGTTGTTTACTAGGCCTACTTTCTTCTTTAAAAGAAGCCTAATGTATAATTATCATTATTCCCAAAAATACACCCATTTGCATAATTCATACAAATTAATACACTAAAATCTGAAACTAAGCTAGTTATCAAACCAGCCTCTGTCACAGACTGTAAGTCAAAAACATCTGATAGCGACACTTAAAATGTATACATACAACCTTACACGACTGTGAAACATGGAAAGACCACGATAGCAATACTGCTCGCCGGGCTCTATAATATACTTGTAGCGAAGTAGGTGTATAGATTGAAACCAATAACACCGCAAAATATCGAGAATATTAAAAACGAGCACAATTCATCAACATAAATCTAATAAGGTATGAAAGGTTTCTATAGACCTACTAAATAGTGGTCCTAAAACACTTTCAATTACATACACAGGCAGTTCTGGTTATACCAACACGTTACAAATCCTCATTGAGAATACGTCTAAATATCTGGATTTCACAAACCCAGAAAAAAAACACTATTTATTGATCATGTTTGAAAAATTCATGTAGTTTCGTATCTGTTACCAATTTGTACGATTGAGAACTTTAAATGTGAACTCCCATCAGCCTTTTCAGTTGTTCATATGACAGAAACATTGCAATACTCCAAGTTCCAAGCCGTGTGAATGACGGGACAAATCTGTCATGAAAAGAAGATCAGATATGCATCAGGCGAGGGCAAATCATACAAAAAAGAAATATATAGCGTCATTACACAGCCTAAATAGGGTCGGAGCCTAGAGATACGAAGAGATGGTTGTGCAATGCTGGCAAAACTGATAAGCATCCGCCATGAGACCCGACAAATCCCATTAACAAGCAAAGTCTGAAACAGCATATGTGATTCAGAATGTTTTAGAAGTGCAAATGATGAAAAGCAGGGTCGAATCGTGAGAGCCCAGCAGAATTCATATAAGATGGCACATGGCTCGAAAGCCCCTATGGGTTATTTCCATGTGTCATTCAGCTATAAATTTTATAGATATAAATAATTATTTTAAATATCTGAACCTTATATGTATTGAAGTATAACTGAAATTGTATCTTGATGAATTGTTTGATTAGATCAGTATATTGTAAATAAGCTGAGAATACACATGAAAAGAAATCCACACCTTCCCAATGGATGATGAACATCTAAGTTAGTCGGGAATATCTTAAGTTAAACTGTCCATTTTTTAACAATAATCTAACAATAACCGTTAGAGACATTTTCGATTATCCATGTTGATCAGTGAAAGCTTTTATCAAAATAGAAAAACATTAGGCTCATAGCATACCCTTTGTAGAAAGCTGTTGCGCCATTTTCTTTGAACATTTTAACGGCACAATGAATCGGGTTCTTGTATTGGCCCATATCAGAATTCATGAACCTCGTTTTCACGACATCAATTGGAGAGGCAATAACAGTTGTGATGAATCCTGCCGTTATTGCACTGGTGAAGTGGCAGGGGATATTGTCATCCATCCATTGCTTGTATAGAATATAGGATTTGATTATATCATACACGACAATTTCAGTGCAATTTACCACGCTCAGACGCGCCACGTTTGTGCTCAAACCTTTCCACAGGCCACGCATACCTTCATGTTTCCCTATCTTTCTGTATGCATCTAATGTACCTTTGTATTTTGAGTTTTTGCCTGCGGCTTGAAACCTGATCTTCACAACCTCAGTTGGCTGGAACAAGAGAACAGCTGTTGATGCTGTTGTGCAGCTGGCGAGGACCTTGATCATCACCTTAGGCCTGTTCCCATGACTGTCGTCACCATAGAAACGCTTCACATTGTCATACAGGCCAACCCGTATGCCACAAAAACACATCTGCCGTTGTACACCAGCAGTGATCCCTGAATACAATGTGCGCACGCCTTCTTCCTTCGCAACTGTGAAAATCGTATGTGCCATCCCACGATATTTCAATACACTGCGTGTTCCACGTGTCTTGACGTTCTCTCCTTGAACCTGAAAACAACAGAGCTTGTAACAAACGAAGGACGTTAGGTTGTATTGCTGCAGATATCTTTTATGGGCTTAGAAGTCAAATAATTTGATAGATAGAGAAATGATTGCGAAGGAACCTTGGCGTTGTTTATGGTTTTTTTGACGTTGTCTATGATTTCAAATCATTATACATCAAACAATGAGTTCCTTCGAGAAAAAAGACAGAAAACATATGTTCCACACCAGAATGCAAGTCATAAAATTATCTAGCTAGATATACACTTACGTGACAAAAGTATTAGGACGATCGCCTGAAAGCAAATGTGGTTAACCCTTGGCTCAAAGAACAACATAGAAAATCGGTGGAACATTGCAATTTTACTCAATTATGAAAATAAAGATATATCTAATAAATTGCAAAAAATTGACATTTTTAGACAAGTGCAATTTGCTTTATCTTATATTTTGTCGGATGACCTGCAGGAATCTGGCAGCCACCATTTGCACTGGAACTCACTTAATTAATTTTACAACGGAATATCTTCGGATACAGTAGGAAATCTAAGAATAAATCTAATTGTTTTCAATTACATCAAGGCTTTGACTTTGACGGGGTTATTGAAAGACAATGATGTTATTATTTTTGAAATTTTTGTCACAATTGCAACATAGCTAGGTTTATTGTCTTGCTTAAAAGTTAAATGGTCTTTGCAAAGAATCATTACTTGTTTCTGTACGTGCCTGGGGACGTTCCACAAATAAGTGGACAAAATATTCAGCATTGATTGACTTCGCACACAACACCAGCTTGTCGCCGCCATTAGGCCTAACCAATAGTCTGCCTGCCCAGGTCTACCATTCTGTTAATTTTAGTGGGCATTGTTAACTTATTGTTCTTGTAAATAACATGTGTTGTAGACTTACTGCAACCAAATTTTCATGTAGTTTCAGCTAACAAATGACTCGCTAGACCCAAATATTTTATTGCTTCTCGTTCTCTTTCTGGCCGCTTTTATGTTTCCGGCATTGAAACTAAAACATTGATATTTTTCATTTCTCCCTGACATTTTGTTACTTTTCTTTAATAAAAAGGTAGGAAATAAATTGAATTTGGTAGGAATCACGCTTTTGCTGACGCCATTTCTAGAATCCCACCAAAACAGCAAGATTTGTTCAATCAATGTTAGAATGCTAGTTTTGGAGCCGCCATTTTGTTATTCATCGTCTTAATACTTTGGTCACGTAAGTGTAGATGTGTCATGAGCATCTTGGCTAATGACTTGTTTAGGATTTGTTAAGACAAGGATGTCACAAGAAAAACTTCAAATGAAATCTTTTAAAAGCCTCTTTTAAAAGCCCATATGGAAATGCATTTGCGTTTCTAAAAAATCTATGTCACGAAGACTTCCTGAAAAATGAGAGCTGTACGTTAGTTCAAAACTATTTAGCGGGTTGTGTGTTTGCCTTGCTCTGTCATTGTAATATGAGTTAAGCTCACCCTTTCTATGGAAAATAATAGCCATTACCCAGAACACCAATCTAACAAACTTGTCCTTTTAGCGAATCGACTGAAACCACAAGTCACTCACCTGCAACCTCACTTTGGCGGTATCAATTGGTATAGTGGCAAGCTCTGCAAGTGAGGCTGACATCCCCGCAGCGGTCATTTTTTTCACCAGGTTCCAAAGACTGTCGTCATGTTCCAACATTCTTGAATAAGCAACCATTCTTGCTCAACCCGTAAACTTTTCCTCTGTACTGTAGATAAAATTAATGAAATGAATAATAATTACTTTACTTCAGTTTAAAAAGGCGTTAGCTGCCTTTGGGAAAAAATTTAAGACATACAACACTTGCTAGAATTTTGGGAACATCTACAAAAACTCGTCAGAGATTAGCAACTTCGAGGATCTGTCTGGCACTCATACAAGTAAATGAAAGGGGGTGTGGGGGCGTGACACCCCCAAAAGTTTGGAAAATCCAATTACAGTTGGAAAACTTAACGGTTTAGTAGGATTTTTTTCTTGAGACCAAGCTCTTGATTTTACATTTTAGGAATTTATGGAATTCAAAATGTAAAAATTGTAAACCTTACTAAAATCCACAGGCTGAAGCGGACCCATTCATTAATCGTTTTCTATTGTGAGGCCCTACCTGTCTCCACTGGATCTCAAATTGCACAATGGCGCCGTTTGCTTTCTTTTTGACGGGAGTTAGGTTGAATTAAAGTTGGAATTTTCATCCATCCACAACCCCCCAAAGTTAGCCACCTTTTTCGTCCCTGCTGGCACTTAGTGCATAAAAACCTTTCATGAAGTAATCAACATAGTGTGGAGGGAGGGGAAACAATTTAGTAGCAATTTTGATATCTTTGGTGGGTAGTTAAATCCTGGGGCTGCCAAATTTTGAACTTGAATTTTATAGTGCTTCAACTGAGGGGAAATTATGGCCTATGATGCAGGCTAACTGCGAGGGTGCACTGCAGTTCCATACCCCTGACTAAAATAATATAGTCTTGAGTGATAGAGTCTTCCTATGTGGGGTCTGGGGGCTCAGGCTAGAATGGGGGTGCTCTCTGCGTTAAACACTCACTTCAGACACTTTAACTGTCCTCAGTACACTGATAAATACGTTAAAAAGACATTTTCTCAATACTGGAAAAATGGAAACATAGCATACTAAAGTACTTGTCATCAGGGAACCGCGGAAGCGAGGGGGGGGGGGGACTTTATCACTCGTCAATAATTTTCAAAATGCATAAAAAACCATACATCAATGTCGGGGGGGTTATCACGGAGCCAAACAGGACTGCTATAATTAACATCCTCTGAAAAGAAGATGAAGAAAAGAAAAAACCTTTCATATTTCCTGTAATATCTATGTTGCTGTTTGAAATATTTTAGGAGTAACTGTTGTTATATGCTTCCTGATAGAAGAATCGGTTGGAAATTATCTGTTAACCCAAGAATATAGCCTCACTTCTCTAACTCTCAAAAGTTCTCCTCCAGAAGAACTGCTCCAGGCCACCGCCTCCTATATCAAGACCAGGGGCGGCTGTCGTCAAAATCACAGGGTGGCTAGCAAATCCAAAGAGCCCGGTTTAGGGCGTGGCGGAAAAAAATTAAGCCACATCCATTAAAAATGTAGCCTTAAAATACGGTTAATTTAATAGAAATTGATAATAGCACAATGTGCTAAACAGCAGCAGTATATCGATTCTAATTAGTACATTCGAACCTTTCCTCGCGTGTAAACAGGGTTTTAAATTCATGTATTCATGTTCAGGTACTTCGACTTCAAAAAAGGATTGCCGACATGAACACCCCCTTCTATTAGCACCCCCTTCTATTGAAACTGGTCGTCATGAACACCCCCTTCTATTAGCACCCCCCTTCTATTGAAAATTGGCCGGAATGAACAACCACCCTCCTATTACCTCCCCGTTCTATTAGAGACACTCTTTCACAGGAAACTTGGGTTCAGCTAAGTGTCATCACACATTTATACGCATTGTAGAGGGAAGGGTATGCTGCTATGTGTATGTTGTATTCACTCTTTTTTATAAGAACCAGTAAATTTAGGTTCAGGCTGACTGTTCTTACTTATTGTAAAAATCTGAGGCTGGATTGTTGCAACCTAAGCTTTATATCCTGTATAACAGTGTTCTAAGTGGGTATAGATTTTGTTTAGGCGCTCGAAATTGTGTGGCCCTGGTACCCAGGGTACAGGTCAGATTGAACACATGGCTGAAATAACGGAAACCAGGGTTTGGGTGCTTTGAAGTTCATGTATTGGGACTTTAATCACAAAGTAATCAGGCTAGGGCATTAAGTCTTTGATATTAAGTTAAAAAATGTTCTCAAACGCAGGAAGGGCCCGTAATATTTTTTACACGGATGGCAAAGTGGCGATCGCCACCCCGGGCCAGACCGTCCCGGGCCAGACCGTCCCGGGCCAGACCGCCCCTGATCAAGACTAAACTTCAGCAATATCTGTATTATTTTCCTTAGGCTTGAAAATATTTACTCAGTTCTTTATTTTCGTTAGAGGTCTGTGAAAACAAAATCTTAGGATTCAAGAATTCCTTCAAGCTTAGTTGGTTTCTATGACTGCAACAGGTATTCTCAACCGCAAAGAAACGAATAAAACATTGTTATTGAATGTCTAATAATAAGCTAGTGAAAATGAGAGTAAAAATAAAAATTGCATTGTGTTTTGGTGTCTTCCAGTTGCTGTAGAATGAGGAACAAAAGTAGTTAGGTTCCGTGGAAAAAATTGTATGGAACTTTTATCTTTGTTGTTTAACAGCACTTTGATCATGCAAGCGTTAAAAAGATACTAGCTTAAAAATGACATCCATAGAAATGCAAATTCGTAACGGAAACTGATTCTGCGAATGCACATATTTTGAAACATTGGTAATCTTATCTTCGGTATAAACACTGTTGTTTCCTTGGATTAAGGAACGGATGATGTCATCTCCGTGAGCGAATAAAAGACTAACGCTGAACTGTTGGGAAAATAACAATCACTGCCAAAATACCTGCCTTAGGTGCCTTGCAGGCAGAACATATAGTACCCCAATACTTAAAACTCTGCGATTATCTTTTCTTGCATCATTCCATGCCATTGACAATATTACCACGCAGTTTGGCTGATAGATGTCGCAATACCACCACTTGCCTATACGTGTCCCTCACACAACTAGCAAGCCCGAGATTAAACAGCAATGCTGGAAAATTCATGTTACTAAATACTGATTTATCGTGATTTTCGACCGAGAACTCTCCTAATCATAGTCAAAACAACAAAATGAAATAGGCATCGTAGAATATATATAGCTTCTGTAACAGTGGAATCAGAGGAACTCAAAATTACTTACCTTATAAGTCTCGACAAGTTGCGGCGTGAATAAAAACACTGGCCTACAGCTTCAGGCCAAAGTTTGGTTCATCGTTACTGTGAGTTTAAGCGTCGGTTAGAACAACGTTTCAGAGCTTCAAGAAGGATATGCGTCTTTGCTTCTTTATCGCGCTTAAGGCTAAGCACTTGTAGGAACATTTGTTGTTTCTGGAGCGTGGTATGTTTGTCGTTCCTGATAGACCTGGTTGGTCTGGAGGTGTGGTGTTGCACGGTTACCAATCAAAACCTACCTTCTCATCACGTGGGCAGACCGGAAGCCTGGCCTTATTGTTGTGTCTTAACAATTTGCATTGTAACGAAGCGACGAAATGTAAGACACACAAATACGCTTTTTTATAAGGAACTGCTTTATAAGGAACATAGATAACATTTAGAAGGCAGAAAGTAATTAAAAAACTGTTTGGATTAATGACAAACTCCCTAACGCAATTTTAATTTTTTAATATTTTTTTCATTGCCAACAATAAAAATTAGGAAGTTGGTTAAATTCATTTTGAGTTAAAATTCAAGTAAATTGTGTCAAAGAACGTAGATGGCCCTGCGTCACAAATTCGAAATTTTTTTTGGGGGGGAGGGTGCAAGGCTAAAAATGTAGGGGCCAAGGCTCCTTACACCTTTTATTGCAGCTTTAGAACTACTTGCTGCGCAAAAAGTGGGGGCTTACGTAGGCCCTGTATCGAGTGCTTCATTGTGTAATTTCAGGGCCCGCAAAATAGGGGGACCATGGCCTCCCCACTTTTCATTTAATAAAAGAATTAAAACAGCCTAAATTATTTATGTAGAAAAACCTTTAAATTACAGCAAATACATTGAACCAAAGTGCATAAGTAAAACAGCGTCAGCAAAATTTTTGCCAACTTGGGCTAGAGTGGGTAAGAGGGTAACTCTTTTTACACTGCCCCTTCAGTTTAGAATCAGTGGTGCGGGCCCTGAATTTCGAGATTTTAATCTTCCTTCATGATCGAGTTTAAACTTTTTCATGTCAAGGCGTCTTTCTAGTCTTCTCTCTATTCTTGACCTTGTTTTTCTACCTAGATTTAAGATTCTTTGTATTATGTACAGTCACCATGGCAGCAAATGTGCAGTTCAATGAAATAGCTATTGAGGAGTTTTTAATGCGGAAATTCGATCAGAAGAGGTCCAAATTTAGAAACTTCAAGAACTTGGCCTCGAATCAGGTTCCTTAAAAAAAGCCTTTGCTCAAATTTGGCACGTGATGAAAACCCAACAAGAGATATAACTTGCAAGAAAATGGATTCGATTTTGCATTTCGTCTAAATTAGACGATAAAATGCTAGAGGATGCACAAAGTTTTGACAAAGTAATTTTGTATTGTGATTCTATGATTTTGAATCATCAAAAGCGAGTCGTGAGCGTTTTATATTTTCAAAATTGGCATTTTCTTCTCACGCAGAGCGATTCCTTTGGAGCAGACGGATCATTCATTGTTTTTATATCCTGTTTTAGCGTAGCAAATGTTTACACTATTACAAGGGGAAGATTTTCCAATTGATGAAAACTTGTTTGAAAAGCGAAATTGCAGAAAATACAAGCAATAGGGATAAAATAATATTTACAATCCAGTGGCAAATACAATGCATTACTATTGTAATATTACAATCATATTGTCTTAATAACAATAAATCATGATAATTAGCATCACGATTGACTAACTGTATGTAAATCATGGCACACTTTGACACATAAACAAGGGGGTCAATTTTCAATTTTCCAATAATTTTCACGCAGACAGTGCCAAGACATTTTTAGTTTTTGTCCTTGAATCCATTTCTTCGTAAGTGTGTGCAGCTGGGTTATTCAAGGTCGCATTGTATGTCCCTTTCAGAACTGTGTGTTTTAATAACGGACTCAGCTAGAGGAAAAGACATAATCATTTCAATGAGCAATATAGTCTTCAGTAAAGAGCACGGTTGAAAAGGTATCGATTAGAGATATTAGACTTTGGCATGTTAATAAGGTGAGCTTACAGGAAACGTAAATCGAAACACACAGCTAATACTTTATGTAACACTGCTTTTGGTATCAAACAAATACGCAGTGATAAAAACAGAAAGCAAAAGGTATATGCACAGGAAAAGCTTACGCAAACAACAACACGTTGGCACGGGTGTAGTGCTAGGGGGCTCAGGGGGCTGAGCCCCTCTTGTTGATGCAAAAAATTAGCAAATTTCTACTTTTGCTATTGTTTTTCGCAACATTTTGTGCAAGAGTCCCCCCTGTTATTCTGATAGCGCTACACCACTGCATGCTGGCATTGTGTAGGTATGTCACATGTGCAGTTAAAGGAGTTCAACCAGCTTTCAATTTATCAGATAATCTAATGAAACAGATTTTCTGCGTCAAGTAAAGCAATGAATTTAGATTTTCTCCAAAAACCAAAGAAATTCATAAAATGTTTAGGCCGGTTTAGGCTATCGAGGGTAACTGTTTTTAATTGAAATACACACCCTTTGAATTATTCAACTTGTCTCGATAAAAATACGCTTCTATACGAGGATAATGCAGTTAGATTTCGTTCTAATATTTTAAAAAGTCATAGTGTAGGTAATAAAGAAAATGATACCTTGAAGGAGAAAAGCGTTGGAACAAAAGGATAAAATATTTTGCACGAAAAACAATTTTAATGAAACCATTTCCTGGAGTTTTGAACAAAAAATAAGTTCACCGAGATCAATCTTCGTTGCTCTAATATAATGAACAAACATTTTGGCATCCAATAGATTTTAGTAAAGCAAACTTTTTGTCGGACAACGGCACTTTTTGGTAAAGGTGTTTATATGTGTCCAAAAAAGTTAAATATTCTGGATATGAAAGCGACCTTCAGAAATATAAAATATTTCTCCATTGTTCTTAATAGAACGACGGTTGTTTAAAAGCACCTATTCCATATGGCGAATCCTATATTCCTTTCAAGTCTTTTAGTTCTATCATCGCTTTCTGTCTTCATCGTTAATAAATTCGCTTTTTTTCCTAGCATAATTTTACTTAAATTCCACCATATATTATCATATTGTACATCAAGCAAGCGATTATAAAAGTTTTTATATAGACGATAATGTTGCTTTGGAATTAAAACAAGTGACAATCGAAGAGTTGTGGTAACGAGAGAAGCCAAGGACGGTGATAATGAAAATGAATAATATATCTTGTCGCTAGAAATTTTCAACAAGATTCTTGATAATTTTCCCGATTGGACAGAAATGAAAAAAAACAACAAATTTGATGGCCGAAAATCTTTCCTTTGCAGCAATCCTAAGAAATCTCAGCTTACCATTACCTAAGGAGCGCATATTTTTCGTTGCATTTTAGTATATAAAGGTCGCGAAATTGGGAAATCCTCTATAATTAAGTGGTAACAAGAATTGTGAGCTTCTTTTGGAAGGACCGTCTGTCAAGATTAGAAAAATTTTGCTGCAAGATTAGCTATAGAGTTGAGTAAAGTACTCTTTAAAACTAAAATCAAGGAAAAAAATTTTGTAAGAGCTGGCCGCGCAAAAAAGGCAGATCTATCTTGCAGAGGACATTCTGTCCGCTTTTATGTGTACAAATGGAGGAAAACACACATCACAAATTACGAAAAAAATTACAAACTGGCAAAGGAATTTTACAGATATTGAAAACTGCAGCCCCGATCCCTGACATGAAACTGTTTGTTTAGCAGCTCAATTCTAATATGAGTCCAAAAGTGGGTGATTTTGCGATAGAAGTTTTTCATTGTCCTTCATTTTTTTGATAAGCGAAATAAGGATTAGAAATTTCTAAGAAGTCGAAACAATTTACTTCCTCAATGGTTGAAAATTATAATCTTCAACGCAGAAGTCACAATTTATTGCTTGTTATCGGGTATTGCCGATCTACCGCAAAGAATCACTGAGAAAAAACATTGAAAAAAAGAACCAGACACAGTTTGTTTTGGATTCAAAAAGGATCAAAGAGCAGAAAGTGACCTTTTTAAATTAAAAATACAAAATTCGGATTACAGTTGCGGTTGATTTATGCTAAATGGATCAAGGGTTGAAGGAAACTGGTTTAATTTCAGTTGATTAAGATCCAGGTTGTTACCATGAAAAAAGGGACAATCATTAAACTCTTCTGCTACAACATACTAAAATCATATTTTTGCTGACACTCATTGCTGCATTCAATGCAAGAATATCTAACCCTATGTAGATTCCAAAGCGCATAAAACGTATTCAAACTTCCCAAAATGACCGTGTCTCTCACTTGCATGTTCCCAGTCGATTTCAGTGCTAAGAACATTTGTTCCATAAACTAATAGACAGAATTAAACCCAAGAAATTTTTGGTTTGGTGAAAGCCGTAAGGATGTGTAGGGCTGTACAACTTGTGGGGCTTTGAAAATATTGGAAATGCCTATCTTTTAAAAAAAAAGAAATCTCATTAAAGCAGGATTGGGCAAATACTTCATAGCTAGAAACCTAATAAAGGCGTTGAGTAATTAAAATTCCTGCCACCATAAGGGAAAAATCAGTTCCTAAAGAGAACAACTACACAGGTCTTGTAGAAATAGCACCTCATTTGCTTGACTAAAGGACAACACTCTATAAAAAATCGAGAAGTTTTCCAAAGCTATTTAGATGACATTGTTATTTGGCAAAGTAAAGTCGCAGTTTTTATACACATTATGGAAACTGCTTTCACAAAACACTTAGCAGGTTTTCTTGGACAGAAAAATTTCATTTTTTCTTTGGGACGCACTATGACTAACAACTATCAATGCACAATGATAAGTTGTATGGGACAATAATTTTTTATACTTATACCTTCAGCTGGGTGCAAATTTAGGTAGCATACTTCCGTCTATCACTTTGGTGTCTATTTCTTGTATACAAAGCGGGGCCCAATGCACAAAGAGGGGGGGAGGAGGGGAGGGGGCCACCTTCCCCTACCTTTTCGCTAAATAACATAATAAAATCAACTTAAAGTATTTATATAGATAAATCTTTAAATTACAAAAAGTAAATTGAGCCAAAGTACACAGGTAAAACAGCGTCAGCAAAATGTTTGGAGCTAGAGGGGGTAAGAGGAACCTTCCTTTACATTGCTGGTCCTTCCAGTGGCGCAGGCCTTGTCAACTATTGCGCTCGCATTAAGTTTACCCACACAGTCGATTGAATTCAATCGCTATAATTGAGTGGACCATATTTTTGTCACTGCACGCCTTAAAATATATCATGGCGCGGGCCTGCATAGGAACGTTGCACACAAAAACGTTTCTAGTATATAGAGGCGATTAAATGTATTCTCAAAGTAGAGCCTCCAGAAATATTGTCATCCAATTTCAAAATCGAAAAACTCCAATCACTAGCTGGACTAAATTTCCTTTCTCAGAGATTTTGTTTTGCTATGGTGTTTAAAACAGGACGGTGCAAGGCTGCATACAACAAATCGTGTCGGCACCAAACAATAATTGGCAGACATGTTTTTACTGGTTTCTGTTATACCTTGAGAAAGGCGTGACGTCACCAATGTACGCTACAGGTTAACCCTTATGTAGGGAAAACAATGTCAGCTAATTCATACAAAAACTTGTAAGTATTGAATTAAACAGTTATCAGAAACCTTACTGTAATACCTTCAAGCATATCTACAAAAATGAAACCTCCTTGTTTTGATACTTGAACTTCACTAAAAAAGGACAGCAAACCTGTTTTATTTTTCTTAATAATGGCCAAAAGACGGGTGGATATTACACCATCATGGCGTATTTGATTGGTTCTTTACTTTGACCAATCATCAACCGCAGGCCTTTCACATAGTTGAAGAGTCCAAGTAAGAAAACAAATCTCTGAACCTCACAAGAGCTGCTCCAGTAGCTGGGTCAGCTCACTATGTCCCATGGCTCTAAATAAATTGCGTCCCGCTTTTCTCAGTTCAGCGCCAGAAAAAGAAATTTTCACACTTTTCAGCTAAGTAACCAAGACAGCACAATTGGGCAAAGCGAGCTGGTCAGACTACCAAGACAGTGTAAAGCTAGCATAATCAGGTCTTAATACTGCAAAGACTCACCTCATAAGCACCAGGGCCAGGAATGTCGCTTCGTTTGCTTTTGAACCTTTGCTCCTTTGACACAAGAGATCCACCTGGTGCAGTTGAAGATTTGATTTCGTATTTTCCAGGTCCAGGGTTATATCGATCTGTAGATTTTATTATGACATCACGAGGCTTTGAAAACCTTTTGGTCGATGACAGGAAAGCGCCTTTAGCTCTGGTGGACGGGTTCTCGGCCCGACATGTTGGGTAAAGAACTCTTCCTGAAAGAAATAATGACATAAATTATAAACTTATACAAACTACATTCGCAAAAATGCTTCAGTAGGTAATTCATCATAGAGCCCTTTCAACAGCAAACAAAATATTGAAGATGACGTCATACTCAGATATGCTTCAAAATAGTTTGGTAGACAGCACGTCATAGATAAGGAAACATTTTGACTACAATCATGAACGTTGAGTTTAAATATCACAGCTGTTTCGTAACTGCATTGATTGTTTTGGACATAAGGTTATAGAAGATGTTTCTTATCTGAAAAAAACCCATACGGGAAACAGCCGGCGATTAGGATGGGTTACAGCTAGAGAATGCTGCATCAAAGTTATGAATCAAAGTTACCTTGCGTTTTGTCATAAGAATTGCTTACTTCATATGAACCAGGTGGTGGAATATCCTAAAAAAACAGAGAAACTATGAGGACATGCAAGAATGTCTCTGCACCTCGAATGGGGGGAGAGGATTGGCAGGGGGGAAGGGGTTCTGCAGCTATCAAACTTGTCCTACTGTCCGATGTAACAATACACAGCGTGAACAGAAGATTAGCCATTTCACTATTTTATTTGGTAGTTCCCTGTATATTGCATGATTTCATGATTAACACAAAAAACGCACTTTTCGATACCGACACAACAAAACTCGTAAAAAGCGTTATCAATAATGTACAAACTCCAACAAATTTGAGCATTGCGTTCAAAGCAGCTTTTACGGCGAATAAAAGAATCTCCATTTTTCGAAAACAGCAAAGTACCGATATACAAATGTGTAATTATAACTGCAAGGGCGTCGAATCAAGAATGCTAAACGGATTTAAAATGAGTGCTTGCGATGACGCTGCAAATACAAATAAAAAAAAGTAGCTATCTAAAAACGCCCCCAAGAAAAGCGGAAGATATAAGGTGAATTTAAGCTAAACATTTATTGGCAACATCTTCCTTCGGCATGCTTGACTAAATTCCAGAATCGAGAAAAGTCAGCTGCTATATGATCAAAGACTGTGCAAGAGACTAGTAAGAAGAAAATTGACACACCCAAGTCCTGCCTTAATTTCTTTTTTTTCTAAGAAGGGTTTTCAAAGCTAAAGAGAGCGTCCGGAAAGGCTGGGCACTTTTCTGGGCCCTATTGGAAATTTATTAAGCAGTTGATGAAGATTAATACTGTAATGTTGTGATTTATGCATATATTAAGTTACCATTGCATAAATTAGAATTTTACTCACATTTACAATTGGAGTAGGGGTTTGTAGTCTGTTGGTTGTCGAAACGAAAACAGAAGAAGTCTGTTGGGGTTTCTTCACTGTTTGTTTGTCCTCAACGAGGTAATGGGACGGGCCTGTTAACGGAAGACAAAACGTCTGACTTTCTAAATTTTATAAAAAACTAAATCGACTTCAAAACTGAAAAAGGTTATAGTGTGTCTAGTAGGTAACTCGTACGCAAGGTAGTGTTGTAAGATAGGGCCAACAGTATTGTTAGGTACATCTGATGGCCATTTTCTCAATGGCATTACCTTCTTGTGTGAAAAAGTAGTACCTATTTGTCAATTTAGTATATGACGCTAAAAATCTAATGGAATACTGTGTTAGATGCCAAGAGAGATAAAGTTTCATGGTTTACCTTAGTGTAATTACAAGTCTCGAACTGCCTTTTAAGGTCAAGATCCTCTGTCACTAGTAATGTATCCATGCACCCCTATTGCCCAAAGACACAAGCATTGATAGATCATTACAATATATGAGTATTCCATAAAATGGCTACATAAAGAGTCTTTATCTAGATTTAAGTACCTGGAATAGCGACAGCATCCTTTTTGCTTAATTCGACAGACCGGTAAGTTGTTGATCCAAAACCTCCCTTCCTCGTACTTGACAAACTGCGTTGAAAAAAGTAATTGAAAGGAATTTATTTGACGTCGATCAGATACATTCGCCAAAATTCTAATTGCAATATTATGTTCCAAGCACGAGCAACAAGACTTTACGAATTCAAAACCCTTGCTATCAAGGAGGACGCAACAAAGAAACTGCAAACGTTTTTATGAAAACTTTCATTTGAACTAGAATGGTTTCGAGCCAAATGATATCGCTATATACAGGGTAGACTAGCCAGTCTATAAGATACCGAAACGCTTATGAAGTGGTTTGTATTGTAATTCAAGTGGGTGCTTAAAAGAAAGGTGGGGTGAGTACGAAAGAAACTCATCTAAAAATAACCGTTAACAGTTTTTTCCTTCCTTAACGTTCTATTTGTTACAAATCTTATGAAAATGTGTTAAAGAGATTTGAAAAGTTAAAAACATATTTAAGTTTAAGTGTTCAAGTGTGCAAAGAAACATTAAAGACTTTGGTTGAATTTCGGTTGAATCTCATAAGGATACTTATTGAGGCATTGCCTTTAACATATCAATTAGGGGGGAATCACCCTTTAGCCAAGGCAACCTTTGGTTTAAGGCAATTTGCTATTGTAAACTCTTCATAGAAACAAAGAATCTCCTTCGCAGAGCGCATAATCAAAGGGTGTGAGTTAATCTTTGCGAAAAACTTTAGCTTTCCTTGGCCTTTCATGATTCAAAAATCATTTCTAGATCGTGTTGAAATGCGTTTTTGAGATAAAAAACAGCTCACACGTCTTTATACCTTGAAGAAAAGATTTCTATACGCCCAACCCCTTGATCACATGGAAAGACCATAAGACTGTAAGCCAGAAAGAAGTCCCCTAACAGAAAGAAGTTACCACAAATAAATCAAGCCATCACTTACTATGCTTTTCGTTGCGATTCTTTCGCTATATCAAAATGGTTGTATGCTCCAGGGCCTGAAATAAACAGATATTGTCAATGGTATGGTTGCAAGAAATTGGAAATTTATCCAGGGATTGCGAACCCTTCCCCCAATGCACAAAGTCCCAAATAAAATTGCTTTAGCATGTTGTGCTCCCTACCCCTACCCCCTATATTGTGATATTGTCCACAGTGAATGAATGCAGTTCCTCAGAGACAGTGGTCATATGCCTTTTCTTTTCTGCCAGTATAATTACCGCAAACAAGTTGAGACTAATGTGACTTGGGTGTGTGTTTCGCATAAAGCGACGAAAATGGATTGTTGCAAATTAGAAGCGACCAAAGAAGAAAGTTATCCTAAGCCAGTTAGACGCATTTCAAGGTAGAGAACAGTCAATGTTCCTCGCTGTTTGATCTTCCGAGTGTCGTGACTGGTTTTTAGGGCTCCCCGGACAAATACCTGTTCACGTGAATATTAATACTAAGACGATACAGGAAGAAAATATATAGACACGAAGAGTTGTAGAAAAATCAAGTACCTGGTGTTCTTTTGACATGATGTTGCTTTTCAAATCGAAGACTTGTTTGCCCAAACGGGCTCCTTTTAAGTCCAGTCAATCTATGATTGAAAAAAAATCGATATAAAAGCATTCTGGGTATGGTTAAAAATACTTGAGTAGTACCAAATGAGTTCACAAAATGACTATTTGACCACATGGAAGTTAAAACTTGCTCTTCACTTTTTCCTGACTTTTCTCAGGCAAAGTTGACAGATCTTTCCCTGACTAGCAAAGCTTCAAAGAAGACAGCTGAGGACAGGAGACATTGTAAACTGACTTCTTTTGTTCATGCAATGCCGAATAAGAAATAAAATGGCCAACAGGAGGATAAGAAAATACATCACAGCTATGGTTGAAGGAATAATTTGGATTATTCCATAAATCATTGAAAAAGTAGAAAAACTACCTAGTGCAAGTAGCTCACCTGTTTAGTGTTTCAAAAGCATGTCTCGGGTCATTATACGAGCCAGGAGCTGGCATTAATTTCTTTCCATCTGTGAATCTCTATAATTCAAAAGGATATTACAGGGACGCCGGATCACATTTTGGATTAGGGGGGGGGGGGGGTTGGGCGTTTTGTTGCAAGACAAGTTGGCAAACCCGTCATTATCTTTGATGCCACAACCTTAATATTATACTAAAACTATATTAGTATACATATCATCAGAAAACAGGATTTGTAGGCAAACAAATATAGTTGACATTCAAAGTTTGTTGAAAAGGATGACAATGCAAAGATTGAAACTTAATTTTCTGTCAAAAGCAACAATCATCAATGTTTATTAGTTACTGCAACATCACAGTTTAACTGATCGAAGATATCGAAGAAAGTATCACAATATTTATATTGTATTATTTCTTTGTGAAAAGCGACTGAGACTCACGTTTGAACTACAGCCAAACGGAGGACGGTCCGCAGCATCAGCTGGTTGTGCAGGACTATTATTGAATTGGCTCTTGATTTCGTACTGCCCAGGACCTGGTACAGCCTAAAAAAGAACACCTATTGGTACAAAATTTTCTTTTTATAAGAAGATTGACGTTTGGAATAAAGAATAATAATTGCCCAGCTTTAATGTTGCGAACAGCTGAAATTCTATTTATCTGCGTATTTTGGGCAAACAAGACGAGCATGGCTTTCAAGCAAAATGTTTGAGGAACACACATCAAGCGTGTAGTTGTTAATATGTTTCATTTCCAAACATGCTTACATGATGAAATAAAATAGCAGTAAAGGTTGATGCTTTCCCTCGATTGTTACCAAATGTACACATTGTGTCGCTCAAGAATGATTTAAGAAAAAATTAGGCTCAGAATCACAGAATTGTAAGAACATCGAGCATCAGCAAGAATCCAGGTATCCTGATAAGAAAAATAAGTGTGTTTCAGATTAGAAGCCAAAAGAAATCTTTTCTTTGTATGCTCTTTTCATTGAATATTTTGGTGCAGGAATGTAAAAAGATGCACTATTCCATACAATGGCAAACAAGAAACAACTTCATTGACTCGATATGCTTTGATTTGAAACGATACTGGATTGCAGCAAAAACAGCAGTGAATAGATTATGCTCTATTGGTGAATTTCATCAATATTCATTTGATTATACTTTGGAACACGCAGCAGTTAAGTTCATTCACAGTTGGCTCTTTGCCAAACCCTGGCTATTGTACCGTCGCTTTGAAATGACTTCGGAGAGGATAGAAAAGAATTGACTCAAACCGGGGTTGCTATTGTTTGATACCAATGCAACTCTTTCTTTGTAGCGGTGAGAATGTTCATTAAACACCATGAAAAACTAGTCTTATACTTAAAGGGCAATTATCAATCATTCTCGAACACATCACACTTAAAAATGTTTTATTTGCACCAATTCATAACTCCAAACGAAAACATTTTCCTACCTTTTTATCTTCAGTGATTTCAATCAGCTCATGATATCTGGGCAGCTGGAAAATATATTTTAAATTGAGTAAGTGTTAAGTAGTAAACCAAAGGTGTCAAGATAGAAACCAAATAGAAATTATCTGCCATCATTGTGTGTAAAAATTTGATGCATCAAAAAATTAAAAATTGATGTAGTACGATCATTTACATCACCAATAGGACACTAAATTTCACTTTCAATTGTAAAATATTAGATCCTGTTCCTTAGCCAGAGCCAGAAATCATGACATGGCTAGGGGGAGGGGGGCAATTGCCAGAAATGGCATGACCAAGAAAATTTGTCACATAAATTGGTTCATTTCTACAAAAAAAATGGAAGGAAGAAGGCTGGTCAAACAAGAAATTATCAACTGCACTATTAAACTATGCTTGCTTGAGCTAAATGCTAGAAAGAAATATAGCACTAATTTTGCAATCTTGCAACCCACACCTTATAAATACAGTACAATTGCTGCAATTTTCCTGTTTGCCTAGGGTCACATGACTACAACAGTGTTGGCTTTCAGAGACCAAACAATCCATTTTTTCATGCTACTGAAATGTTATGTTTTAGGGTTCTGGGCTGCATTTATCTCCAATTTTATACACTATAAAGGTCAACTCAATTTCAGTCACGTATTTTGCTATTTGTTGATGTTGAATAAATTATGATTGTCTTTCCCCATTTCAAACTAGTGGAGACCTTTAATTTTAGACAAATATTCGAGAGATTCTTAAACATTACTGAATAATCTTCAAGACATTTCTATCATCTTACCTTTGAGTCAAGTGGCTGCTTCTTCTGTTCTTCAATTACCTAAATGCAAAATGTTTTATAATAGACCTGATTATGGTATCAAGAAGGCAATTATTTAGATTGTATCAACAAACTAGTGTGCTTATTTAAGATTATTTCAAACATACATGTGATAGACCAGGATATTGTGGCTTCTTACCATATATTTTTGATTCTCTTTTATGTAACTTTTGTGCTGCACAATAACTTGCAATTTAATCTAGGATTTGTCTTCACATATAGATAACATAATCATATGCTTAAATAATGAAAACATATTGCCTATTGTATCTTTAATAATGAAAACATATTGCCTATTGTATCTTTAATAATGAAAACATATTGTCTTTGCCACATGATAAGCATTTAAACAAAATGTCTTTCGGAATTAGAATGGAATTCATACTGCAATTAGAATGTGTCACAACCTGATATAGAAATTCAGGAAATGAAAACAGACATACGTAATCAATGGGTGCTTTTGGCTTTCCTTTGTAAGGGTTATATTGCCCAGGACCAGGTCCATGATTTACTGTGCAAAGAAAAACATCATTAAGCAAACAATAGTGACAGAACTTTTTACATCCAAATCGAGAAAAAACAAAGAGCATTAAGGCCGACCTCCACTTGGCCGCGCGTACGGTGCGGCCAAGTCAGCGCATGCCCAGTGACTCGGTATGATGCAATATTCTTGCCCGTCACGTTCAAACTTTGTACGCTTTGAAAGTAGAACCTGGTTCTACTCTCAGAGCGGCCGCTCTACGTACGTCGGAGATTATCCAATCAAATTGCAAGACTTGGTGACTTGGCCGCACCGTACGCGCGGCCAAGTGGAGGTCGGCCTTAAGTCATTAATATGTTATAGATAAAGGGTGAATAATTATTTGAAGAATCAAAATGTAAACTACCTTCTGAGTTGTCTCTTTTTGAAGTTAGATTTCCAAAATGAATTCCTCTATACCTTTTGACAGCTTCTGTTTCACTCTAGAAATTAATGCATTTTTAAATTTAATTATAAAATTATACTGAAAAAATTCATGAGATGCTAAGGTTTAAGAAAAAGTCTTCCAAAAATGACAACTGGTTCCATAGAACTCTTGTAAAGACCACCTAACTCCTCCATGTGGGTATCAAATCTTTCAATAAATTTTCAATAAACATAGGAGAAAACAGTAAATTCATCAACATATTTCACATACTAGATTTTCTGAAAATATGGCAAATTTTCTGACAAGAGGGCAGTTACTTACTAAATTTTCCTGCAGACTATGGACCATATTTTTAGTTTGGTTCCAAATAATAATTAAACAGCAGGAAAATAGCTTAATTTCTATTAAAAGATCAAATGTTTGACCAAAACACTCACATCAAAAACCTTGTAATATGCAGGGCCAAGTGTTCTGTCTCTATGAGGTACTTTTTGCTTTTCAAGTGAACCATCAGCAGCTTCATGATAGCCATAGGCCTGGCCTGGTGTTGGTATACTTGGAGGGTCAGGTTTCCTGAGATATGTTACTCTTTTGTGATGCGCATCCTAAAAAAATACATATCATTTCTCACAAATTGCCAATAATGATGAAACAGTGAAAACTTGAGAGCATCTTCAAGATATAGTGAAAAGAAAAGCTAATAATCTTGATTGGAGTTCAATGAAAGACCTTTTGATAAATACACTTTGAAAAAATATTTCTCTCTAATGAATACTCACATCTTTTTTTGAAAGCAACTTATTCCTTTGCCAAGCAGTTTGTTCTGATACATTATAGGACCCTGGGCCTGGTACTTCTTCACGTTTTTTGATGAAACGCTGTCCTCTATCTCCAAGGGTAGACCCACCTGTAACTTTTTCATTAATCCTTAGATCGTATTGACCTGGGCCAGGAGCAGCAATCACTTGATCTGGCACATTGAGAAATGAATCTCTTGCTGTCATTGATTGAAATGGAGCATACCCATCTAGAAATGAAGCATAATACTTTTAGTCATATAGCATCATGACTTAGTTAACAGAAAGTGTTATCCAAATCTTGTCTTCTGCAGGGTCAATGCCCTGTGGTATAAACTGTATGAGCCTCATACCATTTTGCTTCCAAAGGTTGTCCTAGAAAAAACCCTAAAATTCAAGGGCTCTTGGGATATATCTCTTCCAGCCATTTTGTACTGCATTGACGCAGCAGCTGAGGCATTACTTTTTCAATGATAGTTAATATGTCAATTTGTATTGGAATTGCTTTGACAAAAGATTTTAAATTGCCTTCTTACCTGTTGATGAATCATATTTTATACAGTATAATCCGGTTATAACGTACTTTAAGGGACCAGTGTTATAAGTATGTTATATCCGAAGTACGTTGTAACGAGGGTAAGTAAAAATTGACTAAAGCCAAGCACATTTTTTGCCAGGATCAAGCACACCAGTATGTTATATCCTAAAGTACGTAATAACCGAGTACGTTATAACGGGATTCTACTGTAGTACTGTTGGCCAAAGTATTAGTTTCTCATTTCACTTTGATTTCTCATCCCCCCCCCACACCCCCGCAATTTCCGCCACTGTCTCATACCATGATGTCACTAAACTTTTGTCGAAGTGGCCCTGATCTACTTTGGAGGTTTTGTTTTCTCATACCGTGGCCAGTCAAATCGTAGCCTCTCAAAATTACGCCTGAATTTTCACTTGCTTGTATCTGCAAACTGTGTTTTAATCAGGTTTAAGAATTGAGTATTGTTTGGATGTTAGAAAGGTATAACATAGTTTCTCTAAGTACCATTTTTCCAGGTTAGGTTATCAAAAGGTAAAAAGGGGTGGTGACAAGTATAGGCTGATGGGTCTAATTGCTGTGTTGTGGTTGGGTTGAAGTACTTTTCACCAAATTATTTTAGTTATCGGCTTTTCAATTTTGTGACCTTGATCGATGAAAACATTGACTCTTCTTGAAAAGTGTCAACAATTTTTGTACAGGATTGTAGGTGTTGATTGATAGTTTGCCTGAAAATTGTTTAGTCTAGCTTAAATTAGTCTCTCACTCACCTGTCAGACCTTTTTTAGCAGCTCCATCGAATGGCCAGTAGGTTCCTGGCCCAACATCATCGGCAGTACCTGTTATTGCAACGGTTAAGGCTCTTGGTGCTCTTCCATACATTCTGAACTGTTTCCCTAAAGCAAAAATATGAAAAACTTTGCAAAGTCTACATTGGTTTGGATGAATGTGACCACTGTCTCCATGACAATCTCATCCTCGTCTCAATCTCAATCCTCACTTTCAGCAGTATCCAAGGTAACTCGCGGCCTCGATTTGGCACATTTTGAATTTGTTGACGTTTGGAAAGCATAAAAGGTAAATTCAAATCTTTATAGTTCTCCGCTGAACGTAATGATTATAAATTTATTTTTAAAGTTTTAGACATGTTATTATAGGACACGAGGGTACTACATACGTTATTTGCGTTATGTGTACTGGATAACTTTCTTTAATGCAGTTTATGTCCATATTCATCATTGTGAAAATAACTGATTCATGTTAGAGCAGTAGTTTCATCAAATGGTGTAGATAGATAGGAAAATTCATAGAAAGGGCGAAGTCAAGATTTTCTGACAAATATCTAATAAGCATTTTTATATTTTTACCTATATTTGAACATAAACGACAACAGAACTGGAACTTAAAAATAAAACAAAGTTTTATCATTTATTCAAAGTTGAGTGTCATAAATCATACGAATGGAAGATTTTTCTGATCTTCTCTTCGAAAAAGGCATTTATAAGTATTATACCTTTTTTAAAGAGACTTCTTAATTTTGCTGAAATAACAAAGTGTTTCCTTTAAGACAATATAAAGCCAATGTGAAAAATTGTATTGTTATATTCAAGTGTGCGAAGAGTCTTCAAAATGGCAAGTGATGCAAGCAGAAAAACCAAAAAGTCAACTCAGCTTCTAAGCAAAGAGGAGGAATATCTGTAAGTACTTCTCATACTATGAAGTATTTATTAGTAGAGAGTGCGGGAAAATAACCGACCCCAAGCAAGGCTCAAACTCACAACCCTTGACTTTGTACATCAAGTGCTCTACCACTGAGCTATCAGGTCGTACTTTCAGGCCAACACCCAAGGCCAAGTCTTTCACCCGCACTGCCCCTCTCTTTTACCAGTTACACAGGGGAGCCATCGCAGCTCCATCACAAAGTGCAGAGAACCTGAAGAGTGAGAGAGGACTGGCCGAACCACTGGATAGGGTTGCAGAGAAAGCCAGAGAACAATAATTATTCAAATTTGCAGATAACACAAGTTTTGTGAATGCATGGAATTGGTAGCAAAGTTCTTGGAGGATTTGCAGTTCTTTCTTCTTGTAATTTTAGAAATTAGAATTTTAAATGGGAATATTAACAACATAAACAAATATTATGCACAGACTCTATTATAGTTTCTTACTAAAGCACTGTTGGAATGGAGATAAATGTTTTTTTCTGTTGTGTTGGAATGTACTTAAATTCCTGTATTCGAATCCTAGCTAATATTTTCCAATGTATTTGATTTTTTGATAGTAAAAACAGACTGTTTTATGTTATTTTAACATCTTTTATGTAATAGCAAATATACATTGTAGGATTTTCATAGATTGCATAATGATATTGTAGTTGATGCTTCAGTTATTTTCCTTTTTTAATGTCAAAGATTTTTCTGTCATCAAATAAGATGTTTCAATTGTCTGCCAGAATTTCTTTAAAGTTATGCCTTTTTCATAGACGTCTAAATGCAGAATTGGAAGAAAGAACTGCCAGTTTGATAAACGAAGCAGAAAGTGTTCTGGTTTGTTCAAATATAAGAAACTTCAATATGAATAAATATTTGATAAAAGTTGAATGGAAAGTGCAAAAATAATTTGTTCTCTTTTACCAGTCAATCATCTAATGTTGCTGATTTTAAGTGTTGCAATGCTCACAACTGTGAAACTTTTTATTTCGTACTGATTTATATGGAACAAAAAATTGCAAAAATAGTTGGTTAATAACATTTAAGAATAGCTTTGAAGAAGATGTCAAATTAACTGACTTCAAAGCAGTGCCCAGCTGGGTATATATATTTTCTACCTTAGAATATTTAATTACTCTTGCTTCTAATATTTTATGCCTGGAAGGTTGTCAGAAAAAATGCTGAAAATACATTTGCTTTTTTCAAACCCATTTTTGGACAAGGAAATTATTAGTTTGTCAGTTAAGTACACTGACCATGCTCCTTTTTCTCATGCTTCAATGGCAATGGGTTTTATGTTTTATGAAAATTGCAAAATATCTTCTAATTGATGGAAGATCTTTTTGATAAATGTCTTTTCTGCAGAGAGGCCAAGAAAAATATCTGGAAGGAAAGCATGATGTTGCAGAATCATCAAGTATAAAGTCTGGGGATTATTCCAGGTTTAAATTTTTTATTTCTTTCAAGCTATTTCTTGTTTGTTATTTTAAACATCTTCTGTGATTGTTTCTCAAAATGCAAAAAGTGAAAAATCTCAAATTAAAATGTTTTTCTAGTGATTCAAAATCTCAAATCAAGTCTCGTACTGCTCAAAGACCAAGTTCAAGCCAGCTAAAGCCAAAGGTATTTGAATCAAATGCTTTACATGAATATCTTGTCAGAAATGATTAATTTATGTTTTAGAGCTAATATACAATAAAACTTGATTATGAAAAATGTTTTGATAACAGATGCAATGGTGTCACAATGGGTTTGACATATCCACCCCAGTTTTTTTGAGCTGGCAACAACATTGAACAGATGTATAGCGAACTTCAATGCTCTAGCGCTGTTTAATTTTTTTGGAACAATTTTGCCAAAATTGATACTAACCTCCAGTCTATAGAGCCAAATTAATATATGGTCCACTTATTTTTTGCATCAAACTCAAGGCAAAGTCAGCTGGGCTAATAAATGCTTAGCAATATTTTGTGCTAAGTTTTGTAGACATTATTACAAAATTAATTGATTCCCTGTCAATTTTCAGATATAATGTCAGTTAATTGCTAATCTAAGTTTATGTTTGACAATGAATATTTGTATCTTGCATTTTTAAAATAAAATTATTGGTGGATGTCACTTGTTTCAGCATATCATTTATCCACAAAAATAAATATATGGCCTAACAATATATATTGTTACCAAAATCTTCAAGAATTTTTTAGTAGGCCATCCAATATATTTCAATGCAATTAAGTTTTTGCTTCGTTTTGCTTCTCAAATCCCGAACAAAACTTTTTTTACCAACTGATACGTTAAGATGCATTGGATACTCGAATCTTGTCAGGTAAAATATCTGTTTTTTTTTGTAGAAAGCACCAGTTCAAGGGCGATCAAAATCACATACTGGTTTCAACAAAACAACAAGACAAGGAAGGTAAAATTTATCAAGCAAAATGCATTGGATGATTAATTCTCCTCTATGTTTCCCCAGATTTCAACATTAGCTGTTTATATGATCTGTGATGACAAAGGGCAAAATGAAAAATGTATAGATGAAAAGTCCTCATTCATGCGATGCAGTTTACCAAATTTCCAGGCTCGTTATCGGTTTTACGCAATAAACAGTCCGAATTGATTATGCAAGGAATATGTCCTTGTAAACAATCTCTGTAAGGAAGTTTCAAGATCACTGTTTCGTGTAACCCTATAAACATTATACCCATTTCGGTTGGAGTTTGTCAGACGAATGCTGTTTTGGAATATTTGACATTATGTAAATCTTGGTATTGTCTCACTTATGTACGGTGCCAAAGGCATATGTGGATACCCGGCCTAACTTTCCTAGCGGCGTGGGAATAGGGGAGGCGCCCCCTTCCAAGAATTAATTCTAGTTAAAACTAAGTGAAAAATGTTTATGTTTGCCACAAATAAACTCCGAGGTTGCTCTTATACTGCATTGACCTTAAGCAAATAAGCTTATTGTGCCAAATAAACTGAAGCAAATGCTAAATATAGGAGGCAACGTTACCCATAAACTAATTCCTTTAAACCAGAGACTCTCGTTAAATTCGATCGACAAATTTTTATGCATGGTACAAATTAAGTCGCTAGCATATCAGACTAGGTAGCATGAACACCCAAGAATAGCCCGGAATTATAATGATTGCACCAGTATATTTTAATTTTTCGTCGGATGCTGCCTTGGTCTTACCTTGCAATTTTCACACAAAAAAACACATGTTAGATTTTCAGGTACCCAAATAGATATGAAATATTTGAGCTAGGACTGTGTTTTCTTAAATTGAATAGGTCCTTAGCAAACCGAATAGCACACAGAAGAAAAGCATTACATCTTGTTTTGAAATGATGAAATGCTGTGCATTCAATTCAGGCAAATGTTTGTCATAGCAAGTCTCTTAAAAATTATTTTGAAAGTCTTTGGCAGGGCTACTCTGCTTCTTTACTCGTTTAACTATCATAGCACGGCGGTTTCACTCGATCTCTAAACTCTAAAGGGTTCTTCCGTGTTCTTTCAGCGCTTCAAGTAGCAGACCAAACAGCAAGGCCTCCAATCCGGCTTCATTCATGACACAAAAAGATGACAGCGATTTATCGATGGACCTATTGCAAGACAGAATTGAGCTTGCTCACAAAATCAGTACCTTGGAGCAAGAAATGGCTGACGAACATTACACGCCATCCCGAATGAATGAGGAGGTTATTCCAGAAGTTGCAAACGACATGAATCCAGGTGAGCATTTGGAAGTCTAACTAGGTTGCCAAAGGGATTAGTGAACGGCCTGAGTTAAATGCAGAGATCCTCAAGAGTATCCTGTTTTGCCAAAAGAGGATTTGATTATTATCCAATAGATTTGCCCTGTCCAGCTTTCATGAAGGTTTTCCTGTGATCAACTGTCCCAACAGCTTTTGAGCGCATGCCTAATGGGAAGTGAACTGTCCATTATTTCTAGCATCGGCTTTTTAACTCAGGCTGTTTGGATGTTTACTTCAATATACTCTTTATCTTAGGGTGATATTTCCTTCTTATTTCTTTTCTAGAATTTGTGTATCATTTCTTTGGAAAAAAGTGTTCGTGAAAAATTTAAATTTGCCCTGACACTCTAATTAAATCTGGTGTCAATCTTCTTTCCTGGGCTAAACGAAATGAAATAACAATTAAAGAAGTTGAAGTTAATAGATTTAGGTTGAAGGCTTGAATGGAGTCACGAAGAAATAGATGAAAATTGTTGTTCTTTTCATAAATTTGATATGTTAAAATAGTATTGGTTGCAATTTGATCTTGCTTACACCAAAGCTGATTTTCTGCCTTTTTATTGGATTTTAGAGGCTGTTATTAGATTTTTAAAGGCAAAGCTTAGAGTTATGCAAGAAGAAATGGACAGGGTTTCATCAGATAACAGCAAATTGGTAATGGCAAATATGATTTGAATCTCCCAGGAAAGAGGCCCAATTTTATCTCTTAAAACAGGCTTTCATAAATAAACAAGAAGCGCGGTCTTGGAAACAATATCTAAACTTATGTTTCTGAACTAGCAGAGCTTTTACCCGCAAATTATGTTTGTAAAAGAATTGTCTTTTGCACTAACTATTTTGTAAGCAATTAACCATTCTAGGGATGGATTCAAACGATTTGAAATTGTCCAAAAAAAGTCATGTAACGGGCAAAGATGTTTTTCTTATCGAGGAGCTAAAATGTGGAATGACCTTCCTGTCGGAACTAAGCAGGCATCTTCCCTAAATATATTCGAAAAATTTATTTACAGTATACCTAGTAATTCGCTTTTCCTTTCTTTATAATTGGTTTTCTAATTATTAGTTCTGGTGTATGTTTTTAACAGTTTTTGCCTTATTGATATTGTATCTAATTTAATTTTTCTATATTTGAATGCAATTACAGTTTTGAACAGAATGCCCCTTGTAAATCAGCTCCGGCTGAAAAGCAACTCTCCCTAAATAAATTAAAATGAAAAAAATGAAATGAAAATTCTACAATGATGTCGTTAGTTATCATTTGTACAACTTTTTTATTTCCACTGTAGTACAAAATTAATGTCTCTATTCTTTGCGAAACCTTGAATAAGGATTGTTTTGGCCTAGTACGACACTTGTAAATAATCTTAACGACATATTACAAAAAAACAAAAAACATGATTTTTTCTGACCAACATTCAATGGAGATAGTTCCCCACTATGAGCTTGTATTCGTGAAACAGAGAATTGAAAAAAACCCAATATTTTCTCATTTATTATTATTTGTAGCATGGGAACATCAAAATGTCAGATCAGAAGTTGAAAGAACTAGCTGAAGAGCACCAACAAGCCATAAAAACAAAGACAAATTTACAGGTAAATCTGTTTTGGGTTTTCAATAATCTATTGATCAATTGTTCACTTACTCGTATTTTTTACCCATGTACTTTTCTCTATCAAACAACCGCAAGTTTCAATATTTGTCACTCATTTTTGTAAAATATCTTATAAATGTAAGATAGATCTTGGATGCAGCTATTTATTCAGACATGTATCTAATAGCTTTACTACAAGTTCCCTTGTGATTCATAAATTTGTATGCTCTTTTTTTCAGAATCAAGTTGAAAAATGGAAAAAGATGTATGATGAAGCGAAGCAAAAAAATTCAGAAAGTGAACAACAAGTTTCTCAACTAAAAAAGGTTTGTTAAATTGCCATAGTCATAGCCTTTTGGTCTACGAGTGTCGTCCTGGTTATTGTGTATAGTTATTTTTCTGTATATTGTGTTACTTGTATAATTTATTTTTAATTTCTCGGTGGAATATATATATATGAAAAAGCACAATAGAGCATAATGGGTTAAAACGAAGTTTTTTGCTTAAGGGACAGGCTGCCAATAGACCAATCACCCGATCCTCAAACATATTTTTATAGTGGTAAGAGTATTCTTTTAGTCAGTGAATAGTTCTAGCATATATTTGCTTTACTCTCAAGGACTTAGATTCGATAAAAAGAGAGAAAAAGCAATTATCTGCAAACATGAGCACATTGGAAGTCAGGTGGGTGTTCTTAATTATATTCTTTTGTTATGTTTTTGAAATGCTGAATTTCACTATTGCAAGAAAAATTTATCAAATCACTTTTGAAAATAGCGTACGAGATTAATAATCACTAATGATTTATTTGTGATTAAATCAATTTTGTGTGTGATTAATTTGATTTTTATTGATTAAAATGATAAACTTTTGGTCAATTTGTGATTAATTTGTGATTATGTAGAAATTGAATCATAGATTTCAAAGTGCTATGAAATAATTTCATGCGCAGTAAACGTCGTTTGAACGCATGATGGTAAACTAATTCATAAGCTAAATTAAACAAAAATATTTCATGAATTAACTTCCAACCTATAATGCCAGTTTAGCAAAGATTTTGAAACATACTTGATGAAATTGAAAAAGAAAAATTAAAAGTTCAACACAGGGGTGGATCCAAAAGATTTGCAAAAGAAAAAAGGTGCAAAAGTTTAATAACACTAACAACTAAAAACAGAGTTATCTTTTTTGAACAGCAGCATAAGCAAAATATTAAATAAATGTTATATATGATGGGTTTTCTACATCATGGATGCAGGGTGACAGTAGCCTGAAGTGAAAGACATCAAGGCAAATGCATATTTTCTGTTGTGTGGGCCGTCTACTTTCATCATAAGAATTTGAATATGCATCAAAAGAGCTATCTTTCCTGTACAGTAGCATTAGTAACATGGATACAAATAGCCTGAGATGAAAAGCAGTAAACAGCTGTTGAACACCTTGTGAAAGACATCAAGGCAAATGCATGTGCTCGTTGTGTGGGCCATCTACTTTCGTCGTAAGAATTTGAATATGCATCAAAAAAGCTATCTTTCCTGTACAGTAGCATTAGTAACATGGATACAAATAGCCTGAGATGAAAAACAGTAAACAGCTGTTGAACACCTTGTGAAAGACATCAAGGTAAATGCATGTGCTCGTTGTGTGGGCCATCTACTTTCGTCATGAGAATTTGAATATGCATCAAAAAAGCTATCTTTCCTGTACAGTAGCATTAGTAACATGGATACAAATAGCCTGAGATGAAAAGCAGTAAACAGCTGTTGAACACCTTGTGAAAGACATCAAGGCAAATGCATGTGCTCGTTGTGTGGGCCATCTACTTTCGTCGTAAGAATTTGAATATGCATCAAAAAAGCTATCTTTCCTGTACAGTAGCATTAGTAACATGGATGCAAATAGCCTGAGATGAAAAACAGTAAACAGCTGTTGAACACCTTGTGAAAGATATTAAGACAAATGCATGTGCTCTGCCCTCGCAAGTGATATCGCTATTGGCAAATGAAACTGTCATTACTGAAACTTTAACCGATAGAAAACATTACAAGTTCCGGAAATATGGAACTTGATTATCAAACTTTATTGGGGAAAAATACAAGAATATGACAGAAATAATTTCCCATAAATTTAACAGTTGCAACTGCAACAGCCGGGGCTGTCACGAGAAATGAGTGAGAAATGACTGCTTTAAGGCGTGGTTTTCGGTCAGATCAACTTCAGTGGCATCAACAAAAACAGCAATGCTTGTTTCAGTGACCCCGGCATCATACCGATGCCTTCATTTTTGCTACATTGCAGGGTACCTAGAAAAACTTGTTGTTGTTTTGCTAATGTTCTCGATTGTGTGTTTGCAGATTTTTTTATGTGTTCATGAAATATTTGAAAAAGTGTGAAAAAGAAATTCTCATTATTGCATTTTTCATTAACATATGCGGATAGACGTGGTCAAAGATTCTAAAATTTATTTTTAAGTAATTTTTGTGCTTATTGATTTGACTTTTTTATTAATGCGATTAATTTCGATTAAAGTGTGATTATTCTAGAGAGTGTACGTGATATTAAGCAGCGATTTGCCCCTCGCTCAGTAGTGTATTGTCGCCGTATGATTTCAACTCATTGTTAGTGTTGTTTTGGATTTTATTCTCGCAGGTTGAACAGAGCGTTGGAAGATACAGAGAAGAACAGAGTTGCGTTGCAGAGAGCAAAGGAATCAACCAAGGTAAAATTCGGAATGCTTGTTTTTGACAAATTCAACCGTTGTCTGAAATGATCTTCATAAATATTTGTACTCCTTTTCCTCTATGGGGAAAGATTCGAGTATAACAAGAGATTAAGTGAGACGCAAAGACAAATTATTGGCAAAGTCCTCCTCCCTACCCAAAGATTCGTATACCATCCCTCTTTTTTGCGTAAGGACGAGCCAAAGTGGCCTTGAAAAATTCTATCAAGACTTTTGGCAACGATGGCAAATGTAACTTCAAAAGAGACACACCTCCATATATTTCTTAGTATATTGAATGGTCGTAAAATCATTCCTCATTTTTTGAATTTATTACTTAAATGATTTGAAGTTCTAATCGAGTTTTGTTATAGGACATGAGTGAGCAAGAAAGAAAAAGAATTGATCAAGTCATTGCGGATAACAAACGTCTTGAAAGACAGAAAAATGAACTCATGAACGCGTTTAAAAAACAAATGAAGCTAATTGACATCTTGAAGCGCCAAAAGGTTCGTATACAACCTCTCTTTTTTGCTTAAAATCTCTTTGCTTATCTGTCCTACTGCTGGCCTTATGACCTATAAGGCTGACCGTGTATTCCAAGAAGCAGAATGACGTTGTCAAACTTAAAGCTATGGCGAAATTATGATGATATTTTGATTTTGATGATGAAATTGAGACTCCGGAGTTCCAGTGTCATTAACTTTTTTCCACTTCACTTGGAAGCACTTGACAAATACTAACTGTTTTGCCAAAAGCTATGCCTGACTCTAGCTCTGCACTTCTTTTAGGCCCTAAAGATAATAAACCCAAATTATATCGATGGAAAGGTTTCGCACTAAGGTATCGATCAATGGTTAGGCACTTACAAGCTTTATGTCTGCGCAGGCTTTTTAAACTTTTGATCTTCTCATTGATCTTAGAAAATTTTTCTGTTCTTCAGATGCATATCGAAGCTGCAAAAATGCTGCAATTTACTGAAGAAGAATTCGTCAAAGCATTGGATTGGAATTCGTGATTTATTCATTTTGGAGCCAGTTTTATTGTATAACAGAACGAAAGCCGAAGTGTTACAGAAGCTGATTCGTACACTATTAAATAATTGGTGACTTTTTTGCTTTTATCGATCCTAGGACCAGGCACGCATTAACGGTTAAACCCATTGTTATTAAACTTTTCTTCAATGAAGAAAAGGCAAGACATTTATGATGAAAACATCTTGAAGGAAATGATCTTAGAGTTGACAGACAGTGCTCGCTGAGGCATATGTTTTGCCTTTGAAATAATTTATTTGTGCATGGATTAAGGACACAGATTTCTGAGTTGCAATCGAATTCGTTGTTCTTGATTTTGCTGGATAATTTTTGATTTTATTAAATCAATACGGGGCTGTGCTGTAACTTGTTTGTTGCTTTACTTAAAATTAAGGAACTTGCTGTCCCTCAAGCATCGAACGTGACTTGTTTGAATTTACAATGAAATCAAATAATCATACAGCGTACATCAGTTTAAGAAAGATTCTACGAATTGTCTTTAAAAAAATTGGAAATGAAATTCTTTGCCGAACTGTTGTGATGCAAATTTTTAACAAGAAAACATTGAAATGGTAGATTTTATATGCACAAATCCTATGGTGTTCAGAGATTTATCAAACTCGAGTTCCCATAAAATTGAAAACTAAAAAAACGTTTATTAAACTTCTTCCAAATCAGCCTATTGGGATTTGAACACATTGTGGTTTTGTGACCACATTTAAGCGTTTGAAACTATGTTATTAAAATGGAAAATTTATTAAACAACGATAGGGAAACACAGGGATTTTTCGCATTAACAACAAATTTTCCTATGAACAAATTTTTTGTAGTAATAAAATGATAGGACAATAACACTACTGACAGTCTTAATCAGAATAATTAAAGTCCTTTACAACTAAAGCTGTGCCATTTTCAGTTAATATTATATCAGCTTCAAAAAAAGTCTAATAGCTAATTAATTACTCTAATTTAAAGCAATAAAAAAGGGTCTAGACGTTGGCTTTTTTCGCAGGGAGATGACGTCATAGACGACAAACGAAGGTTGAAGGCACTTTAGTTAGGCTTCACTTTGAGCTACGATAACTACGTACAGAAGTGTTAAAAAACCAGTGCGCTGTGATAGTTTGTAAATCTATGGATATAATTTGCAAACATGTACAGTAACTCGTTAAATGTTTGTCTTTAACTTATAGAAATTAGTCAGCTATTTCATAAATACATAAATCGAGTTCAAATTAACAGCACATAAATCATTAATGAGAATTCATTCTTACTATATCTAGCAGGAGTCTAAATATACCATGATCTCAGTCACTCTGTACCACAAAGGGACAGTATGACGTGTCAATATGTGGCTAGTCAACTTATAAAAAGCCAAATTGTTTCAGATAGATGGATTGAACCGCTCATATGACATTAAGAGCCATACGAAAAATCAGAATTATAAATCAGAATCAGAAATCGGCATCAAAAATCGGCATCAACGATCACATCTTATACGGAGGTTGAAAACATAAACAGAATACATCGTTTAAGATCGATTCTTGAAACCTTAGCAAATGGAACCTCTGGCGAGGGTGGCAGCTAGATATTTTAGTTTTCGTTATTTATCATTTTTTTAGATAATCTAGCAAACAATATTTCGTTTAACAAGAAACATTTTATTGTTGGAAAATTATGCCAAGAGACGGCTGATAAATTTTCTTCCTACACCTAAGATGAACAGAGAAAACTTTCCATATTTATCAATAAGTCGCACATTATACGAAATATGATGAAGTCATTATCATCTATTCAATGTATTGAGTAATCGTTTGTCACAATTTACGTACCGTGTTTGATGTAGCAAAGACAATAACTTCATTATATGTTGATTTATATGATAAAGTTAAAAATTTTCAATAATCCGTGACACAAGAATGATCATAACCGCATTGAAACTAGAGCAGGGGCCAGTGAAGGGAGGCTGATAACCCCCCATTAGGGACCTAGCCTTCTCTGGGGGTTTGAATCATCACCTGGTGATGATTTACTTTGGGGGGAAAAACGAGGAATCTGTTCAAACATATCTTTAGTCAATAAGAATCACCCTTTCCTTCACTGGTCCTTATTTTTCAATGTCAAAACGCTAAATATATTTTACCAGCGGCCGACATACACGCTCCCCACTTTACACAATTGGCCATTCAATACTGCCTCTAAACGCTCTGCGAGACACGCGAGTCTATACGCGAGACAATCGTTAATTGTTACGCAACCCAGTATGTTAATCAGATACCAGACTGCCTTAAAATGTCATGATGAAATTCAATTTATCAGTTGCTAAATCCTAGCCATTGGAGCTGCGGTGGAAGTGGACACATACCCAGGAGGAGCTCTTCTTCTGCCATACACGGGTTTCCTCGTGTTGAATTGTCAAAGGATTATTCATACTGGAAAGCAATAAATCGAAACTCATCATTGTTGTAACCTGAATCGTGATATACTAAAGTAATTTACTCCTAGGTTTTCAAGGTATAATCCTTGTCATAGGTTCTTGGACGGCCCTGTGGCCTTAGTGCTGTGTTGCAAAAATAAACTGATTAATCTAAATGAAATCGCATCCACTTTCCCAAAAGGCAATGTTGGTTGCATAGTTAAATATCATAGCAATCTAACAGAAATAAATTGGATCATCCTTAATCTGTTACAATTACACAAAACAACATTGTTCGTAGGAGAAGAGGGAAAATACAGTGGTGAGTATGGTATCAGATGGACTTCTTTGATGTTCTGCAATGCGAAGAACATGGTGCCTGAGTTTCTCTCTATGTGAACTCACTTACCTTTATCCTAAATGACATTTCGGGTGCATAATGACTAACTCTAAAATCACTTTGTTAAAGACACAAGAGGAAAATAAAAATGTCCAGTACAAGAGGCCTATGCAGGCTAAAAATAGAACGCCAATGAGGATCTGTCATGAGATTCTCCTATTTGGCTGCATATTTGCGAATGCTTGTCATTCTCCTATGGCCAAAGACGTCCTTTTTCCAATCTATTTAGAGTTTAATGCATCGAATAAACGAGACAAGACGTAGAAGCATTTTTGGTGAAGCTGTTTAAGAAAGTTATTATGGCAGCGCTGGTACAACATCAGAGCAACCTTGAAACAACTTGACTTAGCATCCTTCGCGTGTCTTTGAAAAAACTGTCTAAAATGTTACTTGTCATTTTTATTAATTTATTCCTGAACTAGTCATATTTATTAAAACGTATTACAATTCTCTTTGTAAAGTGTTACTGCAAGCCAAAGATACTTTAGACGGAGCTTAATTGACGACCTTCACGTCCTCTGATGAAAATTAGCTTTGACCGATATAGAATGAATTTTGGTGGGTTGACTAAGACAGAGGTCGAGTGGTGTGTCAGAAACCCCAAAACAGCTGTATTCCTACAGCCGGTAAGCTAAATGTGACACAACGCTGACAGCTCTACATATCCTCTACATATGGACTTTGAGGCATGTTAGCAGATGGAAGGAAAAGAAGTTTATACTCACTGATCTATGGTTTGTGTAAGGCGTACATAACTAATGCATGCAGAATCCTCTGATAGCAAGATAACATGGGGCGACAAGATCGTCGTGTTCACTGGAGTCGTCCTCTTTGACATAACTGAAAATGATGTGCAAAGTTTAATGCAAGGTCAGAAATAAGGTCTGGGCACAATAAGAATACAAAATCCCCTAGTGATCACACACATATCACAGGCACTAGTATTGCATTACTGTTTGTTCTGGCAAAAGTATCGTTGCCAGGGGGTCACTTGTAAAGGGTTGTATCACAGCAAAGAAAATTGAGCAAAAGAAATGTTTTTCTGTTGTTTGGAGGAGTCTGCAGACAGGGGTGTGTATTACTGGAAGCTTGACAATAGTTTCAATTGGTTGTACTGGGTTAGGCGATGTACACGATATTTTTGGGTTTTTATGTTAATTTTCCATAATGTCGATGAGCGACGCTTATTAAGCATGTTCACAACACAAGATTGTTATCCATGTCGCAATATTTGCAACAAATACTCTTAGAAGATGGCCTAGACATATTCAAAACTTGTCATCAGAAGTGACTTTTACATGGTCGTTTTGGAACTTTTGCTACAAATGGTAAATGAGACACAAATCAAGTTTTTTCTTAATTTTCTTTCGATAATGTTCAGATTTCAAGGTGGCAAACGCGCTAATTGGAATAATTTTAAGAAAAGCTTACCATTATCAAAATAATATTTATGAAAATCTATCCCTTCAACCAGATTTCCTTTTGCTTGTGGCTCAAAGCATGTAACTCTCTCATCGCAAAGTTTTCTGAAATAAAAGGATACTAATTAAGTTTGACTATGATACTTAAAAAAAATTATTATATAAACACTTCACCTTTCTGAATTCTTTGGCACTAAACAATTAACAGACTTATCGTACAATGCCTACACCCCACGCTAGCAATACCTACCGTAGAACAGAGTGCAAATAAAAAGTCCTTTAAATAACTTCTGCTCGGTCGATAGGCCATGCCTTTGGAGACCTTATAAAAATTAAGCGCTTTCCTGCTATGGTATCTAATTTTTCTCTCTGATGGATATATACGCTGCAAATTCTCTTACTTCCGAAACATTCCCATGGTTTGTTGATCACGCATTTTTCAAATCTTCTCAGCCACCGGGGATTTAATAAAGACATTTTTGGTCATCATATAATGATCTATCGGCATTGAAGAAGATCATACCACAAGGTTAAAGTTTCGATATTGCCGGAAGGGGTGACGCAGGTGCAAAAAGTCAGCTGTCTTGCCATACAACTTCCTTGAAGCGTTAATCTGCACCCGAGCATAACAACTCACTGTTAACCTAATCCAATTGATTCCGCAATTGATAATTAGACATACCAACCAAGAGTCTGAATAAAAACCAGAAACCGTAGAATAAACATCTGGTTTCATTATCTGTGAGTTGCATATTCGTTTTAAAAAAGATATAAGATTGAATGGTTTGAATTTATAAAATTTGAACGACCGGATCTGAGAAAATTAATGAATATTTCTTTTGGTCAAGAATTTTACTTGATGTGCAATGGGTCACAGTATATAATTATGCAAGTGGACTGATTTTCATTCGTCTTTGAACCAGTTCTTATCTGAGTAAAGCGGAGCGAAGGTTTTTGTTTGGAAGCGGTTAAGATCACTCGGGTAAAAGGTCTCCTAATTATGTAGGTTGGGGGGCTTCTCATACTCGACAAGGTGCCCGTAATAGTGCTTGCCACGAGACATCTGACAATGATGCTGGTCAGGCGGTTCTTAATGATGCTACAAGGGGACTTCTAAAGATGCTGGTTAGGCGGTTCTTAATGATGTTGCAAGGGAGTTCATATGCAGTTCCTTATGATCGTGGTTAAGGGAATCATATGTAGTCTACGTGGTACAGGAAGGCTATAATTTCAACAGCATCAGATTCACGCCTATCCCTCCCTGCTTATACATCCAGCCAGTTTCCATAGCGCACATCTTCTGTTCGTTTCAGTCCGTTGATTACAAAATACAAAACAGCCCTTGCTGTTTAAAAAAGGTTCAATTTCGGGTTCGTGTATAAAGGTAGAGTAGAAATTCAGAAGCAACAAACAAATCTATCAGAAATGAATGACAAGCGGTCTCATTTTCAGGATAACCTGTTGAAGGACGCAACAGTTTCATCAGCACTTTCCCGAAGAAGCCCGAGAAAAATCATACTTGAAAATATCGTCTTTCTTAAACGTATTTACATGCAGCGTAGTTACAAAAATCAAGAAAACACTCATCTGTTACATCGGGCGTCACACTTTGGAACCTTTGGGCTCCCTTACCATATTTGAAAGCGAGAAGAGAAAGAGCTTTGTACTCACGAATAAGTTTCATGACGTCACACTTTGAAACCCTTGGGCTCCTTTATAATACTCGAAAAAGAGAAGAGAAATAGTTTTGTACTTACGAATAAGTATCAAAGTCTCCCATTGTGATGCAAGCAATCAATCTTTGCGTAACTTTGATTATTTCTTGCTCTCTGACGGCTTTTGGAAAGAAGAATCAATGTTAGGTATATGGTATCTGGTTCATGGAAAAACTAGAAACTGATATGCAGCTGACAAAAGTAGATGTAAATTCATATGCAAAAAAACACTGTAGGTATTTCTATCAATGTTTCTAATAACTAAAACAAATTCTCCAACAACACATGGTATCCTAAAATCGAGCCCAGGCTACTGTCAAAGCACCCACCGTCCCATAGTTCTGAATAATTTTTAACTACCTTCAAAGCTATCAATATTGCACCTAAATTCGATAACTTCCCCCCGTACAATGCTGATAACTTCATTAAATTACTTATGCGTCAAATGCCAACCCGGATACTTACATGCAACCACAGAATATTGCAATTTTGCAAAATGTGAAGGGAAAAGGGGAAACGATTTTTTTCAAACTGCGAATATCTTTTGAAGGCATTTTAACAATCTTGACTAAAGTTTTAACTAGCTGAATTTCACGCTCAAGCCGACTATCAGGCAAGCATGAAGATCTTTCGTTTCTTGTGATACCTAACATGCAAGATAGGGAGTTTGAACTGGCGCATGGAGCGAGATAAAAAGGCTTTTAATTAAAAATCCACTTGCCGTCTTTATCGGAGACTTTGCAACAGTATGCAGATGTTTCAGATACTGGGCAATGGGAAAAGTATTCTAGAACCATATGGCAACACATGCTCAATTTATATCAAAGCCGTGCATGCCTAACAGCACTGTAGAATAAAAATCTTCAAGGCAAAGCGTTGTAGTACACAAGAGTGCGATGCAAAGATCGCTGCAAGAGTGCTTTGAATGCGATCTGCGAACGGATCAGTGTTCGTTTTTCGATGCAAGAAATAATCTCGAATATAATCCCAATTCATTGAGCGAATAAAACGTGGTAATCTCGTCTATAATATTTTCAAAGGTATCCCTCAAAGGCAAATAATCACACTCTGCTAGCAATAAATTAAGTCGAGCTAAACAGCGACTTGATGTCATTGAATATATAGAAAACCATGCTGTGGAGTTGCCATTAATCTTAATAATCTAGAAAATCAAGATTAAGCTAATCAAGATAAAAAATTTTTCTCGGATACAATGTTAATGCGGATAAACGCTGAAGTTTCACATGGAGGACGATCGCTTTAGAGATGACAGAAAAAAGATTTCTTATAAAATAGGTTGCAAGATGGCAGATATATAACTTCTCCAGCGTCTAAACTAAGTAGTCCAAGATGCGAAAATGCGTTGTCTGTTAAAGTAATTGTGAATTTCATAGTAAGCGAACGCAACATTTTGCTGCGTTCATTAGGAAAAACTCTGTGGATATTTTTTCATGTCTAGATAAAAGGGCGTTGTTTGTTGCAGTATTTTGTTTTCTTGTGCAGTTCAAAGATACCAGACGAAAGATATGGTCGTTGAAAATGAAATATGATTTTGAAACTGGATAATGGAGACGATGAAGAGAAATGAAATATTAATGAATTGTTCAATTTCATTACCCATCAGTAGCCTACTTACAATTGGTGTTCTTTATTTGAGCGGCTAAGGACAGAAATAACTAAGGCTGGCGAAGGATAGGCGAGGAAACGACGTTTGGAAAATGAGGGGAGGCTTATATACATCAAGTAGAAGTAGCTAGTTCTCGAGTTATCTCTAATTAATGTTGACAAATGTTTGCATTCTACAATAACACTGCCAAAAGTGTAACTGATGACCTCAGATGATTCAGGCAATGGAGGAGGGTACAATCGAATATTGCATACAAAGGACTTCGTACTTAGAAACAAGGTGGTGATTCATGTTTATGTAAATAACATGTCTTGCCAGCAGGTGCCAAGCGGCAGATATGCTTGTTTCAAGCTGATTTTGCAAGAAGATTGAGTAGAGATAAAAGACCAAACAGTGAACCTGATGTACGATAAAATATTTTGAAAGATGACAAGAACAAAAGCTGGCTAATAACGCCACGCTATTTGGGTCAGGCTTTGTCAAGCAGCAACCTGCCGCAATATAGGCCTGACTTTGTTTATAATAAGATTGCCATGTGTTATGATAATGGACACAGTGAAGAAATTTCCAGCCACCTGATATAGTATGTTTCGATACCAATGTGGTAAAGCAACAAAAAACCTTCCAAAACGCTTAGTCTTAGAAGGTATCAAAAGTGTATTTTAGTACTCTTGGGGAAGTGCCTTTGTAGTTTATTACTGTGAATGCCATGTAGATTTTTTTTGAACGACAACGGTGTATGCGACGCTTGAGAAAAGCGAACGAAGATCAAGGGAATGAAAGAGGCTACTTCGTTGAAAAAGTTGCAATATCAAACTAAAATATAGAATGGAAAAGGAAAACGGTGGTGTATTAAACCAGCAGGAGAAAATTGCAAGAATAATAGAAATAAAATTGGGTCAAAATGAATTTGAAAAAATTTAAACATGTAAGTAAATAAAACGATGTGGAGTGTGGAAATCTGAATGCAAGCTACTAAAGATCAATTGCAACTTTGGGTTAAAGGCGTCAGGCAGATTGACATATGAGTAGAAACCTTATCGGTATTATATTTGAAAACAATTAGTACACAAGAACAAGGCAAGCTAAGATAAATCTAAGTGAGCTTTGAGAACAAAATTTGTGCATTAAATGGAAGGTTCTCGGGGTGACTTTAAGGAAAATCTTCACAACAAATACTTCAAAGTTAAAAATAACTGTTTAACTTACATCGCGCCTTCCCGCCACTTGAGAAACTTATGTTTGCCATGTTTGTGATAAAGTCTTTTATATGGAAATTCATTGATTCAAATTCAAAATTTTCTAATGCATAGCTCGATAGGTTCTTGAAGATGAGAAGTGGTAATAAATGGAGCTAAGAATGCACTGCCAGCCCACATTGATATCCCTTTCCATACGCCATACCGCGAAGTAGACGGGGGTGCGTTAGGTCGAGTTGCTCGAATGACAGATGTAGAGATAGTCAATAGCATTGAAGAATATATTTGAACTCTAATCAGCAAATACCACACTGAGAAAGTTATTAGTTTTTAATTGAGAAGATGATAATAGCAATCATTGGTACCCAACTTATACTATACTTACCTAACCTTTTATGCCAAATAAATTAAGAAAGGCCATACAAAAGCTCATAGCCAACGAAAATGTGAAAAATACATTCAACTATTTTCTGGGTCTGATAATTTCAATCGTGATCATTAACAATTTCTCTTTTGCATTTCTTTCAAAAATCGTTCCTCTCCAAACAAATCACCTTTAAGGCCAACGTTTGGTACCTCGCATTTTCACTAATATGAACAAATCAAATTGCTATACCAGTTATGTACGATGACGTACTTAACCCGTCGAGGACAATCTCTTAAGACAGTTTCTGTAGCATAGACAATAACCATCACCAGTTTCAAGGACTTGCGGTAATGCAACTGAATAGACTCAAGTTACTGTAAAACTGATATCAATGCCATTAAAATCCCCCGGAAACAAATTGCGATAATGCTTCTGTATCATGAATTATTAATAGCAAAACTTAAAAAATCCCACGAGGTTTTCAGATGTTGGAACAACTAATTATCGTCTTTGCAGCCAGCTTTTACCTGCGGGTACTGATACAAATTTGTCTGCGGGCAAAGCGCGCTTAATTTTGATAATGATTTTGAAATCAAGCTGCAAAAAGATGGTCTCGAGGTCTACGTAACAATACTTAACTTGGAGTATTTTAAACAATTCTAAAGATAACAGCTATCTTATACTGTTAATATATTAGATTGTGTGCGGTACAATGTAATGATATGATAACTCTGAATGGAAGAAAATTGTACCAGGAATAAACACTAGATTTGATCAATAACAACGTTTCGAGCATATCCCGTTATCAAATGTACGAGTAACGGGTAATGTTACTTACTGTTTTAGGTGCTGTTATAGCAAAAAATGGCAGACCTTTTTCTTCTGAATGCTTATTTTTGTATTTTCAGTAGCCGGAAATCACACTGTCATTCCATCAAAAGAACCTCGCTTTCATCCCAACTGTACTTACTTATTCTATCTCGTTTACAGTTATAATCAAAATCCAATAAGGGTTTTTCATCTAAATAGCAGTACTTGGTAGCTCTCTAAGCCAATTATTTTGATGATATTTTCTCTAAAACCATTGCAATTGTAATAGGATAACTGTAACACACCTCGCTGATCATCGTCGTCTGAGTGAAGGCTCTGTTCGTCTTGAGAGCCCTGAAAAAATAAGCTTATTAGTGGAGAACGGCAAAGGAAAATTGAAGGAAATTTCAATTGAAGACAACAATGATAACAAGATCTGTGTTGAAACCCTTGAAACATTGAAGATCGAAAGCAAATCGACTAGATCGAAGAAAACAATAATTCTAAAAAGGGGTAAAATTGTATACTAATAATTGCGGGTGATGCAAACAGCTTTTTCATGGTTTAGGACATTAAAACGCTCTTGGAATTAAATTTTTTTTCGAAACAAAACCATCACTAGCCGCATGTGAGATTGCCTTTGGCCTAGATGCTTCAAAGCAAAATAGCCACGCAGTACAGTTATAAGAAATCATAGGTCAGATTGAATCGAGTGCGGAAAGGGCCGGTGACAGGTTCAACTACGCGATCTTAATGTGCAGGGGCCTGTCAGTTAGTTAATGTTGATAATCGGGTCTTGATTAGAAATATCTGACGTTTTTCGCGTATCCAAAGGACCTGACATGTATTTGATATTCTTGAAATCACAAATAGTGAATTAATTGCACATATTATTTGTATTCAATGCGAAAAGTTTAGGTCAACGTTCATAAATAGGCTAGCTTGTTCTTGCTGCAATTATATTTTGTAAGCAAACAGCATGACTGTTCAGTTCCTGTGCGTGTTTATCAATATATTATCTTCATGGAACCATATATGAATGCGTTTATTTCTCAGAATGACATCAAATGACATCGAATGATAACGAATGGCACCGAAAGAAACCAAATGACACCGAACGGTACCGAATTTATATGATACTGTAAATGTTGCATCTTAAGCGAAATGATGTATTCCACCAAACTGAGTCCATCCTTGGCTCAAGCTGCTTATCAAAAACATCGATCCTATAATATCAATCTAACAATTCTACTAAACTTACTGGGACTTTCTCATTGCTCCCAACAGAATTCTCTTGCTAAAATGGAATAAAAGGGAACGGTTAGGACTAATGACAAGTGGAAGACCAGGTCTTAGAAGCTACAGGGGGAGGTCTTAGAAGCTACAGGAGGAGATCTTAAAAGCTACAGGGGGAAGTCTTAGAAGCTACAGGGGGAGGTATTAGAAGCTACAGGGGGAGATCTTAGAAGCTACAGGGGGAGGTCTTAGAAGCTACAGGGGGAGGTCTTAGAAGCTTCAGGGGGAGGTCTTAGAAGCTACAGAGGGAAGTCTTAGAAGCTACAGGGGGAGGTATTAGAAGCTACAGGGGGAGGTCTTAGAAGCTACAGGGGGAGGTCTTGGAAGCTACAGGGGGACGTTTCAGAAGCTACAGGGGGAGGTCTTAGAAGCTACAGGGGGAGGTCTTAGAAGCTACAAGGAGGAGAATAGTTGTTGCAATATCGATGGCTTGAAGTGATTGATTGACGGGTTGACAGACTGCGATTGATTGATGGGTGTGCTGATGCGTATATACGTGATAGGTTCAAAATGGCCTAAAACGAAGAGATTAGGGCCGTATACATGAGACGGCAACCAAGAAACAGTATAGACCAGATGAAGAAAAACGAACGAGCAGCTGATAAAATGACGAACTGATGGCAAATTAGAATCGTGGGCACATTGTGATAGGAACGTATCAAAATGCTATTCATGGATAATATCAAACTGAACTATTATTTGTTTGAAAATATATAGCACGGAAGAGCAGAAACATGTCATACTAAAGTACAATTTTCTGCTTACCTTTGAACAATCCGACATTTAAATTCAGAGAAGAATGGGACCAAATGTGCTTTAGCATGATATATTACTGCTCTTCCGCGCTTTATTCCGATTTTCAGTACCAAAAGGTTATTTATCATTTATTTATATTCTTCTAGCATGGTAAAAAACTTGCCACTGTAAATACAAAGATACTATAACACATTAAACACACTGCCCCTATTCATCAACTGTTTCATTGGCATCAGGCATCTAACCTATTTTGATTCTAACTTATTCAACAAACTCTCCACTGAAAAACGCAGGAAGTAACATTTCTACAACGCTCATCGATTAGGTCTTTCTCACGTATATGCGTATAAAATCAGCATAGCAACATGAGTGAAGACCATGTTAAGTTTCGGCAATCGTTGCGCACAACAAACTTTTGATTTGCTTTCACTGCTTGTAAAATCGGAAACATTCATTAAACTGCACTGATCTTTAAAGATTGATTGAAAGACAAAACCGAGACATGTTGGTTGTCTATACGCAACCATGTAGCCTGGAATCATTGCAGAAAGTACTCATACATATGACAGCATGCATCCAGCAAAAAGAACGAGTATCAGGAATGTCAAAAACTTGCATTTGCGGAAATCTTGGATGAAAATTTACCACCCATGAGATGGAAGATTGCGTGAATGACCAAATCCGTACGGTACCTGCCAACCAAGATATGTCAGCTACCTAACCATGATTATCTAAACCGGGTACATGCTTTGAACCCAAGAAAACCATCAAAATGCAATGAAAGCAGCTTGTTGCATGTCGAGTCATTGTCAATTTTACAAGGCAATCGTATGAAATTTTAAAAGGCTAGTTCAATGTTAATAAAAAATTTATGGAATTGAACTATCCAACAAAAGGTTTAAACCATCTTAAAAACAACATGTCTTCGCTCTCGGATGCAATTGGGTAAGCATTTGAATCTTCGACGTTTATGCCTGGATAAAAATGCCAGAGAGCTTTTTTATTTCGTTAACATTTCCTGCCAGAAATATTGATGTTTTTTTCGCGAGCTGGAGTTTCCGCGCTCGTACGGTGACGTCATAGGATGGACAAGGGAAACCTTGAAGAATGAAACTTTCATCTAGTTTTGAGATCTCAATGACCATCAACCCTGACATGTAAGAAGACCTGGGGAATGTTGGAGCACTAAACTCTATAGATGCTAAGCTTTGTATTCATTTCACGAAATACATCACACTGAGACATTTTTTAGACAACAGTAGCTTTCAAATAGCTGCAGGTTGAGAAAAAAGCTTTAAGTAAAACATATTTTTAGAGGAAACACCCTGTAGAGCTTTTTGGCCAATATAACTTGGTTATCATATTTAGACTGCCATTTCTTGCAACCAAAAACCGTTTAAACCTACTTAGCATGTCGGTCTAAAGCTTGCTTAACGTTTTGCGGCTGCACAGTCATCATATGCTAAACCACTTCATGCGGGCTGCCTCGTCTTGGATAAACAGAGCCGCGACCGACTTTGACATTAAGACGTCTAGCCATAGATGACGCGTTGTTATAATTGCTGTCTTAAGTATTCTTGCAGCCTCGGTACCAAACTGCGTACAAGAATCATTCATATATCTGGTGATCCAGAAGAGGATGCTTGCTGAGTTGTCGAGCAATATCAGAAACCCATGCAAGAAGACTTATTTTGACTTATGTTTAGACTATGAAAAACTTGTTACATTACCCAAAAAACTTATCATCCAAGCAATGTTCACCTACCGACGAAATATTTACAATCAGAAGGAATCCAAAAGCTACAAACAACTAAAATAACAGTTAAGAAATCAAAGATAGGATTGCGAAAGCAGAAAGGGAACTATAAACGGCTCGAGAAACAAAAGACAAAAATTTAAGCATCAGTTAATTAAATTAATACGGAATTTTTTATAATGAATGAAATAGTTGATAATTACCACTTTTCTCTTATCATTTACCAGTTTGTCTTTAACAGCTGTGGCTAAAATACAAAAATTCAATGATCACTCTGCATAACAAAAGGTCACGGAACCAGTAACAAAAGTAAGGGAGCTGTTCAAATGTGGTCACCACATGAAGACAGTAGCAAGCGGATATTCTAGATCAAAGAGAACGTAAATGAGAAGAACCGCAGCAAAACCCTGCGTCCTCTAGTCGATGCAGGCGGTATTTAAAGGATCAGCTTTTTTCAAAATGAAAACCCTTGAAGTAAATAAATGGCTACGCTACACTAATGATCACCCTAGACAGAAAAATGTTAGATACTTCTCCTGGAAATTTTTTATTCTGATCTGGCTAATTCCACAGCAAGATACATTTTGGCAGAGATAGGGGTGGGAGTCCAACAGAAAAATGTACCCACATTGAATTTAAAAACACTTCAAATCAAAAGAAATTAAGGAATACTTCCATTTATGAGGCAACAACAAATTGTAATATAATTTGTTTGATATGCATGAGCGTATCTCTATTCATTTTTATTCGTTCATTCAATCTCAATTACATTTCGCTTGCCAAAAAACCTCATAACTTCACAAATCTACACGAAGAAAATATGAAAATATCGAAAATGAATGACTTGGCAATAAAACACGTAGCTAAAAATTAAGCTCCTGTAAAAGCGGCTTAAAATTAAGCCCATTTACGAAATTTAGTTCAAGCGGCATTCGATATGATACCGTTAATTATCGAATTAGCCTCACGGGGCCCTATCTTTCTATTCAGTTCTTAGACGGGGGCTAATTAGAGGAAGGGGGCGCTTTTATGAGGAGGACTTATTAAAATCATCTGCAAGCTGCCAATCGCTCGTACTGCAGCTATTTCGCAATTTTCATTCCAATGCAGTACATTACATTTGAATTTTCCTTAATGGCCTAAAATACCAAACCAAAGATATCGATATGTTTATCATATTGGCGTACACTTCGTAGCAGTCTCGTTTATTTTGGTTTTTTATCATTCACCGCTAAATCTGTTATCAATCATGGAATAAAATTCGGCATATCTGTTGTTTCTCGAGTAAGGGCTTATAAAAGTGCAAAAATTGGCTTTCTAGGACAGGGCTTATCCGAGTGTTGGGTTTGTTCATTATTTTTACTTGCAAGAGGAGGAATTATTCCAGGAGACATATAAGAGGGGAGGGTCAATTCGTTAGAAATATACCAAGATTGAAAGCATCGAAGCCAAATCGAGTCTTCTAGGATTTGCGACTATCATGACACGGTAAAAATAGAGCAAACATCGCAAAAATTGGGTTTGTAACTTGGCCATGTGAACTTCTTCTTCGTGAATTTCTGAACAATCACCCTTCTTGAAAGTCTAATGCAATTATTAGACTTGTCCGTGGGGTATTTAGCACCAATCCCTTAAACAACTAATTTCAAAGGTATTTAGCAAAATTGTGATGAGAGAAGACCAGGTATTTCTAAAACGAAAAGCGCTTGCCTGTTTGCATAAGAACGAATAAACAATCGAAAAATTACAAACGTTTTAAAAACTTATTCTGCGTGAAATGATTTATAAATGAAAAGATTACTTACAAAGAATGGACTGTATATTCATTGTTTGATTTTTCTCCTCTTTTTTTTCTTTCATAGTCATAAAAAATAAATTAGCGTGTGAAAAATCAAGAAGATAATAGGAAAGGGTACTTATAACAGGAGGCGTTTTGTCAATAATTAACGGTTTTCAAAGCAACTCTGCAGTATTGGGTGAAAAATCTAAGCGTTGGTTTTGATGCCAAGATGAAGGGACAGAAAGTTTGAAAAAAACTAAGAGATCTGACTTTTATTACAGCCATTCTTTTAAATTTCGCTTTTAATTTCTGGCGGTTAGTTCCTAATATAATTTTATTGAAACTTTACATTGCTAAAATACACATCATTCTTGTTAGCTTATTCTAAAGTGTGAAATTTCAGAGACAAAATTTGGAGCTTAGCTTTACTTTTAAGCGGAGGAATAGCTTCAAAGATTAAGTCGTTCGACACATTTTTCATTATATTTATAGCTATGAGGTTTCTGATCTTAGCAGCCACAGAAGTGTAACTTACTGAAGAAGTGTTACTGATTATCACCTTTTGTTGGAAAATAAACACACTGTTCTGCTAAAATTATCAGTAAATTAAAAGAATAAACGTATATTCTTGATAGGTTACTCGTGATTTTCCCATGAAATGTCTCAAATCCTGGTATATTATCGAAAAATAAGAAAATCTTCAGTATTACAGTCGGAAATCTTGCAGTAAAACAGTCAAGGACTACCAATCCATATTCGACTACTGGAAATTTAAGAGTTGATATGAATTTGGCTAGTATTCAAGATCGTGTGCACTATTACTGTTATAAACATAATTAGATGGTAATTGGGTACGTAAAGAATTATCAGGCAATTTCATTTTGACAGGCAGATAAACGGGTAGAAATATCAGTTAAGCTGCCCAGGAAAAAGTCGTAAAATTTATAAGAACAAAAACTGGCAAATATGTTCATTGTATGTGACAAAAAAATACCCGAGAAAGTTAATGCTTGAAAAACAGAGGCAGAAACAAAATGGTTCATTAGATTAGAGTGTCAGTTGAGAAAATCAATAAAAAACTGCCTTATCAACTCTGACTTCAGACAACTATTCAATTGATTAACATTTGCACCAATTCATTTTGTTTATGGTATCGAAATTACATGTTTGCATACATTGTTAGAATCTACCATTGTTTTAGCACAATCAGCAATCAAGCAATTGTGATATCATTGTTTATGTATTTTGTTTTCAATATTGTAATTTTTTATTAAAAGTTGTAAATAATTATTTTGAAGTTTGAATTAAATAGTTGTGTAATCTTTCCAAAGCAATCTGCTTTGAGATAATAAATTTGGTAATATTGAATAATTAACTTTGAAGGAAAATCGAAGGAACACCTCTATTTATTCAATAAGATTTAGATTGTTGGCTTTTTTATTGCAGTGTTTTGTGACGGTTTAATTGTGTGTTTTCGCAAAAATATATTCAGATAAATATATATTCTGTGAATAAGGCGGTTTTGAGCAAAATCGAATTTATAATTTATAAATCATATTTTCTGCAGTGTTTATTTTTGACTGAAATTCAAAAAATCTAATGAGTATTTTTAGACTGGAATAAATCATGCAAAATTTTCTAGATTCATCACATTAAATTCTGAAATGAACTATTTTAAGCTATAGAGTCATGTTTTGGCAAAAATTACCTGTTTGATATTTGCCTAATCGTTTGGGTTAAGTTTAATTTATAGCAGTTCCTACTGTTGACATAAAGTTTTTTGATGAAGTTGCTTTATGTAGATTTTGAACGCAAATAGTTCATTTTTAATTATTTTATATTCAGTCTAACTAGCAAATAACGATTAGGAAACCAGAATTACCATCGGCTGTAACAACGTCTTCGTATATGGGAATAAGCTTATATAAGGCAAATAAATATATACTGAAGCAAAGTTATTCGTATTTATGAGGTGTCTGTCAATAGATGTTTACTGGTTTGTCTCGACCTTATATCACAAAAGGGATGAATTAACAATTAGCCATTATCTTTGAAGGAATTAGGATCAACTTTGTCTAGCAAATTTAATGAAGCAGACGACAATTTTAGATATTTAGGTATTTTCTCGAAATTTTAAACAACCACTGCTGGGAAAGGTCCGTTGCGTGCATAAAAGAAAAAGGCCATTTTATCATTCACATGCACCTTAGCTTAGGCCGAAAGGTTCTAGTTGTGGACAGGCGGCGCACAACGACATTTATCACCAGTGGCTCTTTAACTAAGATGCAATTTTAACGTACCCAGAAATCCAGATGTGCCCGATATTCGGCGGGCAAAAACAGTTGTAAGGATTGCCCCCTGAAACAACAAGATTATCATATTAAATTTTCTATTGTTGAAAATAGGTACCTGCAGCGCTTTGCCTGCCCAACTGAATAGACTTGGCAGCAAATAGCGTTGTTATCATTGCTCCCTGAAGTACAATAAAAATCGTACATGATCACATGTTTTGGAGACAGACAATGTCAAGATCCATACGCTATTTCGAGGCTAAAACTGCCTTGACCTAGCTGCGAGTGTAATGACCATCCTTAGATATTGAACAAAGCTCTTGAAACTAAAATCAGAAGCAATCTGATTTCGTTATAGTGACAGGTTTGTCAAAATAGTTAGCGGTATTGACAAATAGGTTCCCATCTTTATCTCAATCTTGTGTAAATACATCTTTGGCAACATGAGTAAAGAAACATGCTATGAACGACCATTGGAGGTGGCGCTCTGTAATATGCACCTATTTGAAAACAGGAAAATATATTTTTGAAACGAACCTTCAGCTTCCTTCTTGCATTGAACTTCTTCAAACCGTCAATCGTTTCTTGTCTGTGAAAGGTATTTGCAATACGTTGTCTGTCCTGCAAGCAAAAAATTATAAACAATGAATTTATCTGTTGATTTCTCCGTACGAAAATAATTTAAGCGGGACAAAAACAAGATACGGTTTTGTACAAACTGTACAGGGCTATAGGTGTTGGTTATGTTTACTGCTCACCGCACAAAAATCATCCATAAATTGATGAACATGAAGGAAACAAATGTGCTTGTTGTAAAAGTTATATTTCAAAAAAATTTCCTGCAGAGCTTTATTGATGAAAAAGTTCCTGCGACCGCCCGGTCACATGGTCGGGTGGGTTTTCAAACCCTGAAAGTAGATTCGAGAAAACACTATGGCTTCACGGCTGTGAGCCGGGTGTCAGCCGGGTGTGGACTGAATGTTTGCTTTTTCAGTAACTGCATAAGAACTTTGCAGGAAAGAAACAAAACTTTCGTTTACTTACTGCAATCCATGGGTGTTTCAAAGCCTCTGAAGCATTAATACGACGCTTCGAATCTATGGTCAACAATCGGTTGATCAAATCCTAGAAAAAAACATTCACAAAAATTATCGAAGAATTTGGCATTTTGAGAATTTGCATTTCGGCGGTATTATTCGAGATTCGCATAACAGTCGCAACCTACTGCACAAAATTCTGGCATTTCGCTATCAAGCTCAAACAAATCTGTATCGATAAAGCCAATAAATTTTTGCAGGCAAGAAATTTTAAATAATCAATCTGGTATCTTAAAGAGTAAGGCAACTACAATTTTTTTTTCATTTTCACAGCTTCAGTAATTAAAAATACTTTTCAAGCATTAACAAATGAAGATCTGCCTGATGATCGCGCAAAAACGTGAAACTCAAAGCTTCGACTTAAAACCTGTTCTACACACCAAAACAAAATGTAGGCGTAAATATAAATCCTCAAACGACACCCTCAAATCAGCATTTCCGGATTTTTCGATGAGCGTAAGACTTCTGCATCGATAGTATTTACAGGTGAATGGTTTATGTATATCTAAAATCCCAAGTTGCTTTATGGCACAGCCAAAAAGGGTTAGTGTGAAGTAAAGAAAACGACGGACACATCAAACAGTCGGCTGTAGATCAGATCCGCCCAATATCAGGGCTTATCAGTACAGCTAGACCGAATGAGGATTTCAAGCTGACCTAGGGCCAGCAATTAGGCTGCCAGGGGCAATACATGTGGGAGGTGATGTAGAAAGGAGAAGAAGCACGCACGAATCTTCATAATCGGTGGAATCGCTAAATTCTAAAGAAAAGCCAAGAAATGTCAAAAAGGGGGAAAAGTGAACAGAATTATCAACATAAGCAGTACCTTTGCTTCTTGGGTGACAGTGTCCCACTCTGGGGAAGGATACTGCAGAGAAAGATGTAGAAAACGTCAGTAAAAATATAAAGCATATTTCTTAAATGTAATCAACAACATTTTAAAATGTGAACTATTCTAGCAAGTCTTAAACGTTATGTTGATGCAATAGGTACTTTCATAGGCGTACCACATCTCTTTAAGAAGATCTTCTTGAATAAACGAGAATCAAATACAGAAATGTTTTTCACACTCCTTACATCATCAGCTATCGAACTATATCATGTGAATAAACAAAACTCAACAAAGAATTTACAGTGGCCGAAAATCAATGTCTGTTTGTCATGACATAAACACATCATTGAAACTTTATTAACTCTTACTGAGGAGATTGCTTATGGTGCTTTAAACATTTAAAAGCCACGTGTTAATTTTGCCAGCCATTCTAACTTGAATCCAAACCATACGAAAATCTGAATGCCTCCTTCGGTATCATACAGTTACCAGGATGTCTTAGTGGCTTTTAAAAATTTAAAAGCCACGTGTTAATTTTGCCAGCCATTCTAACTTGAATCCAAACCATACGAAAATCTGAATGCCTCCTTCGGTATCATACAGTTACCAGGATGTCTTAGTGGTTAGGATCGCGAACTACAATCCAAGAGGAATTGGTTTGAGTTACTGTCATGACAAGACCTTCGCTAAGAGTAAAAGGAGTCGCTAGTATCCTGCAGTTCCATACATAGAAATCATGGGGTGTGGTCACGTCGAAAGGATGGACCACGACACTGCTTAATAAGTGTCCTAAAAATACCTTTAGAAACAGTGGCGGAAATTGTGGGGGTGTGGGGGGGGCAACCACTCCCCAGGTTTTGCCAAATTGTCGGTTTTGTCGGCAAAATTATGTCGTTTGTCGGCAAATTTGCTTGCTTTTGTGGGCATTGCCCCCCCCCCAACTTGAAAAATGAATTTCCGCCACTGTTCGGAAACTAGGCAGTAACGAAAAGAAAAAAGATTATACAAATAAATTTCCTCACGTCATATGCTCCTGCTTTGATTTGCGCATAGAGGCGATGTTGATCTTCATCCCAAAACGGAGGATACCCAACCAACAGGATGTATAAAATAACACCTGAAAAAGATTAAAAGCAGGAAAAAATTAATACAAGCTGAGATTCATATTCCAACAAACTTTCATTTCTTCTGAACCTTAGGAAGAGGAGATTAACAAGGAAGGCTCCTAGCTTGAGACACTAAAGAGAAGAGATAAAATCAATCTAAATCCAAAATTGCAACTGGAAATGGAAGCTATGATATTATTCTAACATTTTGTAATATCATGCAGAGAGGTTTCATGGTAAAAGTAGGGTACCAAATTGCGTAAGGAGTGGTTAAAGATGGGAGTAATGGTCGGGACAGAGAACGCGACGAGGTTACTTCTGCGCCAGCATTTCAATAGATGGCCAGAAACTATCAAACTGGTCACACTCTCCTATTGGCTCTAAACACGTGTCAAATATAGTCAATTTCACTTCCAGCCTTCAGACAGTAACTGAATACAAATCAATTTACAGACTAAAGTCACAGACTAAAGTTTTCTTTTCTGAATATTATGTCTAAATATAAAAACTTACATTGGAACATAAACAGAGAAAAATCTTGTAAACCTAGATCATTGGATTTATTTAATTGCATATTTGAATGATTCCCAACAAGGCACCAAATTCAAATATCTCACTGTCTAGTGCCAATGTCTCAATTATGCCACCGTTTCAAATATTTTTTTCTTCCCGATTGATAATATAGGCGCGAGTTTTTGTCAAACAGTTTTTAAGGACAGAACACGAACTATGAACATATTCAACTGCAACTCTCAGAGCCTCATTACTACAAAATTACTCAAAAGGAGATGGCTGAGTAATTTGATCTTCTTGCAACGCAGGGGCATTGGTAAAATCTAATCTTTCAAATGATTTGTTTACGGAACAAATCAAAAAACGTATGAAACAGGTCAAGCTTTGAAGAAACAAGCGCTTCATCATTGCCTCAAGGCGAATCCTCAAAAATGTTCAAATATTAATCGCTAAAGATTTAAATACAAAATTGTGGTTATTGGTGAGAGTATTCCATAAGGTTTACCAATGACAACGAAATATATGAATCGCCACAAGCCTAGATTTTACCCTGGCTTGACCAACAGATTTTAGATCGGATTTTAAGTGGATTATGGTCGGCATGTATATTTTTAACGTGCTTCTCATTTGTAATGTTTTTATCACGCTATACGAACAACTAATCTGGTTGGAAAGAGGCAATGCCAACTGGACATATACGCCTGTTGTTGTTATTTTTTTTATTCAATACTCAATAGCTAACAATTATGCAACCCATATACGAAGTTAATCTCAATCAAATTGATAAACATGTATACGAAAATTAGTCAAACATAATCATTGAACAAAATCCTAGGCTCCTGTAGGCGTCACATTCACATTCTAGGACAAACCTTTGCTTTATAAAAAGTTTGAAGTTTTTCAAGTTTTCAGTGGATTCTATTTTTTTGTAAGCGGTCCAATAGACCTATGTGTACCAAAATTTACTTGATTTTGTCCTCTAAGCTTTAGTAATAAGGATGTTCGGAAGAATATTATGAAGAACTGAATTTGGAGAAATTCTTCATTAACGATGGATTAAGATTATTTTCGAATTTGCAAGTTTTATTGAGGGAAGACAAAAGCAGTGTTTATACAACTGACCAAGTATTTTATGGGCAAATTTAGGGAAACTATGGCCTAAGGAAAAAAGGTGCACTGATAGTTGAAATTGTATCGGCTTGGGGAGTGGGTGAGGTTTCAAAATTAAGGAGCTAAATTTATATAACCAGAGAAAGTATTGCCTTGAAATTGTCCATTTGCATACCGTCATATAGGAGAATTCCGACCGCAAGTGCAGCAGGGTAGACGGATAGGGGGTGGGGGTGCGATAAAGATAGCAGAACTTCAAGACAAGTTGTGATTTCCAAATTTTTTAGCCAGTTAACAAAATTAGAGCAGAACAGTTTTGCGAGTTTACACCTTGTCTATCAACTATCTTTCTGTGAACCGTAATTGATAAAACAAAGGTGAGTTCTATCGGGTTAAATAAAATACAATAATTATGAAATATGAAATTATCCAATAGAAAAATGCATGTTCGGTTGGCTTCTGAAGCCTTTATCAGTTTCTACAATATGTAGATATCAAGAAGTAACAGGGTAAGAGCTTTTGACAGACTGTAAAATAGAAATTATCCACACATCTTTGCTAATGGCTAATTCAAGGTTCCAATTTCATTTGGACACAAACTTACTTCAATTTGTTCTGTTACGTGCAGCCCGTTAACAGTTCAGTTCAAAAACGTGCCTCTGCACCGAAAAATGGTTTAAAATTACAATGAAGCCCTCCAGACGTTTGATAACATGGTAGAGTTATTAGAACAGCTAAATCCGAAACCAGTTGTAATCTGTAGGGGAGCTTAAAAGAGCACCTTCTTATCCAATAAGATCCATCTGATAACAAGTGTTTTAAACCTTTTCGAGCTACAAAAAACTTTTTTATTAAAATAATCCCATGCTATACCACCAGCCAATAAGGGTAACGAATGGAACTAGGCAGCCTTATAACAACAACAGTCCTTATAATAATGATACTGGCTCTACCTGTATTTATAAGTGTGGTTACTAAAATAGAACATAAAATTGACAACGTCGAATTGTTCGCAACAGATAGTACGGTTGGTTTAGGATACGGTTGATCTGAGCAATTTTCAAAAACGGTTGCGTAAGACCAATTCACTGACATTGTATAATTTTCCACGGAATTTCTGAAAATCTCTCAAGTGAACAGCAGAGTATCGCGGCACCATGGTTGAAAAACACTCAGCGGTAAAGCATTCGACGTACAAAGTCAAGGGTCGTGAGTTTGGGCCCAGCTCGGGTCGGTTATTTTCCCGCACTCTCTATTAATTATTTCGATATGTCCAACAGCTAGCCCGCATTTTCCACCATTCCCCAACACTCCCGCGTTCTGTCCACTGCCAACGGTTCTAACAATAAAAGCATGAAATACTCACCACAAGCCCACATATCAACTGGCTTTCCATATGGCTCTTTTCGTAGCACTTCAGGTGATAGGTAGCCAGGTGTGCCGGCAAAACCTGTAGAACGAAAAATTGGATTTAATGGCTAACTATTGTATGATACAGCAAAAGCTTGGCAAATATCACATTATCACTGTATAAATTTTTATTATAACCCTTAAACCTAGGGAGAGGGAAAAGGTTTGTTGTGTATCTCCGCACCTGACACGTGCGAGCATTGCAATGTGAATACGGACATAAGGTTATAGCCATATAAATACTAGAGATCCTACCAATCTAGTGCTATCAATACGATACAAACAGAAGGTCAAATCATCAAATACAAACAGGTTGTTTCAAATAAAAAAGTTCAAATGATTAAAATTGGCCTTAACAAGAATACCTAGAAGGGAAAAACAACTTTGCTAGAATGAGTAGGCATCAGAAAAAGAGTAAGAAATAAAATCGGAATTGATATGAAAGAAGAACGTACCATGCCAAGAATACTTCTCGCCATCGACCTCTACAGCTAGGCCAAAGTCTGCTAGCTTGACAACAGCCCCTTTCTCTTTGCTTGCTAGCAATAGATTCTCGGGCTGTCAAAGCAAGGGAGAAAACTAATAAGACGTTTTCCTTAAACGGAATGCCAAGATTGCGAATTAATACAGAGACAGTTTGCTATAGCATAAATTATCAGTGGTAGATTAAAGGGCTAAAGAAGTAAGAAAGGAATAAATTATTTCTAAGAAATGAAATACAAAAATTGGAAAATGTTGGAGAATACCTTAAGATCTCTGTGAACAACACTGTTTTGATGGCAATGCTGGACGCTTTCGAGAATTTGTTGGATACAGTGACTGAATAAAAGAGAAACAAATATTAATAGATTTAGCCTTGGGGAGATAATCTCAATCGAATGAAATAGAGCGAAGTAATTAATGAAAAACGAAACAGTGGAATGATCGTTTATTACGACGCTGTAAACTTATCATGTCGCTGTAAACGACAAAGGACGATAAATGAATAAATGTATCATGGAAGAATTAAAGATAAGGAGAATCTATGATTAATTTCAACTGTTTCTTATGCTTTCTACTGCTATATTATTAGCCCTTCGTTGAGGTTAAGACGTGGTTTAAAGAAAAGCAGAGGGCTCCAGGCATTACGTTTATCTAGATTTAAAAATAATCTACACACGATATCAGATCAAGCATCTAGAGCTTTACTCTTTCCTTTGCCTACAAACTTATAAAACAGGAGAGCTTAAAAATGAATTAAGAGAAAAAAGGATAAAGAATATACAATGTCTCAAAGAAACAAAACTACCTTGCATCTGCTTCACTGTAATACTCGCGTGCAACAATATCTTCAAATAATTCACCACCTGTTACCCTGCGGAATGAATTCAAGACATAACAAATTATTCCTCTTTGATAACCCATATCAATTATAATTAAATTGGATCATTGAGTTACAGATACACAAGACTGTTGTTCTACGCGGAATGAGATCGTTGCACAATATATAAGATAAAGAATTCAACAGATAAGGTTTTTTATGCACCAGACCAATATCTCTCTCCTTGTCACCCGGTCTTGCAGCCATGGCAGTATAAGCTGTAATAATCAGATGTATTGTCACGCTGGCGCATAAAATCTTCTTCTCGCAACTTGTCACATATTTCCCTTCCTTTTCGTCATCATCTCACTGGCCCTAGATCCTCTGATGAGTAGCAGACGAAGGTGCCTTCAGCACGTGGGAGAGTGCTTCTAGATTTTCGCGCACACTACAATTATCGTTCGTGGGCCAGAAAGGATTAGGTCCTGCTCGTTGAGCTAAGCTTAAACATGTCTTATATCCAAGCCTTGGATATTACTAGTTCAGTTGTCTTCGAACTACTGCCTCACATATTGGAAAGCATCGCACTATTTATTTTTGATCTAGTCTTTATTTTCCAAAATCTTTATTTTAATTGATCTATTTTAATTGTCTTTATTTTAGATGAATTCCTAACAATTAATTTTCGTCTATAGGTAATAACAATATAATCGTAACAGGATTCTGAAAATCATACACGCATTAAGTAACTGGTTCAACAAGTTTCAGGCAAAACAATCGATAGAGTACAAAGACCTGAATCTTGAATGCTGAAATAGGCCTTTACATCTTGGTTAAGTCTGTATAGCAAATGTTTTGATATTTTCCCTTCAGCAAATGCAATAAATGACCTGCTGTCATGGCTTGCTGTTTCCAAAAAAACGTAGAATAAACCCACAAAAGAAGCTAGAAAACCAGCTACTCCCAGGCGTCGAAAGTTAAATTTCACAATATGCGAACATTTGATTCGTGAGAACTGCTCCGTCCTCGTTAAGTTTCGTGGGAAAAATAGTGTGAGTCAGCCCTTTTCTTGTTCATTTAAGAGAAAATTATGATAAATGGGGAATGAAGACCGTTCTCCGGCGGTTTCTTCAAAACAATCAGATTGCTTACACGCTTATTTAAACAAATTTTGACGCATTATGTCTCAAGTTAAGATCACATGGCAATGGTTAACACCCGATTGTTAATAATTCATACACACAACTACATTTCAAGTTCTGGAAAGCAACCTGGTTTTTTTCCTGCAGAATTCACGCAGTTACCCGCAGAATAATTTCGATAAGCAATCTTAACTTTCTTCCTTTGCAATCCAAGGTGTCAAAAATGAAGTAAACAATTAAAGTACGATTTAGTTTTAGATGTATGTGGAAAAGGAGCTGTAATTTTTAAAGATCAATAGTGATTTTTGGGGAGCACATAAACTGCATTGTGACACATGTCTGTGAAGGAAATTTTCTGGTCTACAGAGCTTCTGGCATACCATGTGGCTTCAGATATTTTAAGACCTATGGGTCTATACCAATACGATCTAGGATCACCCAAAGAAAAATTTGCCAAATAATCACAAACAGACTTTTTAAAAAACCGAGAAACGTAAGAAGACCGTCGGGCATCTTGGGGCTTCTGGGGAAACCCCGAAATCACCTTTGTTGAGTACTTTTTCGACTACAAACATAGCATGCAAACTGAAAAGCACTGAAAGCTGTATATTCTCTATCTCACGTGCACTAGACTGTTCACTATATCCTTTTTATCAAAGATAAACCTAAAAGGCCATAGGCATACATAACCACCTTAATCTAAAAAACAGCAGTATTGTGTGCCTGGCCTAATAAAACCGATGTTTAAACAATCAAACTGCAATGATAACGAAAGTTTCAAATTGCTTTACCAAACAATGAAAGTGAAAATTGAGCTTCCGAACCCGAATAAAGACGCCTTAAACATCTGCAGCCCCGTTTAATTAATTATCAAAGTTAAACTTACAAATCAAAAACAAGATAGTGAACTCCTTCTTCCGGAAGGCTTGCATGCAGTCTCACTGCAAATGAAATTATAAATTATATTACATATTGTGAAGATTTACACTCACAATTAAGTTTGAGCAAACATTCTTAGGCCTGGATCAAACGAAGCATTTCACACGTTTTGAATACAATAAGCGAATTAAGTCATGTAAAATGCAATATTTGACTTGAAATATAATATTTCCATGTGCTGAATTTTAGTCGACTACAATTATTCTTTTTCAAAAATATAAACATTTTGAGTCATACTTAGGCTTATAAGCAAGCGGCAATCACTGGGCAACCTCAACAATCAAGTGCTCGCGTTTTCAAATTGGCCTATTTCGAACCACAACAAGGTGAATATATTTTCTAGCAGATTTATTCGACCAGATGCAGTATTCACCCAAGGCTCTTTTTCATTGACTTCGCAGATCACTCATTCAAATTCAACATTGTACCTGACTCCTCTTCGAAATCGAAAATATCGAAAATAACGTTATCGGCACATTTAAAATGCGACGTTTGAACCAGATCAGATTCTCGTCAATTTCAACAGAAGTCTATTTCAGCAAAAATATAGGCCACAATGTGGGAACGTTAGAAATAAGGAGATTGTGTAAATCACCTCGACTGTTTTTCATGCATTCTGCTGCGACATTATTACACATTCGATAACTTTAAGGTGTGGTTTTGAGCAAAGCAGAAAAACTTAAATCATTACTTTTATCAAGATTTAAAAAGATCTGTACACGATATCACATCAAGCATCTACAACTTTCATCTGCTACCAAATTGCTTTCTTTTGACGAGCCGCTTGCCTTTGGTGTATTCAAAGTGGTATGGCAATGGAAAACATATTGCTTCTCAAGCTAAATTTAATGCTTCGAAAAGCCACTTTACCTATGTTTGGATGTTTTAGCATGCGGCATATTCTCGCTTCTCTCTCGAGCTTTTGAAGATCTGAAATAACAATATAAATGATCAAAATTGCATCAATTAAGAGAAATTCCACCAGACTGTAAAAAATCTTATTTAATGCACAGTTTTGTAGTGTGTAACAATAAAAAATAGTGTTAGATAAAATGTTCCTTTTTGAAAGATACGTTCGTTCAGAGAGGCTTCCGTTGTAGAGAGGTGTCTATTGCAGAAAGATGTTAGTTGTATTGTAGAAAGGTGTCCGTTGTATAGAGGTGTCCGTTGTATAGAGGTGTTCGTTGTCTAGGAGTGTCCATTGTAGAGAAGTGTCTACTGTAGAGATGCTTTATTATTGAGAGGTGTCCGTTGTAGAGGAGAGTCCATCGAAAAGAGGTTGCTGTGGTAGAGAGGTGTAGAAAGGTGTTCGATGTATTGCAGAAAGGTGTCCGTTGCATAGAGGTGTCTTTGGTAAAGAGGTGTCCGTTGTATAGAGGTGTCCGTTGTATAGAGGTGTCCGTTGTCTAGAGGTGTCCATTGTAAAGAGGTGTCCTTTGCATAGAGTTGATCATTGTAGAAAAGTGTCCTAGACTCTGTGCATAAATGTACATAAAATGAGGCAGTAGCGAAACAGACGCTCGTGGAGTAAATCTAAAAGTGTCCTTTCTATAGAGGCGACGTTTGCGTAAGCCACGATCAACATAGATCAATAATGTCTGGCTACATATTGGTAGAAAGTAAATTTGAAAGACTCGAAAACTTTGGAAGATTCAAACATAATTGCAGATGCATATTTGGGTTGAATTTCTTTAACAGTCTTGATTTCAAAATATATTTCAATATAATGCAGCTGTAGTTAATAAAATTTAAACAGGCTGACAGCTGCTATGGCGACAAAGACACAACGAAAAAAGTTCAAGAAAATTTCCATTGAAGCTAAGCTTTTGTTGAAACTATGTCATTTTTGGAATGAGATCTTCTTAAATATGATAATCTAAAGGGTTTCTGTTAGTTTCGATTTTACGGGGAAATGATCTTTTTGCTTTTGACAAATCTTTCAACTTGGAATGAGCATATTGCAAGCCTAGTGTAATGTTTCGAAAATGCCCTTAAAGACAGCATTTCTATCTAGATTGCAGTTACACGTAGCATCGTTCATACTGCTGATTAAATACAAATATGCAATTCTACTCTTCAGCCCTGCTGTGATTTGATTGGCTTCGACCAAGCAACCTTTTCGTTGATTGGACGCTTCTATACCCCCCCCCCCCCTCCCTCGAAAGCACGTTTTGTGTACAGACACAACGTCTTTTACAACAAGAGAACTACTTGTTTTATTGATATTTTTTAAAGCTGCAGTCAGATACTCAGTCTCCCTTGGTAACTCACACGAGATGAGTCTGGTGGGTACATTCTTCCCACGTGACAACATAGAATTGAGAATGATCATTAAGTCATGTTCAGACATTGCAATGAAATTTTAATGGCTCTTATTGCTTGAGCAAAGTCAAGTTATTTGAAAGCTGGAAAAATGAGAGAAGCAAAATTAAGTTGATCATTCGAAACTAATTTGGAGCTCTTTGGACAATGAAAGGTAAATCGACGTTAACTACCCAAAATTCCCGCAAAATGCAAAGTTAGAAACCGCGCAAATACACCTGCACTTTTGTTTTCTCAGCAGAGCAAACAAATTGGCTCAGACGAGCCTTTAAGAGTTTAGGAAAAAAGCATGACTGTGGTAAGGAGCCACCAGAGATTTAGACAAACCTGCAGACCAAATATGTCCGTGAAAGACAGACAAAAAGGTTACATACACATGAAAGGTTGCAAAAACAAAGAAAATATCATAATGCTTTGGGAATAGCCAGAATGTTGGTGAAGAAAAACAATAAAGAAAAAGATTTGCTTTGAGAAGACAGCGTCAGTCGTTATCATTAGGGAGAATTCATATGAAAAATGACATGTTGTGACAGGAAAATGCGAGGAATAGATGAAATGATGAAGTCAATCAGCTTCAAAAGTAAAACACTTGGAAAGGGTAGTCATTCTCCCTGCAAATGAAAACAACGTACATATAAGATTAAATATGAACTTGATTAGCCACGTGATTAGACGGTGTACTAAACGACAATGGTTAGAAATTAATTCATAAAATCATTGGATTAAATGTTTCAAAACACCACAGGATTACAAGAACCATTTACATTCCGTCTCAGATTGACGTATAAACGTCAAAGAATTTTATAGAAATTGTCGCAAAGCAAAAGAGTCGATATAGGACGATACTTAGGAAAATACCTACGTAGCCTTATGTCGATAGACGTGAGCCAAAGATGATTCGACTTAATAATTGACTATTATTACAGAAAAATAGCAGTCTGTACAAAAATACGAATGAGGGAATGATCTGTCACCATAGCTGCCCAATTACATAAAAATAAAATTTGTGGTTGACGGAAAATGACGGCTAGAGGTCTTAACCAAAGACCTTTTGCCTCTGAATAGATCATGTTGACACCAGCATAGCCAAAGAAATATGGAATGGACCTATAATATAGAAACGTGGAACCCAGGGGAACTATAGTTTGCAAGACAATTCAACACAGCATAATTAAAGTCAGCAACAACACACAAACAGCACATAAACAAAAATGAAACAACATGGCAAAAAATACAGGACAACACGAAAAAACAACACAGCATAAAGTTCCAAAAGAGACGACATAATACAAAATTTGCAGCTTTATCGAATATTTTGAAGACAATCTAAAGGAAGCATTACCAAACATCCTTTAGAAGGAAAATGTTAAAATTATCATTCAAAACCCTAATTTTATCTTGACAATTTTGCGACTACCATATGTTTGTTAAATGCTTGTTGCTTTTGATGTCAAAATTCCATTATAAATTTTTTGCTTTTCTCTTAAAATTCTAATTTTGTACACGCTTTTTGTAATTTAGCGCCCTGTCTCATGAAAACTGGTAAACTGGTTTTGACAGCTCATCTACGGTTTTCCATGTATACGTCAGCTAGTCATGTTAATTGTTGCTGTTTGTAGAGTAAATTCGGGATTTTGTAAAGCCTAATATTTATACCTAATAAAACTAATATTTACTAAAACCTAATATAAAAGTTTTGAGCTTGCACTTGATTTTACGTCAGCAACTGTTAATACATATTCGCAGAAAATTATCGAATCTCGTTATTACGTCGGTTGAGCCTCTGTTTGGTTGGTTTTCACAAAAAACCATAGAGATAGGAATATAAAAACTTGTTTTCCTATCTATATGCAAAAAGCTGAATACAACGATGACGCATGCAATGTTTCTACGACATTAAGATAAGGCATAATTCACAGCTGCTGTTGAGGGCTTTTACATCAATACTCAGACACTGACATTGTCAATACTATGAAGCAAACACAATCTTGTTCGATGTTTTACGTAACGTTCAAGAGCAACCAGTTGGGGCATCACAACAAAATAGCTGATCAGTTAATCAAACCTCTTTTTGCGTTAATTACAACAAATGCCACTGATCCTTGCGTAATCTCGTCAATGCTATTCGGGGCATACTTGTGTACTGGAGTTTTCGAGTGAAGTGAACTTTTACAGCACATCCTTTTCATACCTAAACTGGCACAATAGATAACCAAACTCCACGTGTAGATATGGTTTAAGAAAAACCCATGGCTTAACAAACGAAACATTTTTTCCGCTGAATATTGCTACATCTTATTTTACTTTAATGAAAATCGACTGACTAGGTCACAACAGCAATGCCCTGGCACAAAGATTTGATTGATAGAAAATTTTTGCAAATTGTCAACTGCTTGGTTTTGTATGTATATCAAAAAATGCGGCTGATTTGCAATATCATTCTGTCCTTCAGGTTTTCTTTTTCAATTCGAATTCATAAAACTTCATTAAACATAGGCTTTCTTGGTTAACTTTGTAGAAGCTTGTAACTTGCACCCTTTGCATGGCTGAACACAAAAAATTATATGGGTATTGCTGGGAAGAGGTTTAAAAGTATCCTGTTTTTGGTCCCTTTCATAGTTTACCATTCACTGTTAGTTAAACAGCAAAGACAGAATAAAACAAGGAATTTTTATATATGAGACTATAATCAGTGGAGGACATCTGTAGGGCAAGAAGGGCCAAGGGGGTGACAACCAAGGGGGTGACTGTCTTTTGTTCTGAAACAATGGGAAATGTGACATCACCTTATTAAAGCAATAAGCTTGCCCCCCAATATTTGACCAAGTGTCTGCCCCTGACTATTATCCCAGCAAGTAATATTCTACTGTGCTAGCTGTACTGTAAAAACTGACATGGGGGTGTGTGTAACTAAAACTCCAGCCTAATCCCAAATAACAAGCAAGGTAGCAAGGTCATAGGTAGGAATCAAGACAAAAAAGTTCTATTATATTTTCAAACCAATGGCAAACCCTACAATATCAGAAGATTTTATCAACAATAAAAGGGTCTTGAGTTACAATAATGTTGACATAAGCTGAAGTTACAGCTATCAATTTCTTTAGGTGTTCCCCATTGTTTAACATATCTGGGTACAATCTCAATAAGCCAAATTTTTCATTCTAAAAGTATTTCCCTGCACTTTCAATTCAGGTGCTGAGTGATAAACTAAAAGTAAGGGAGCTTTGAGTTAGATTACATTGTACCTAGTTTTGTTGGTGTATTCTTTCTTTCACAGAAAATATAAGATATCAGGGAGCATTATCAACAGCGATGGGCCACAAAATGTGCATTATTCGAAATAATAGAAGATTTCTCAAACAGAAGCAGAAAAATAAAACGATCAAAGCAAATAGTCTAAATTAAAAGAAATCAATAAAAAAAGAAACAAAAATTGGACATTGGCATTCTTAAGAGATAAATCACACACATTCCCAAGGACTTGCAGTAAAATTCTTGGTACTAGAACTATCACTGTAAAATTCTTTACTCATTTCCTAGTATTTCTCCATTCAATGTAATATCTCTCCCTACCTTGTTATTAATGATGAAATACTATGCCTGCGATGCCTAATCACTATGTCCAATTTTCAAAATTAGATCTACAATCATCACCTTGATGCATTTTAATACATTATTTGCTATGTGTTGAGCTAGGCACTACCTCATTCAACAAAATACAAGATGAAACTTCATCAAATATGTCATACATGCTGCCTTGATATACTTCATTATATCTGGCTAAAGCTACCAAATTAAAGATACAACAAAGCATCAAATGTAGAAGTAAAAATACACAGGAAAATCCAACAAGCTGCAACAGTGTGATCTGATCAAAATCTAAAGGGAGTATTTAACCTGAAATGGTTCAGATAATCTACAAAAATTGACATGCAGCAAAAACTAATGACAAAAATGCTACTTGAAAAAAATTGAAAAATTTCCCTGCAGAAAATAAAGACTTAGAAAGCTGTACAAACAAATAAAACATCAGGACCTTTCTCTAGGGAAGTTTTTTAAATCATCTATAAAATGCTGCAAATTGATTCTGTTTCATGCAGTTAAACAAAGAACAGGTAGAAAGGACAGGTGACTAACAAGAACAAATCCTACAGGTACTGTTTAGCAAAAAGCTTATCCTATGCAAAAGAGGAATTTGCAGCTTTCTTTGTTTCCAGAACAAGACATGACCAGTCATAAAGCTAAATATTTTCGTGAGGCCCTACTAGCATGTGCTTAACATGCAAAAGCTCAAAACATGGATACTTCCCAGGATTACTTGATAGCAAAACCCAACTGTATTTATACACAAAATAGACAATTCTCTAGGACATTTTATATAGATTTAGAATGATCTCAATATGTTGTGTTTACTGTGGACAACAAAACAATAAGAATATAATTTGGTGAATAGCAAAATTGCTTGTTTTTATCTCTAAAATACTGGATCAATATATTATTTTGCAACTCATGGTTTTATTATCAGCCTATTATCAACACAATCTTATCAATAGCTTGCTAGGGATGAACCAGTGGTAAATGCAAAAGCTTCCTAGTTCACAGAATGTTTTAAGACTCATATCCTCCCAAGGTAAAACCTCATTTAATCTCCAATTTATTGAACTTTGATATAATTTACAAGCCTTTAACTCACCAACAGTTTTCATATCAAAATTAACCATATCATAGCCTCTACTCTTGATCAATTTTTTTTACTGTGCCCTCATCAAAATGACAAATAGATTTTAATGTGTTGTGAACCCCAAAATGGTCTATCTGGACATCTTCGATTCATAGACCACTTAGAATGATAAATTAGTCTACCCCTGTAAAACAAAATCATGGAAAGTAACATGTGTGATTGTAGCTTCAATACAGAACTGACCTCTAGCTGTCAACTTCCTTGTATTGAAGATCTTTGCAGCATATTCCATTCGAGTTTCCTTGTGGACACATCTTTTCACCACACTGAATGCTCCCCTGATAGAATATTACAAAAAGTTATTTTCAAAAAAAACTATATCCAACAAGAAAAACATGTCCATGGCAAAGACAGGGCTGCCCCATGGTATACTGATTGCTCTACTTGCTTTAAATAAATCTTATGAACATAATGCTATGCTTGTTTAATGCGTTTATAGGCAGAGAATTTGTAAAAATTCAAAGGGTTGAAGTTGCAGAAACCATGCAAACAAAGGGTGTGGTATTTGGAAACCACAACAATATAGGAAGATATTTGCTTTCACAAAACAAATTCTTATCATCTTGCCAGTGTAGCCAAAAAAGTTGCAGGTCAGACTTATCACACGCTAACAAGCAAGTAGAGCGACATCAGACAATTTCAAATACTAACACACTTTTTGTTTCTTCGTTATCTTTTATTTATAATATACAGTTTCGATCTACAACAGCATCACAACCAAAGATAACATTTCGACTACTATGGGTTTGAAATCGAACAAATTTGTTTAAAGGTTATCCGCTGTAGAACTATTTGAAGGTAGCGTTCTAAAAAGGTTTAAGGACAAACCTTAATAGAAATAAACGGCTATAGATGATTAATGTGTTTTAATCTTTTAAATACGCTTTTCAAAATATGTTCGGAAAGTTAACCGCAAAAGGGAGCGTGCGAATCATGAACATATCCAGCAATTAAACGTTAAATCGAAATGGGCGTTCGGTTTCGAGTGTTCACTGTTCAGTGTTTTGGAACATACATCACTCTTCGTAAATGGGGTTCTCGTATTTAAAACATCATTCAAATCCGAGAAATACACAAATTTTGCCTGATTACCTATGCTTCTTTCGGAAAATCTCTATTGTCGGAAGGACTTATTCGCATCTTAGCGTGAAAATAGCCAAAAACACTGAGCAGTTCATAAAAGAAAACAATCGCTGATTTAGGGGAGGGTTTTTTAGGAATCGTTAAAATCAAACTTAATTCGAGCAAATGGCTGCTGGTTTTGCAAGTTAAGTTAATTATGCATGCCTCCTACACGAAATTAGCGAAATACTCTTCATTTTAAATAGGAGATTATCGCAACAAAAATAATATATTTCTTTTGTGTCCGAAAGGACAACAAGAAAGAAGCCAGCAGCTTTGCACAAAACGAGTTGATTATTTTCTGTTTTCCTTTCTTATAAACTATCTAATTGCACAAGATCTAGATACCATGGAAAGAAACTAATGTCCAAAGCCAAGGATTTATGTTACAAATTTTTTCAAATCGCCTGAAAAGTCGCTGTAGAACTTTTCATGAGTACAACGAAAACCCAGAAATGGGAAGGGCTGTTTCTACTTGGCTTTGGCTAGGCCAGCAATATCACTCGGACGTGAGTTTGTTTATACCAATAATCACAATGAAAATTAGACAGAAGTGTGCGACATACTTGCCAAGCTCTTCTTTAAGCTCGTAAATATCATTGAAGCGCGGTCCTGTGTGATTTGCCATTGCAGATTTTTCTTATTTCAAAGCAGACAGCGACTTCACCGACCTTTCTGCACGACTCATCGGTAAGAACATCATTCACTATACATTTGCATATCATTACAATAGAGAGATTGTTATTCCTTCATAAAAATACAATGAGAGTATAATAGGTATTGTCTTTAAACCAATCAGATTCAAAGTTGTTTAATAAAGACAATTTATACTTGGAGGTATCAAACTTCTAAGAAACAAAGAATCCTCTTGGCCGGGCGATGTTTGTTAGAGATAAGCAAACTTCGTATCTACCGTTTAACGTGAAAAATTATAAGAAAATGGATGTTTTTATTACATTTTAGGTGATCTCTATATTCTTAAATGTTGCAATCAAATCATTGAAATCTAATATTATGATATTCAACTAAAGATTGGGTTCTTTATTGCATGGCAGCTGCCACGCAGAGGCTATGCAGCTGTCTTTCAAACGTCCTTCATTTTGGCTTAATTTCTTTGTTAAAGCGTTTCTCAAAATAAACATCTGTTCACATGAATTTAGCATTATCCATATTTCAATTGAAACTTCGCTGAAGAGAAGCATATTGTGGGTATGTTTGAATTAGACCTTCTCACCATCGCACACACATTTAATATACGATTACCATTATCCACCGACACGTCATCTGAGGAAGTTTCTCACCTTGGCACAAATAACTAAAATGGCAAATTTAAAATGCTGAGAATGAGTTGAAAGATATCAATGTTAAAGTGCATGCGGTCCTAAGACCAAAACCCTCGTCATAACTACATCAGTTTTATATCAGTAACATTGCATAGTATCATTAAGTTTATACTCATATGGTAAGGGGTAGCCAACTGCCATCTGCCAACAAAACTTTTCTGACAACGAAGGCAAAAAATATATTCTGTCCCCCAACTAAGATAGCCGGGAAATTTTCAGCACGAATAAACTAGCCTGCGCGCAGACTCGACTGATTTTCCCAGAGATGAATTTTGTTGAACTGAATTTTCTAAACAACTAAATTTCCAATTAACTAGATTCATCTCTGGGAAAACCAGTCGAGTCTGCGTGCAGAAGAAACAAATACAAGCAACATTAAAGCGCATTGTTGACATCTATCTAGGCAAAATAAAACAACAGAACTATTGTTAATAATAGAAACAGAGCTCTATTATCTTCTCTTGTCTTACGAAAATCAAGAATCCCTTTATTCGACTCTACAAAACTTCCCGAAGGAATAAATTTTATGAGATTACTAAGATAACAACTAGATTCGAAATTTATCGGCATTTTGACGATTTATCTCATCGGAGCTTTTGAGCAAATAAGATTTTTCGCGCAAAAAGTAAACTCATCAAGCTGGTATTGTGGCTGGTATGTTTCATTTACAAAGCTTGCAAAAAATGTTCCCTCTCATTGAATTTATACTTTGGGTCGCTTAAGATTGCTTGTAGAATGATATTGGGAGCAGAATAATTAATTTCTATTCGAGTATTGAGGCTCAGCGAGTAATTTTTACTAAGGACAAAGTGCTTTTAGAATTCAGTAAGTTGGAAGCATTTGCAGAGTCCAGAAAAAAGTTTTCAACCTTCCTCCGGCAAAGGAAATCTTACTACAAAGAAAACCTTCCTCGTTTTTAATGGAACTTGGGGGGTACTCAACTAGTCTTGATCACCTCTCCCTGCAACTCTGTTTTTCAAAAACTTTTTAAAAACAGTAGCTTGTTCTTAATCATAAATGTTTCTGAGACAGATGAAAAGTTACATGCTTATAACATCTATTAACAAAAGTGTGTCATTACTTAAATTCGTAAGTTATAGAAAGTTAATGCCTCAATTTTAACGTGCAACGCAGTTCTGTGAATTCGTTCATAAAAATAGGTTTAAATATATTATTTAGCTTTTTCTTATTCTTTTTCTCTCTGTATTTTAAAAAGCAAAGGCTATTTCTTTGACCTCCTCCAGTTTCTAATTTTTCGGTCACCTTCCTCAATCTCTTTTTGTTTCCTTTTGCTTTTGCCAGTGGCCGTGGGGCCGAGTGGCGATTCACTCTTGCAAATAGAGATTTTGCCTAAAACAAACGGATTTCTGGGGATTTTCAGATAAAAGAATAGGATTTTCACAAAAGGTGTACGATATTTTTTTAGAGTGATTTGCCACCACCCTCCCCCCCCCCCCGCGTGGGGCCGTGATGTTTTCCTGTCTCTGAGCATTTTCTTTTGCCATGCGACTAAGGAGGTCATTTGGGCGATAGATCGCGGAAGGATTTTAAGTGTCACAAGCTTACATCACTGACGTGGCGTCCAGAGTCCAGAGAACATTACGGTTCCACGGCTGGGAGCTAGAGGAAGATTATCCAAAGGTGCAGAAGCTTTTAGAAGGCAATGTATAACCTCACAAGAATATGTAATGTGAAAAGAATTCACTGTTATGCTTGAACTTTTCTTTTTTTGACAACGCATAAACACCAAACTATAGATGATTTTACTTAAATTCCATTTCTAATAAATCTTCTCCCGAAGCAGACAAGGAAAATGTTGAGAAGGTAAGCAGTGCAAAAAATCATCTGGAGGAAGGTTGAGGTGTTTTCTGAACTCACATAAGTGTACCTTCATTAAAGCACTACCTACCTCTGAGCTCTAGGTCAGTATTAGGGCCTCATTAGGCCTTCAGTCTAGCTTTATTTATGAGCCCTCTTAATGGGTGAAACTCGTCTACAACCAACCTTTGAGGTGTTAGTGGATATCTTTTAACTCCAAACAAACATTTATTGTTGTATTTTGCTAAGCGTATTTTGTAATCAATGGTTAAATGTTTTTATTGAATTGAATTGAGAAAACATTTTCTAAACAGCAAGGATTTTCTAGCAGGCAAGGCCTACGTTTTCAAAATACAAATAATTGCACATGTGTAGAAGTTTGCATGAAAATTGTTTGGGGGCAACCCATACATCATATCAGCGCTATTTACATTAGGTTTCGGCCACTTTTGACATTAGTTCTAATCAAGCACAAACTTTCCATTAGTCCTTCTATGAGAATTTGTTTATCGCTGCGAGTTTCGGGCCTGCGCCACTGATTCTAAACTGTTATTTAGAAGTGGGTAGATGAAATTTGTTAATTTACTTCACTAGCCCCCCTTTTGGCAAAACTTTGCAGGCCCTGTTTTACTTTTGGATTTCGGTCCAATATATTTGTTGTAGTCTACAGCTTTATCTATATAAACATTAAGACAAATTCAAGTCTTCTATTTAGCAAAATACAGATGGCGATGGCCCCACGCCTACCTCTGTGGCGCAGTCCCTACAGTACTGATTTATAGAACTGCTTTTGGTCGTACATTTTCATTTTGTTAGGGAGACGAGCAAGGGAGGCGCATTTTTTAATGAGTGAGGCAACCCTCCTAGCTGGAGTCGAAGAGCATGCGCACGGTACGAAATTATAGTTAAGCATTCTCTGGCTTCTGGACGGCGGGTTGCCTCACTCATTTGAAGATTTTCGCTCTCGCCTCTCCCCAACAAGATTTTAAATAAAATTGCTCTAAGATCTATTTCTCCAATCGACATATTTTGGTTGACTTATTTTTGTTTTTCCGGCTTTTTAAAAAGAAAAACATATCTCCTAAGAAGGTAGAACAAATCTCAGTATTTGCAAAAACCATTTTATCCTTAATTTACATCTTGTAGCTACGAGATATCCTGTGGTTTAGGTTGTGTAAGACCACCCTGGTAAAATGGATCATAGTCTGAAGAGATTTTGGGATCACGAAAAGGATTTTTACTGATGGGGCGCCAATTTTGTTTCGAAAGTAAAGAACAAAGATGTTTTTCATCGAAAATATTTTTTTGGTTACTCCTGGCTCCTGTTTGTTACGCCAAACTTAACAAGCCAAGGTGTATGTTTCTCTAATCCACTCAAGTCTATAATAACTTGGATATTTTTAACAAAATCGTAAAGTTATGATAAGAGAAAGTAATTTAAAGACATAAAGCAAATAGCATCTATTATACAATTGCTATATAAGGTATTGAAAGATATTAAAATCTTAATAAGACATTTTAATAGCTCTTTAAAGCGTTTTTTGTTAATTTTGATTCAATACGATTCAGAATTATCTCAAACCCATATTGTTGTATCTTAGGAACATAAATGTTAGTTTGTAAACATTTCATTAGATGTTCTTATCATAAGTAAATTCCTCGATTATAGCAGATGATATAGATGGAGCAATGTGTGTAGCAAAAGACAATATCAAAAATTCAATAGCCAAAATTTACGTTGATGTCAAGTGTTCCTGACTCGAAATCTAAGTACCATATTATCCCCTTCATAGGATTAAGCCTAGATAAAAAGAAGTGCCATAAAACTTCAAGAAATTGTTTTTTATGTTTTCAAAACTTATGGTTGTGGATATAGAACTACAGAAGCACTTCCAGACAGGGGGTTGTTTTTACAGAATATTGTGTTATCAATAGTTATCAGCGTGAACAACCATTTCAAATTCAATGCTGTAAACGTTATTTCAAAGTTTTAACAAGGAATAAATATGTTACGAAATATATGTGAATTCTACAGCCACAGCTGCAGCAATTAAAGAAAGGAAAATCAAAAGACGTTTTGAGTAAGATTTATTTGATATTTATCCCTAACTTTGAACATCTATTGCTTGACTTCTTAGCTTATGGTTTTCTACTTCAATTTTTATAGGATTCATTTTTGTTTGTAATATTTAGGATAATAGAAGATAAGAATATGACATAGGACACATAGTAATTACAGCAGTTTTTAACCAGCTCAACCTGTATAAACATGCATGTTATTAGTATATATATTATCCTTCACTGGACTGTGAAGAACTTCGACTAATTTGGGTGGGGGGACACGCCCCCCAGTTTTCAGCAGAATCGATTTTTTATTTCGTCTAAATTCGATGAAAAAATGTTGCGGGAGGGGTAATATTTTGACACTTACTTTTTGTGATGTAATCCTATGATTTTCAAACTGCCAACTTTTAAACAAAAGTTAGTCATAGGCGTTCCCTTCGATTAGAATTGGCGTTCCCTGTTGAAAAAAGGGCATTTTCTGGTGGTTAAAAGGGCGTGGTTTAAATTGTTTTGATTTGTCCCCTCCAGAGCTTAGTGGCTGGCGCCGCCATTGTGTAGACTATATCAAACACAAGGTGTATGGTACTTCTTCTCTTTAAACGAGAATCTGAGTTACATGCTTCAGTTGAAGAACTTTAGAGCTTTGAAAACAAGGTGATCGTGAGCGAAGTTTCAAAACAAGGATTTATTGGAGCCCCTTCTTATTGGGGGATCTTAGTCAGGGGCGGATCTAGAAATTATTCTGAGGGGTGCTAAAACGTAAGGCTTGGTAACCAAGGGTGTTGCTATGCACAAACTCCGTACCCCCTGCTAATAAGCCATAATGAAATGAAAGTCTTCCATAAACTAAAAAGCCTGGATGCCGTGATTGATATAGTAATTTTTTGCTACACTTTGATCAGAACTTGGAACTTTGGCTTCAGCTTTTATGCCAAACGCAATTTGCAGCTCTCCCCCTCATATTCACTTAGGGTACAAAAGTATAGAAACTGTAGCCAAATATGATATCATTGCCCGCAGTGGCAAAAGGCCCGAGCCCACAAATTTCCAAAGCAAAGTTTAATTTTTGACTCTTTGCAGCCATTCATTAGAACTTGATCATGGCTGGTGGAATGAAGCCCTTGAACTTGAAGTGCAGTGCACGTGATTAGAGACAATAGAACAATAGAAAAAAGTCGGACAAAAGTTGAACACAGGGATTCGAACACAGCATGCATGGCATGCATCGACATATGATACCAAACCAAACAAATGAGGCCCTGAACGTTTCGCCTGGGCCTGCCGTTTTGAGTATTTTTATGAATTTGAAATCTTTAGAGAAAAAAGTATTCGTAGGAATATAAGTAGGAATAAGAAGAAAACCCCTTTTGGTCAAGAATAGTATGGGCAAGTTTTTGAAATGTTTTGTATGTAGTTCTTGAATGATTAACAAAAGAATACCTCATGGTCTATGAATAAGACGTGAAACACGGAGTTGAAACTTGAATCCGTTCTGTTATATAAACCAAAGTGTTTACAAGTTCTGCCGTTACAGCATCGAGCACCAGGTAAAGATCGTCAAAAGACCTACGAAAATTGCAAATTTGCACTTCACCTAAGCAATCGTCGCGTGCTGTATCATAATTCAACTCCCCCTGGTCAACCTCAACTCCCCCTGTTCAAGCTCAACTCCCCCTGGTCATAAAACCACTATACATTTGACTGTAGATTGAAGCGAAGAAACTCCCCCTGGTTTGGTCGGTATTCTTTGATGTTTTGGATTTTGAAATCCATGGGTTCTCGCGCCAAAGTTTAGAACCCCTCGACCTGGCACCGTGATTGGCTAGATTCACTTCCACGGGTGCAGAAAATCGTATAATTTACAGGCCACGGGTTCCTCAAGTGGCTGGTTATAAGAGGAGACAATGCTTTCCGAGTCTGTAGAATGCTATACAGTACAACCAGGGGGAGTTTGATAACACTTCAATGCATGGACTGAAATAACAATGTTGAACAGTTGTGAGACGGGGCATTGAAGCGGATATAACAATTTCAGGAGATGTGCATACTTCTCGGTAAAAAAGATAATAAATGGTTTAAATAATTATAAACAAAATTGCGATAGAATAAGCTTTAATCCCAAAAAGTTTTTCCTCAAATCTGAGGGGTGCTCGAGCCCCCTTCGCACCCCTCTGGATCCGCCCCTGTTAGTTATCGAATTAAGGTGTCATAAAATGCGTTACGTCACTGACTATGAGAATATCAACAATCTCCATTGACAAGGTATGTCACCCAACAAATTTCCTTTCGCAGGCCAAAGGTCTTCTGAAGTTTTGACCAAAAAGCATAAATATGAATATGAATGATAATGTTGTCTTATGCACAATCATCAATGCATTATCTGAAAGACCCTAGCCTTGGCCTGGAACTCAGTCAGATTTTTTGCTGGGTCCGCCACTGTACGTGTAATACCAAAGAAGAAACAATACTTCAGAATTTTCATCAAAGCTTTATCATACATGCATGAACTATGAAGCAATTGATTGACGCAAAAAATACTGTTACAAAACTTATAGTAATACCTTAAATTCTCTACATTTATATACATAAATTTAGAAATTTGTCTGTTGATATTTCCGTAGCACAGTGCTGAATACATTTGCACGTAGAGCGTGATATAGAAAACATTTCCTGAAGAGTGAGTTATTCACGAAACAGGCTTGTAGAGATAAAACATGTAGTTTTATTTTCTCCAACTCTATGCTATATACATACATTTAGGTATGCGTAATTATAAAGTACCGCCTTTTGCATTGAAGAAGTTAAGCTTCGATATTCGCTAGATCGTAGCACCTAAATTCTGTAGCCAAGCCTTTCTCTTTTGAATAAGAATCTTGGCCTATATGCCAATATATGATAACCAACTTTGCATTCCACTATGATAGGCATTCTTTAAATTGTGTCACTACATATTTAAAGCTATACTTTTTATAACGATTACTTTTAAAAACAGTTTTTCAAAGGTGGTGTTTTACATGCGGATTTCAAGTCGATCTGAAATTTTAGACCGATCTGAACAACCGAAACGAATTCAGGTCGACACGAGTCTCATTTGCCTCAGACCACGGATCTGAGTTTCAGACCTGCCGGAAATTTCTCATGTCTGAGACTAAGATCGTAACGGAGCAGGTCAAATAGTCGAGCCTCCGCTTAGGTAGGTAATATCAAAGTTTCTGAAACTTAAGAATAATCAGTTTCTACAATTCTAAGTACATGACCCCGAAGAGTGCCGGAAGTAGAGGAAACTTGTATCGCTATTTCGTCAAAGTTTCTGGGTTTCAAGATAAATAATAGAAAGGTCAAATATCAATAAAAATTCTACAAGCAAAAGTTTGATAAAAATCTACATGCATTGTTTTTGTTGTTTCATAGTCAATCTCTTCTGTATTTAATCTGATATAATACATACCGCCCATTATGTATCATACCATTTTTTACATTACACTAAACTCTATATACAAACACTCATACATATTTCAGCTCGAGAATACATTTTGATTCAAAACTTATCAGAAAAGAGCTTTTCAAGCAGTATCTTCCCTCATCGTACTTTCACTGTTGTGTGTCTTCGAGTCATCAAGTTCTGGGCATTTTTCTTCATCAGGTTCTTCCAATATGCTCTTGATGATATCGTCATATATTGGACAAAAAACGTTCCTGTTGTGAGAAATAAGCCTTGAAAATCTACCTGCCAAAATTTTCAATTCATCTTTCACGTTAACTAGAGCCAATGGTGCTTCATTGTGACGAGGAGTTCGTTCTGACGTCATGCACAGTAAAACATAGTCCCGAATCCTCGACTCTGTGGAAAAAAATGAGAATGGTTATGTTACGAGGTTATGTTACGAGTTTATGCTACGAGGTTATGGCGCGAAATGGATTTACGATGCGTGATATCATATTTTGTGTAACAAATATAATACGCTCTCCTAAGAAGAGTTGAACATTTTCTAGACAGAAATGGGAATTTTCAAATCAATGGGAATGCAAATTGGCATTGAAATACATCAGGACACAATGCTTTTGACTTCGAGGGATTAAATATAAATGCAACCACAAGAAAATGATATGGATTGATCTTGGGACTGCACAAAAGCTATTAGCTTAGAAAATTTTTTTTGAACTAAATAAAACCATATGCTTTTTCACAAAGATTAGGAGAGGACAAAATATTCTTTTTAGGGATAGAAACATTAATTTTGCATCGATGACCTTTTCAAACTAAAACAAAAAAACACTGGATTAATTAAAAAAAAGCATTTTCCATTGCAAGTTTCAGATTATGAAAAGAATGTCAAATATCTTACAAATTATTCTGCTTTTAAACACAATGCAAGAACCTGTTGTTTTGACTACTGACAAATACCACTTTTTGACAAAATAGTTAATATCTTGTAAAGCATCTTGCTCTAGTAGAAACCAATTCTTTCGTAATTGTAGATTTCTTTCAAAATACGTCAAACATCTGCTTCTATGTATTAATAGAATATTGATGAATTGTCTGCATATTATGTACATCAATAATGTCTGCTAATAAATTCAAAGGTTTTAATGTTGATGGAGATTTTTCTGGAAATCACATGTTGTTCTTGAAATCCTCCGAATTAAAAGTACAATGCCTGCCACAAAAGTACAAAGTTTTGGAACACTAACGTCAATTTCCAAGGTCAAAATCACTCATCACCCCCCTCTCCCCCACCGGAACAATGTTGTTTTACTATGAAACGGATTAGGATATTAGGAAGCACTTTCTTTTGCACTTCTTTTATGATATTTCTCTAAATTATCAACATCGTTCTAGGGGGAGGGGGCGGAAGTAGTAATTTCTTTTCGGAAAAAGGAATGAAAGATATGAAATTCAATGCAAATTGCTGGGTGTTCCAAGTACTTTTAACAGGCATTGTACACTTTTTATCGTAAGACACGTGTCGAGGTAAAGGATAATTTCTTGAAAACCTTGAGACTTTTAATTGTGACTAACTCTAATTTTTAATTGCAATTAATTCAAATTTAAGTTTATCCTAACTTTTTCTCCTTTTAAAGTTTTTAACAGGGCCCTTATTGATAACAGCACATTTGTTTCTAAAAAGGCAACCCTGTTTAAAGAGCTGTATCGTTATCATTATCACATCTCGTTTACCCTAAACACGAGGTAGATATTTCGACATTTTCAAGGGCACGAAAAATTGACACGAGAGAATAACTTACGAAATCCAACATGAAATTGGTTAGAGACAGGCTCCGAAATATGAAGCCATATAACACAAATAAACCATAAGTTCTACTTTCAACATAAATGCTACATTTTTTTTAACACAAGATTTTCAACAAAAAGGAAGCAACAATAAAAACAGATAATCAAACAGAGAGTTGAAAAAAGATTCAGAGTTTTCATTAAACTCAGAGATGAAGGCTAAACTTCTACTTACTGATTAACTGATGCACAGTGTTTTTCTCGTTCAAAAGGCCTGATATTTGGCGTTTAAGGTTTAATTCCTGTTCCTCGGTAAGTATTGAGGTGCCCTTTGTCTCACAGGCTTGCTTGGCTGAGGCCGCTACTTGCTCGTAAAGATTTGGAACCAAGTCTGGCAACTTACTGAAATCAAAATATCAAAGCAGTTAGATAATGAAGCAATGTTTCAGAGAGAATGAAACGAAATGATAACAATATGCCATGATCAAGTCAACTAGAATTTGCAGTAACAGAAGACTGAGTGAGAAAACCTGAATTTGCCTAATTCATCACCTCCAGTCGGTATATAAAGAAATAATAAGCAATTCTTGAGCGTACAGATAAAAAACCACAAATATGTCATTGAAAACTTTTGTCAAAATATTTGAAAGGTTTTGTCTAGCAAGAGACATTGTGCATTGAGGGTAAATTTGATATTTGAAAGTTTGATAACATAACACAAAAGTTTATAGATTTCGAGCCGCCAGCAGGATATCTATTCCAAGAAGAGACAAGATATCGAGGGTTGCTTAGGTTTTGAAAATGTGAGTCTAGGGTTCATTATGAGGAGTTTTGAAAAACAAGAATAGGGAAGTGCAGTTTGAATAATATCAATGCTAAAACATCCTTTAAAACGAGCCCAAATTACGATTCCACTTTGAGCAGAGGCGGAATTAATCTGAGCTATTTTTGCAAACATGTGGTGGAAATTCTAGGAACAAGCATAATGCGAATCATCTATTATGCCGCTTTAAATATTCACAAGAAAAGTAAGGGTTTTTGAGTTAGCCATTCAAAAGTGAGCTATCTTAAGACAGATGATTCAATTGTGCTGAGAAAAGTCGATTTTCCAATCTAAATGCTTAAAGCGTTGATGTCAAAAGAATCACTGAAACTTATGCTAAAAATGGATGACCGGGAATACGGTTGAGCAGCGCTGTAAACGGTGTCTGTGTCTTCCAGGCAGGATTATACAGCTCTTTGTTGAATAAGTACGAAAATGGCAGGAAATAGAGACAGCGCTATTGTTTATTTTTTAATTAATAGATTATTGCTTAAAATTTGGAAGAAAACTTTAGCCAAACATTGTTCTTAGTATAGATAATATCACAATTTGAACTCTGAATTTTAGCAATAAGAACTTGCAATAAACATCTTAAACGGACTTAAAAAAGGCTGTTTACAAGTCCATGCCACATCATCACTTGATGTTACATATAAAAAAATTCCATGCTAAACGCCAGAACATTGCAGTCGACCAAATGTTTCACTGACCAGAATTTAAGAGATACTGTCAGCAAACCTAGTAAAATCAAACCAACACATTTGCGTCATTTCAATCAAGCTATTCATGATAATGCAAGGAAAAATTGAAGGGAAACGATGTAGAGGAAGACCTGCAACAAAGTTGTTTGACAAAATTAAGACGATGACAACAAGAAATGTTTATCAGCTCAACAAAGACACCAAAATTAGAGCTGAATGGAGACGTCAGGTTCATAACATCACCAGGGGTCAAACGACCTGAAGGACAACTACAACAATTCAAACTAGGTTCCTAGTCAGAGGAGTCTTTGAAATTGAAGTGGAAGCAAAGTCAGTTAGATTCACGATAAAGACAGCACCCAAAACTGAGGAATTCTATAACTAGGTAGTAAACACCTTTTTTAAAAGACTATAAGAAAATTGAGGCTCAAAATCGCTAAAATTAAAGAATAACGCCAAGCTCAAGTTTCATCAAGACTTGATTTTTTATTTATCTCAGTTTTCTCACGAAGCAAAACAACTGTCACTTTCACGATATATATGGTTTGAAATACACTCATCCATTCCGTGAGTAATTAACTCTATATTGTTACTCTGTGACTAGATACCACATTTATTATTCTGTTCTGTTACTGTTTAAGTTTATGATGAAGCAACGCATCAAAAAAGGTTTTTCTTTGAAAACCTTGCGTCGAGCAAGAATAACTTAAGAATAATATTAGGCTCAAAATGGGAATTTTTTGAGAATTTTGAGGCGGCAAGAAATTAGGCATTCCTGTAAAAAGTGTGTAGTCCAAGTAATAATGATATGTGACTTGTAGAAGCATTATGAATCAATGAATCAAATCTGTAGACAGTTGACAGATATTAAAGAAAATTGGCCAATCAATGAACGTAATACTACCAGCACGCTTATTTATTGGTCAGTAGTTGATTGACAGACAAAACAAGCCAATATGTCAATTGTCTTTAACAACATATATGTTACATTCTAAAAAATTTTATGTATTGAAAGAAACGCGAGAATTGGCCTTTCAAGTGAGTTTTCTAAAGTATTTTAGTCTATCAGATCGGAGGATAACAATAATAAAAGACACAATAAATCATACCTGTTTGGTACGCCGTCGAGCAAAATAAACAACTGGTCTTTCAATTTCTTAACAAACGCAGCGTCCGTTGCTAGGTGCTGACCAATAACATTCGATGATATCACCATCACTGAGCCAATCAGACAAAGCCTACTGAACATGTGACCCATCTCAGCCAAACGCAGCTCGTCCATTAACAGGGTCTGGGGGTGAAAAAGGAAAGTACTTGATAATCGATTTACAACAAGCATAGAAAATCATGCATAGAAAATCATGCTTGGTAATCGCTTCAGCTAGCAAAAGGTTTGATGCTGTTGTTTGTGAAGGAGAAGGAAATTTCCGGGGAAGTATAAACTGCAGAGCAGAACAGTGCAGTGTATCATAATATTAATAAAAAGCATCTTTAGAATAATGCAATTATTCTGAAGTTCTCTGGATCAAGTACTTGAAAAAGTAAATCAATTAAAACTGCACTAGTGCACCTGTAGCTGAAACCTGAAAAGGCACCTGAAAAATATATTGCTTTTGAAAACTGAAATAAAACATTTAAATTCAAACGATTCTGCAATAGGGACGTTTATCGAACATATCATTTCACTGATTAAAATATTATCGAAAACCCTAAAATTCCATTGCAATATCTCCTTAGTAGTATTCATGATTAAGCATCCGTTTAAGAATGAGCTGATGGGCACAAGGACCACAGGGCATGTTACACATTGGAATGGGGTGAAACGTTATTGGGGGCTGATTTTCTTTAAAAAACCAAGAGTAAGACGATTCATGGTATAGTTTAAAGGGCACAAGGACCACAGGGCATGTTACACATTGGAATGGGGTGAAACGTTATTGGGGGCTGATTTTCTTTAGAAAACCAAGAGTAAGACGATTCATGGTATAGTTTAAAGGGCACAAGGACCACAGGGCATGTTACACATTGGAATGGGGTGAAACGTTATTGGGGGCTGATTTTCTTTAAAAAACCAAGAGTGAGACGATTCATGGTATAGTTTAAAGGGCACAAGGACCACAGGGCATGTTACACATTGGAATGGGGTGAAACGTTTATTGGGGGCTGATTTTCTTTAAAAAACCAAGAGTAAGACGATTCATGGTATAGTTTAAAGGGCACAAGGACCACATGGGCCATGCTTATCAGATTGGAATGGGTGAAACCGTTATCTGGGGCTTGATTTCTTTAAAGAAAACCAAGAGTAAGACGAATCATGGTAATGTTAAAGGGCACAAGGAACCAGCAAGTGCATTTACACATTGGAATGGAGGTGAAACTTTATTGGGGGCTGATTTTTCTTTAAGAAGAACCAAGAGTAGGACATCATGGTAATATGTTTAAAGGGCAAAATCAAGGACCACAGGCATGTTACACATTGGAATGGGGTGAAACGTTATTGGGGGCTGATTTTCTTTAAAAAACCAAGAGTAAGACGATTCATGGTATAGTTTAAAGGGCACAAGGACCACAGGGCATGTTACACATTGGAATGGGGTGAAACGTTATTGGGGGCTGATTTTCTTTAAAAAACCAAGAGTGAGACGATTCATGGTATAGTTTAAAGGGCACAAGGACCACAGGGCATGTTACACATTGGAATGGGGTGAAACGTTATTGGGGGCTGATTTTCTTTAAAAAACCAAGAGTAAGACGATTCATGGTATAGTTTTAAGCATAGTATAGAAATTATTAGGGGGCTTAGTCCATTCTGCCCCCCTGCTTTAGCTGCCCCTGGATGAAATCCGATGATTGAAAATCACATTGAGCACAAAGAAATCGAGGGAACGTGAGTGAGCTGATATAACAATGAACGAAGAAAACCACGTCAACTACTAGAATATAATCCAATCAAGAGGATTAAATGAATTGAGTGAAAACTTGAATGAAAGTTAGGAAAAAGATGAACAGAACTGAAATTGATTTCAAGCAACTTCAAATAACGGACTGTTTGAAAGTCAAAAGCAAATAAAACCTGCTTAGATGAATTTGAATAAACGAGCTAATGATTAATAAATTACGTGTCCTAAGGAACTAATTTGTACGTTGGCAAGGGTTTTTCGACAGAGCTAAAAGATTGTTTACTCGTTAATCAATTATCGAATGAATGAGAAGATGAATAAGACTATAACATCCTAATGAGGAAGCTTAATAGTAATTTGGATAAATTGGTTTAGACAAACATCTTTTAGGAAAAGCCATGACTAATTGTCATTTTTATTTATAAAACTGAGGATTTCCATTCTAAAATAATAATCTTGCTATGTAGATAAAACGATTGACCCAATAAACTTAAAAATCTAAAGGATGACCTACGATATCATCAAAGTTAACAGAAAAACGGTTCTCAAAGACAAAGTATGCTTTGTCTACCGTTTGGCAAGATTTAAAAGGGAGCAATTGACTTGGCAATTATTACAGTGCTAGCCAAATCTCGGGGAGGGAGGGGGGGGGTACCTGTATAGGTTTTGAGGAACGGGAACGTGCCATTATTCAGGAGTACATTTTTCTAAAAAGTGCGAAATTTTGAACCATTATAGCAAGTCACCGTCTAAAACTAGGCCTAGCGATTGGGATGGAAAAAGGAAGAGGAAGATCGAGAAAAGTTGTGTATTGGCATAGAGCTATCCTCAAAGAAAAAAAAAGCTTCCACCAAGAATGAGAAAAAAGAGGAATTAATGCAGACGATATAATCCAAAAGTACCTCGGGGTATAAAATTTCATCTTTCCACTCAAGCAGTTTTAAATACGCGTGTGTAAGAACCAAATAATTGGAAACTTTAGGCCTAGGCCTAACTGGCTGGTCTTGTTTGGTTTCGCTTTGGACTGATGTTGATTTCGTTATCAATCCTCTGACTTCATCCACAGCTTGCTGTAGCCAACATTTTGTTGCTGCTGTTCCATCTAAGAATTAAAAGGTACCAACAATTGACAACATTTTATCTAATATTGGATGATTAAGACAGCTATGAAGTATTTAATAGTCTATGGGCATTAGCATTCCTTGGTTGAGGGTAGTGAAACGTCAGGTTTGCAGACGAAAACAGAGAACTGCTGGAAAAAGAAAAAATAAGACAGAAAAAAGGAGTAAAACAGCATATCTCTTCCAAAATTGGAAATAAAACTCTCCCCAAAAGAGAACAGCTTTCTCCCTATGCAGATCAAAAACAACAACTAAAACATGCGATTTCACTATCGGGCAGCAATTACTGGAAAACTCGGACTGGGCCAAAAGCTATCATGTTTCATGTTTCAGATTGTTCGTAAAGCACGATCGTTGTTCCACCTAGCAGTTTTATAATATATCTACATAAAAAGGCAAAAATACGCTATTTTATAAGCTAAAGGAGTTCCTTTTCGCCCTTGGACTCTATTTAAGATACTTTCAATTGACAAGCGGCACTGACTGGGCAACATTTAAAGTCATGTTCTCGTGTTTCTAGCTGAGGCCTATTTTGATCCACAATAGTTAGCTTAGATTTCAATTTAATAATTAAACAATACACAGGAACTATAATATAATGCAATATAGAATAATAATAACCCCAAACCTGGGTTCGAGATAAGAAACTGTTGAAATTTCCCTCGCTCGTAGTCAACAGCTTGCTGAATAAGGTAGGGTCTCAATTTCTGGAGCTGGAAATTTGCCATGTCGAGTTTCATCATGTCAAGGAATTTCAAGATACCACTTTAAAAAAAAATACATACATTTAGATCACCGTGACGTCGCTGTAAACAAAAATGTTTCCATGAAAGCAATAGAAGAATTTTCAATTGAGTACAGCATCAGAAGTTTAGAAGTCATGAAAATTATGTTTACCAATAAGGGGTAATATGCCATGAAACGAAAAAGAAGTATATTGCAAAATATGTTCAAAAGACCGTTAAAATGGGGTAAGGGCACATTGAAAGGGATGTATCTCATAAACCCCTATACATTGCGACCTCAGTATAACTGTGTCTAGGCAATCTTGTAGAATCACGAAAAATTCAAAGATATTGTTTCTCCTTATCATTGTCAGGAATATACTTGTGCTTTCTTAAAGTTTGCATATTCTTATCAAGGTAGAATTCATCAACTCTTTGAAAGCCAATTTACAAGTCACAAATGCATCTAAATCTCGTAAAAAATATATGCATGTCATGAGCAAATATTAATTGTATATCTACTTGTCGTCGATGTTAACAGTACAGCAATGTATTTAGAAAACTCTTCTCATAGGTACTTTTTTGAATGCTCAGAGCATTCACAAATTCTTTCATCTTGAAGGAGTGGCTTTAATCAAAAGAGGCGTTTCAAAGAACAAAGAACGTGAGAAGTTTCTTGAAAACAGTTAAGAAATTCACTTTTTGGGATTTATTGTGTTTTTTCCAACAGAAAGATGTCTTTTTTGGAAACGTAAGAAAATGGGTGAAAAGGTTTATCAGGTCTACGCTTCTCCCCCCTCATATAGAAATGTGTTCTGTATTTTCCAAAAAAGTCTTTAGTTAGATCAGTGTATAGTCCTAAGCAAGGGAGTTGAATAGGCCAAAGAGGTCAAATACAGGATATAAAATAACAATTAAATATATACGTTGCGTGTGGTACTTCATCCAGAATAACGATAATATAGTTAGTACTGGAATGAAAATATAATAGTTTGATTCGCCTTCTCTTTGCTCGGCTTGTTTCTTTTCTAGCCACTTGATAACGAGTACATTCTCGAAACGTCGTGTTTTTAACAATCAAACTATTATAGTTTCATTCTGGTAGTAAACTTATTTGCTAACTATATTATCGTTATAAAATAACAAGGTTAGATTCGACCCTGTAGTTGCAGGCGGCACAAAACGCCCCCCCCCCCTTTCTCACTAACATAAAACACGTAGAAGCAGAAACATAAACAAACCTTAGCGTCGAAACAATGCCTTTCGTCTCTTTTAATTTATTCAATTCATCGTCCCTTTGAGGCGCACACAATTTCCCCATTACAATAATGATGAATTTCGCACACTCTTCCAAATCAAAGCATCCGTGATTAACTTCCTGGTTGATCAACTCTAGGTCCAAAACTTCTTCAACCTTTTCCTTTAGGCCTGATGCATGTTGAGGCATGAGGGATAACAAGATCTACAAAAATGAAGGAATAAAACATAAATGCCTGTTCCTGGAAGAGAAATGAGTATCCAACATTTTTAAACTAAATCTAAGGAGGTTTGAAGCTAAAACAATCATAATATAAATTCGATAATATTTCTAAATCCAAGGCTGTTTTAAGATAACGTTAACTGCCAATGTCATTCTCACAAATAACACAATTTTTGAGTAAATTCCCTCGGCATTGATGATTGAAACCTCAGAGCTACAAGATGAAGGGAGATATCTTAGGTCCATTTTTTACAGAAGGAAGCTAAATGATAGTGTCACCCTTGCATATATTAGTGTTTGCCGCCACCTTCTTTTGCTGTATAAGCAAGTTCTTGAGCCAGCAACCCGATCCCGGTATGGGAATGTGAACAGATGGTTTCTAACCTGCACCCATCAGCGATGCATCCATCATTACTCAAAAGAAGGCGCACAAGATTCGTGATGCAGGTTAGTTACTTGTTCTACTTCCCGGTCTTTGTAGTGATTTCGAGCAAGCTTTGTGCATTTATTAAAAATATTATTAAAGTCGCTCGAAAGAGAGAGAGGGGATGTTTGCTGGCATACACAATACGTGAACGTTATCAGTATTAAATCAATCACTAGAACCAACCAAACATTTAAGAAACAAAATAGCTTGGTGAGCTGGCAGAAAATAGAAACTAGTACGAAGAAAACAGGACATATTCAATAACAAGGTGTCTATAAGCAAAAGGTACTTAAATTCATAATGATCTTTTGACAGATCGGAAAGAATTGATCAGAAACCTTTCAGTTGATCTCCGTACACAAGAAAAACCTTGGCGATTCTCAACGAGGCATTCTCGGTCCTTTGATATTTATACAATTGCTAGAGTGCCTTAAATCGTTAATTTTTGCCTTTAGAAGCAAACAATAGGCTAACAAGCTTTATTTGTTTCAATTCTAAATCTGTTATTTCCCTCTTAAAATGTGCAACGCCTGAAATATTTATATTAATTATTGAATAACAGTGATGACAAAAATATTATAAAATTCTTGAGCCTGGCATAGCTGTGTGCAACTCAACGTCAGCAGTATATTGGATCTCTTAAACAGAAAATACGAAACTAGACCATATCAATTCTTACATGAAGTATCAAGAATCTTTATTAGATGAAAACTTATTATGTCAAATTTACCTCTTTTATCTCTTCCAACAACAATAACGCGCGTTCATATTTCGGAGGATCTTGGGAGATCTGCTCTTCTAAAATATCCCAGAATGCCTTGTGAACAAGGTCCTTCACTGCTTTCTCCAACCTAAAAACATGTTTTATATCATAAGAAACAGCGACCTAATAATTTTGCTATTTTTTGTATATCTGAAAAAAACTATTGAATAGATGATTGATTCACATTACCATAGACGAAGGATAACGTGCTGTAAGAGAGAGAAAAGCCACATTTAGTCGAGTGTTATCAAAATGAGAGCTGCGTTCAAACATTACACAATTCAGACATGTTTGAAGTTAGAATCAAAAACTTCAGTGGAAAATAGTCAAGGCCGGACAAAAAATAAATAACTCAACATATCACCTTTGTTCAGCGCTGTGGGCTATAGTAATTTCTTCGATTTTAGCATATATCTTCATTAAGTCAATTTATCCAAAACATGATTTTAGGCCATTTTGTTTAGGCAATGATTTCAGGCCACTTAATGTTGGCCAAACTGTAGGCCTTATTGCAAGCAAGTAAAATCTGAAATCTCATCGTGGAAAGACAGAAAAGTCCTCGTACTTTCTTTTGCGCTAGTAAGATTATAAACCAATCAAAGTATAGTTTGCTATTACAGAGAAACTAAAGTTATACCTGAATTTGCGTCGAAGTACGATGTTTTTCATTTCAACGGCGAAAAGGAACTGCTTCAAAGTTAATCAAATACTATGCAAAAATATGCTGGCAGGTTTTGATTTTGAAACGAGTTAACCTTAATTAAGAATCATATCAGATAAATAGAGGTCCGATGAAATGAGCTATTCAGCTTTGGTAGACATATTATGATACAAAAGCATTAATAAGTAACTAGCCGATTGAAGTGCATTGATGACTAACCGGCACATTGAAATGAATGCTTTATTTTGAGGGAAACTTAATAAGGATGTTTAAGAATTTGCCGCTGCAATGTTAATAAATACTAAATAGCGCATTCCTTTACATGTTAAAGGTGCTTAATAGCAATGACGGCGAAGGGACTGGGGGAAATGTTTCTCCAGTTCCCGGCAGGATCAATTTTTTATTTCGTAAAAATTTGACGTCAAAATTCGATGTGAAAATGCTTGGGGAAGGGTAATTGTTGGGCAAAGTATTCTGCGTGATGTGATCCTATGAATTCGAAACTGTCTGTAAGTAACCAGAAAACGTGACCAAAATTTGTAAATCGGCCTTCCCTTTTGGTAAGGGGCATTTTCTAACAATAAACAGGGCGTGGTCTTAGACTTATTTTAATTTCCTTTCGCCTCTACTGTCTATCGGCTGGAGCCATCACTGCCTGTAAGCCAATGAAACACAGACGTATGGAAGCTTTTATGGAGTGTTGTATAAAGCAGATACACATTGGACCAGTCAATGTCCATTTTCGCTTCCAGCAATAAACTCCTAAAGCCATTTTTTGACGATACAGATTGCTTTGCAAAAAGCATAATCTGGAAATACCTAAGCTTTCGCGTGACACACACGCATATATATATACATCAGTGGCGTCACGGCCTTATATTACGCCGTCTGCAATATTTCGGTTGCGCCCAGGTTTATAAAAGTAAAGTATTTATTTACAACGCTCCTGCGCGTTTACAACGCCCGTGATATACATTTATAAACGCAAGCATTAAGGTTGTGCAATCAGTGTAGCTTGCCTATTGGAAATATTATGAAACTCTCCTGTCTACAAAATCATGTTTTTCAATATTAAACGAAATTTAACGACAAAAATGCTAAAAACAGTGTTTGAACAGACACTTAAAGCAAACGTTTGTGGGCTCTTGCCTCCGACACCCTAGCAATTTCCGTCCCAAAGTAGAGTTAAGTTTTGGCAGAGTTAATGTGCAGTGAAAGGTTTACGCAGAGTTTCTAAATTATAAAAAAAATTTTTTTTGTCATTTTTCTAATCCTACCAAGTTTCACATTTGAGTTGTGAGGAACTCAGAAACTGAATGGTAGAAAATAAAACAACTGCGAAGAATGTGTTTAACTACAGTATTTTCAGCAGGCAAAATATGGACATTGAAAAAGCTGTAGTGTAGGTACTAATTCATTGATTTTATACTTAGGCGCCAAACTGACATGCAGATGCTTGGCTACTGAAATGTGTTACAATCCTTTTGATTTCCTTTATGAATAATTCACAATTTATCTTCACCCGCCTTCTAATGCCCATGGGATTGCCATATGACACACAGTCATGGTTAGGTATACTGATCAAAATTTACTGCTAGTTCACGCAATTTTTGGCTAATTTTCTTGTCAGTTTTCCAAAAAATTCAAAGTTCTAATGACCTATCCTTTAAAATATATCCCTAAAAAATTCTTCTCCTTGCTGTGTGCAGGTCGAATTTTCCAGTCGAATTTTCCATTGATGTTTTAAAGGAATGGTAGTTCAAATGAAGGACATGAAAATGCAGATTAAAAGAAACTTTTTAGTACTCTTAGAAAAAAACAAACAGTTTTCTATATTGAATGATGCACGGAACAATTTCATGCATTTTGGCAATACCATCAAGAAGTAAAGAACTTTCAAAATTCAAGGAGATACCTTGTCAGAGAAATGGCAAGTTGACAATCTAATGGGAGTTGCTAAGAATTTAAATATGACAAAACAATTTTTTTTAAAAAAGATTTTGTTAAAAATAAATTGAACTTGATAAGACATTTAGTAGCCCTATCGCTGTTATTGATTTTATCAAATAAAGACATCTTCAGTAAAGACGCTTTACTTCAAATGGAGCAGTTTTGTTTACTACATCTTCTTTTAAGGTTTGTGAATTTTAGGATTTTGCTTTCGCTTCCTTGGCAAAGGTTGCAAGAATTTCGACATTACACTGGGTCTTTCTCACATCAAAGATAAGAAAAATAGCCATGAAAGATTCTATTCCCAATTACTTTTGTTGAAGTGTCTTATTAAGTATAATATCTTATAAGGATACTTCGTTTTTTAGCTTATCATGCTTGTATGATTTGATTATTTTAATATGAAAATGATTTCACTCCAAAAATTGCAGAAATAGACGCAAATTGTCAAAAAGCTTTGTTTCTGATGAATTATTTGGAGGTGTGCCAGGATTTTTGCTCAAAAAGGTCAGACATCAATGGCTACCAGATTCAAAAGCTTGAGGACTTTAACTTAAAAGAGTGGGCATTCTTCAGCCAAGTCATAATATAATACTCTAAGAAAAAAGTGATACAAAATTGCGAGTGATCTCTTCCACCAAGAGGTAGAGACAAACAGACAACTTGATTTTGAGAGTCAAATGGCGCCTTAAGAGTAAGAATCTCCTGTCATTTTAGTAATGAAGACTTTCTACTACTACCTTTTATATTCTATTGGACCGTTCAATTTCAATACCAAGAAAGATGTTTAAATAAGGCATGACTGTAATACAATAAAGGTAAATGAAAATCGATTCAGAAATGTGCCTACAGAAATTCCTGAGAATGAGCTTTTATGCCTACGAGCCCCGCTTTTGAGCTCACGCAGATTAATGAGGTCTGGTGGTGGCAGGCAAAGCTAATGATGATGATTCTTACTGTTTTATTACAAATAGATACATGTTACAAGCCAATGAGCACAATGTGCTTTTAAATACATTGGATTGCCCATAAGCAACATATCTATCTCAATTTGTTACCCAGTTTTGGACACAATAATATCTGTATACAATATCAATTAGGGGGAAATTAGCCTCAGGTATGAAAGTAGTAAGACTTCCATATCCATAGGAGATATAGGGGCTGGGGGCAGCAGCCCCCTAGCCAGGAAGAAGTTATGGCATCCAGGCTCCATTTGAGCAGTTTTATTCCAATTAGGGGTGATAATATTCAGGCAAGATACATACTTAGCCCCCCCCCCCCTAAACGTGTACCATGTGCTACGCACATGAAGGCTACAAAATGCTCTTGAAGGAAATTTATTGCTGGATAAGAAACCAGGTGCTATTTAATTTGGCATACTGACATCTCTTAGTTTGAAAAATAGATTCACTTCTGTTTCAAAGAAATGTTATTACCAAAATTTCATGAAATATTAAGAAGAAATCTTACAATATGTTACTTGCATTATGTTATGTTAATCAGGAACTCTGGAGAAACATGACACAAACATGTGACATGTAAAGCACCAGTAAAAGGTCTTCAAGAAATCCAATGAAATACATTCACAGTGCATTAAAGATTACAGGTGGTTTGCTGGAAGAAAATATTGCACAAAGCACATTTGCCAATGATAGTCTCTAAGTGAAGAAAGAAGTAATAACAAAGCATAGTAATTTCAGGCAAAAAGAAAGAAGCCATAGCCCATAGAAGTACTAAGCAAAGCCTTGAAAGACTTTCTTATAGTTATATCAAAAGCTCACAATTTTAACTTCTTTCAGCTTATAACTAATTCTCCAATTTGACAAGTCATAGAAGTAGTTTTCAAAACAATATCATTATTTTTTGTACATGAAACTAAATGTATTGGGCTAAAAACTACCTGGTTTCTCATATCTGCCGCTTTAATTAGTTTCTTTTAATCTTTATAAATATGCAACAGGTTTGTAGACCTGTCTTTTATGACCCCCTTTCATCTTTGGACAATATTTTCAAATGTCACTCTTTATTTTCTGTAGTGAAGTTTGCCAAGTTGGTAGGTTGCACGGTTTTGACAAAAAGGCAAAACTATTCAGTTTTGCAATTATAAATAAATTACTATTATTAGAAAACAACAATTTTGATAGGATTTAATAGTAGGAGAAACATTAAATGATTACGTCACCTCTTCAACAGTCATTTCTTAACGGGTTTCGATAGACTCGTCGCTCTCCTGTCAAATGGAGCTGTGCTCCAAAATAATAGGGAATATTCCCCTTAGGTACAAAAATGTTTTAAACAAACTTACGTGTTATCTTGAAATCCTTTCAACTTAAAATCATCGTTAATAATCATCTCATGAGCCAAGACCATGTTCCCAATTATAGACGACAGATCTTCAGTCACTGCAGGCCCATTTGTTTTTGTGTCATTTCCATCTGCCATTTTATATGATGGTGGTTCAAAAACTACTCCAATACTAATCGCAATACTATTCCAAGCGAATTTTCAAGTTTCAATTTACTCAGTCCAGGATATAAATTGATATGCACAACGAACTGACTCTTTCCCTTATAAAAAATTCCAGAGCAACCTAGAACATTCTTTTTTACCTTTGTTTATGACAAACCGGTATTCATGGTCAGCGGAAGGATCACGTGTAAAGTGTATGTCATTACGTCATCTACCTCGTTTCGTAAAATAAGAGAGTATTGTTTTTTGGCATTATAACCAAGAAATAATAATATTTCGATTTTTTTTCAGTGGTAAATTAAAATTTTGTTTGGCGAATAAAACAAAAATACACTACTGTACCACCTTGGGTAGAGAATACCACCTTGGTTAACAGAAGCAAGGAAATAAAGACGGGGGAAGATTATACTTTCCCTACCATCCTTATCTCCTCTTCATTTCTATATAGGGGCTGGGGGCAGCTGACTCTTGCCCCCTTCTTGTCATCCCCGCCTTGCATCCTCTCGCAATCTCATTCTCAAATCCCAATCTCATGGGATTTGGTAACCAAGGTAAATTAATGCTTGAAGTTGTTGGGCTGCATAATTTTTTAATTTCCGACTACTTTCAAATTCGGCAAGTATATCCTTACCCTGGGTACCAGACTCACCATATAAAATAGGTGATAAGGTATTAAGATTCTAAAGAAAATAACCAGTTTGCAAAAACTTTATTTCAACAAATGTTATCGCGACGAATGGAAAGTATGGCTACCGACTTCCACGATCATTGAAGAACTCGGTAATTATGAAACACACTCTTTACCTATCCGAGCTATGCAACAATAAATCTGGGGCGGATACTTGGTCAAATATTGGGGCAAGCCTATTGTTTTGATAAGATAACGTCACATCTACCGATTGTTTTAGAACAAGAGACCATTGTCCTTCAAAGTATTGGGGATGCCCCCAAGGTGTCCGCCACTGCAATAAATTATCTTTAGCCATTGGAATTTGGAATAAGTTGATTTATTATCTAAGCTCAAACTAAAATTAACTCATTCTTGGTTAACAAGAATTAAGACTGCGGATGCTCAGAGAAACTAATCACACGAGCTTTTAGTTTTAGATCAATATTCTGACGTTTTATACTCTGAAGAGTGTCAGACGAAGAGTGTCAGCATATGTTTCGACATTTTTGCTACCTTAAAAACCGTATTTTCAAAACCCATCATCATTTTTTGCACCGAAATAAACTTAATAATAGGGTTACAGAGAAAAACAGTAGATTAAAGAAAACAAAATCCACTTGTATTTCTATGACCAATGTTATCGGCATAAACAAACCATTGTTAAAGAAAGCTTTAAAAACAAATATGGAAAAACATTACCAATTTAGGCCTTCTTAATTATGCTAATGTCTCATAATCGTAATAGTGTGTCGATACTGTTCTCACTAAGAGGTTTTTGATTGCGGTTCTAATAAATGAGAATGGTGTAGTTGAAGTTTGTTGTTGCTTTTATCCGGAAGACATGGCTCCGACAAAAGTTGAAAAGTGGGGGGGGGGGGGCCAAAGGAAAATTTAGCATCCATAACAAAAGATTTAGAAAAAAACTCTATTGTTTTGCAAAAAAGTTGGGGGCCCCCCCGGCCCCCCCCTACCTTCGTCGGAGGCCCTGGAAGAGACCGAGGTTTAAAGGCAATCTGTCACGACGTTGATTGATTATAAGAACAAAGCGATCTTTTATTGTTTCCAGTCTCCCTTCAATTTATCGCATTGTAAAAAAGATGGCGGTTCTCTTTAACCAATCCACAACGAGACAGATTGCCTTTAATTTGCAAAAACGTAATGTTAGATGGTAGAACAGCATTTTTATTTCTAAAACAAAAACATAATAACTTCTTAGCTGGTTCTTGATTGCAAGGAGCTGAGTTGATACCGATGTTGTTTTTTTGCATTAATTTTTCAAGATATGGAAGATGTTTTGATTTGTATCGCTTCTCAAGAAAACGGTCTAGATAAAGATGGGAACCGAGCCATTTAGGGCGATCACAATTTTTGTTCCTAATTTTCCCCGAATTGCAAGTAATGCCCCAAGTAATGAAGTTAACTTTATTTCCTAAAGGAATGTGGGCGACTGGGAGGGATTGAACAGTTTGATATTTCTAAAGCAGATAACATCTACAGGTAGCCTGTGCGCCAGTCCACAAATGCTACCACATTTATGGACTGTGCAATATTGATAAATATCCTGTCCGCAGTCTCCAGCAGAATTTGGTGGTAATTTATGCAACCCTCCAAATTATGCAATTAGCTGAAACCTTTAAACTCATCATACATCATTTTATCTACGCCCTGTTTGGTTTCAGTGCGTACTTCTGCGGGGAATAATCACGCAAGATTTCAAATGTTTCATTACATAAATTATTTTCATAAACTGGACCCAGCCCTCTGCCTGGACAGGATATAAATGTGGCAGCGTTTATAGACTGGGGAGCAGGCTACAGGTAAAACGTTTTGTAAAATACCACTAATGCTTTATCAGACTTTAAACCAGGAAAAAAACAAGTACCAGAGATTATAAAAAAACCTACGGGTATAGTGTTATAATATGCGTTGTATACAGCCTACACCCTCTTAGCTGATTGGAAAAGGTAACTCCTAAAACCACACCGTCAAATTCTCTTACATGATAAGCGCCAACAAAAGTAATCTCTTGGACTTTCATCCAGCCTTTTTCCTTGACTCTAACAAATATTGCTAATCCTATAACAACCCTAAATTCAAAGTGAAAAATTATTCGCAGATATAGTCTATTCATTACAAACGCCGCCCCTAAGAATGAAGTATTTCTGCCAATAGGTACCTATTACATTCAATAACGAGACTTATGCTCACCACCAAAGATGTTTTCTTAGATGGACCTAAACTACTACTGGTCTCAAAAATGTCCTTGGTATTCCCTTTTTTGGAATTTCTATGATAGGAACGTGCGATAATACAGTAAAATAAACATCACTGAGATCTTTTAAGTTCATAAGGCTTTTATGAAAATGCACTATTAAGGAGTCTTATGTTTTCGTGAACAAGATAAAACTATTCTTAGTATACGTCACGTTAGTGTACAGATTAGAAACTGTACATCTTTTAGTAGGTAACTAAAATGGCTTGGTTACACTGAGTTTCTATTGCAGCAAGTTCATAGCGATCCATAACATTCCCATGAGCTAAGTTCTACTAGGTAACTGAATATAAGTGCATTTGGGATTAAAACAATTTACACAACCAGGATAATAACAGAAAACATTTATCTACTACCTTTAGGCAAAATTACTGCATGAACAGCTAGGATAATATTTAACAGTCTTATTACCAATTGTATTATATCAGCTAAAAACAGTCAACAAACTGTTTCAAATTAAAATCCTAATAATTTTTCATGAAATAAGAGTTAACCCGAGGCTATTCACAAGCCAGTTTACCATCAAAGCTGCTCAGGGCAATTGAGAATGCTTGCAGGGCGCAAAGTGGGTAGTTGAAATCCATTGTGAAAATGTCATCAGCCACACGACCAAACTGCATTACAATGTAGTCAGCTAAAACAGGCGAAATAAAATCGTTCAATGGTCAACATCATTAATAGAAGAAATGACAATTATTACTAAGAAAGAAGTAAAACATTTTATGATATTGTATTATGACCCTAGATTTTGTTACAAAATATTATAATACAAAATATATAGTATAAGAATTATATTAGAAAACATCATATCCTATATCATATACCATATATCATATATCATAAATCATATAACATATTACATGAGATGATATGATATATGATATATGATATATGATATGATATCATATATATCATGGTTCCTTAATAGTATGGTTCCTTAAAAATTATGTGACGTTATATTATGTTCATATATTTTATTCATTCAAGGAAGCTTTCACAAAAATTAAAATTCTGAAGGTCTGACATGTGATACTCGTGCAAAATATAAACAGCTTTTTTGTTCCACAGGCTTCGTGAAACTGAACGTGAATATCAATGATAAAACGATGAGCAAGATGCCAAAAATTTGACATATTAAAACGTAGAGTTTTGAAACTCTGTAAAATTACGATGATCAAAAAGCAACCAAGGATTTAATAGTAGTATATAAGGAACACCGCAACGCGACGAGAATAAACAACAACAAGTAAACGAACTGAGGATTTGGCTATGTTACAAGCTGACAACAATATCAATCATAAGGACTTACGGTCATTTTCGTGAATAACTTGGAAGTTTTTTACAGAGGCTTGGGTAACGCGTCCATGGAAGTTCAATACATAAGACTGGGTGTCTACAAGAAAATCATCAGGAGAATGAAAAACAGTACTATAACGACCTAATGATTAATCTGCCAACGTTACAGAAAATAACTATAAATTTGTCACTATTGGCAATTCATCAAGGAAATTTTGGTTGCGCGTAACCTCTAAACTGGAATAATTTTTCAATGAAATTTCGGATTCAGGATACACTTATTGTGTTTTTTTGGAAGAGAAAGCATACTTATTCTGAGATCCTGGGTGCCATACACTTAATAGTGTCGCATGGAATAACCCAGAAGTGAAATCCAGTTAGACCTTATATCAGCTCACAAAAACTGTAGCATTCAAAACCAATCAGTTATTTCGAAAACCTCATGACTCGAATGCACCCCTTTTCCAACAATGCTTAATATTCTTGAGCAAATTTTCTTTGGCGGTTGGACTGAATGGACGTTGAATGTATAAAAATACAAGAGGGCAATAATCGGCATAGACAATAATTAGACCTTAACAGCATCAGAATAAAGAGGTTTAGGAATAGCAAAAGTCTAATATATAAGACCTCTCGTTTCTATAATGGTTACTATCTGATGCAACTGGCGGGGAAGATTAAGGCAACTCAAGAATTTCAGAGATCTAAAATATCTCTATGTTGTATTAGAAATAAATTTTATAGAAAATATAATTTTCAAGGACCAATTTTTAGGAAAACTCTGGAATCCTTCTCACAGAAGAAGGATTGGAAGAGATTAGAGGAAAGCTGCTCGAAACAATACGTATACATGTTTTAACTTTTATACCGTAAATAGCTAAAGAAAACAATGCATTAAAGTATGAACTTCAAACATATAAAAAAGTGTGTGAATAAAGAAAAGGTCACGGTAGCAGGCTGTTCAACGGACTCTGATGGAATTCTTGCAACGAAAAATCGATAAAATGTAATAAATAAGTAACACCGCAACGCGACGAGAATGAACAACAACAAACATACATAAATCAGTTATGGCTAATATTTCGCCCCGGCATACGGGGCTTCATCAGAGCAAAAGTAAACGAACTAGAAATGTATAAATAGTGCTTACTTGAAATATTAAACCGTTATGTCAGTAGGGATAAAAATACAGTATTAACTGATATGGTAACATACCGTCGTTCCAAACAGGGGTTTTGTTGTGCAATTCGATAAGGTTTTCCATATTGCCTGTTCTGTACCGTTCCAGCAGAGACTCGTGTTCCTATGAAATGATTTTCAAATTAAACTACCCTTGCTGAGCTAGCACGATGCATATTATGATTGTAATGAGTAACAGGCAAGGCCCCTAAAAGCTCTCTCTAGCTCAATTTTATGGTTCGTTCACAAAAGGTGGATACAATTTGATTTGGCTGGATCGCCCAGATGGGGCCAGAATAGGGCCAGAGATAGGGAAAGAGCTTTAGCGTATGTGGCATTGGAAGGCGAAACAAAGTCAATACATTGAGACGAACCCTTATTTTTTGTTCACTAGCTAACGTTTTCACAGGCACCGCGGAGCAGGGGGGCTGAGGGGGCTTTAGCCCCCCCCCACTTTTTGCAAAAAATGCCAAATATTAAGTAATGAACTACCAGTAAAGCCTCTTTTTATATGGTTTTAGCCCCCTCCCACCCACTTTTTTTAGACCCCTCACTTTTTTTAGACCCCCCACTTTTCTCAACGCTCCGCGGTGCCTGTTTCAACTTAAGAACGAGAGTAAGGTTTTACTTGCTGGTAACGAGGAATACTATTGGCGACTGTGGAATGAATAAAGAACAAAGGCATAGTTATAAGAAATAAATCAGTTACTTAAAGGATTGTCGGGAAAACCTGACGAAAAGGGTGAGGAAACAGAAAACGTTCAGATTATCTATGTCGGGGGGGGGGGGCATAATTTGTTTGGGCATCTTATATTTTAATTTATCCATAGGGTGTTGATGTATAACATTAAAAGATATAGATAAGATTTATAACAACTGTTCAAATCTTATATTTTAATTTATCCATAGGGTGTTGATGTATAACATTAAAAGATATAGATAAGATTTATAACAACTGTTCAAATCTTATATTTTAATTTATCCATAGGGTGTTGATGTATAACATTAAAAGATATAGATAAGATTTATAACAACTGTTCAATTATTAGAACTCCATGAATGCAAAAAACGGTTCTTATAGAAGAAGATGGTTCCGATCAGTGGCGGACACTTGGGGGTGGCGAGGGGTGGCGACTGCCCCCCCAATACTTTAGAGAACAATGATCTTTTGTTCTAAAACAATGAGAAATGTGACGTCATCGTATTAAAACAATAGGCTTGCCCCCCCCCCAATATTTGACCAAGTGTCCGCCCCTGGTTCCGATGTGGCTTTCGAAGTTTCAAAATGTAACGCAAATGAATTTTAACAACTTTGCTTCTTTGCTTTCATCTATAAAAATAATCGTTGATTTTTCCAGAATACCATGATGACTATTGAATAAATTAGAAAACTAAACTAAACTATCACAAAAAATTTGAATACGTACATTTCTAGGTCTTACTGGCACTCGTTGATGGTCAAGCCCCATGCCTGGAATAATCACGGACATTTTCCGTGGCCCTTTGAAACCCAGGACGTTTGTTTCCTAAATGAAGGAAAATTAATCATCTAAGTAAAACGCTGAGTACCTCAAATATTTCATTTATCAATATTTAGAATACTTTGTTTTAATATTTGTTAAATGTTATGTATTAATTATTCATTAAACCGAGTTTCATTTGTGAATGAATTGAAGTTAATTTGAAAAAAATGAAACAGAAAAATTTGGATATAACATAAAGGCGGAAACAATTAAGAATACACCGATTGAAAAAACTTACGTAAAGAATGGCACACAATTCTTCCCTTATGTTCGATCCATCCATCATTATCCCGCCTTTCTTTGGGTTTTTGCCGTTATCAAAGCATGTGAATTTTGTTCCAACATAGTTTGATCTATTGTCAAGAATAGAATTCGTTTATACACCTGGAGGTCGCCGAGAACAAAATACCTTAAAGTGGTTTTGAACACCTCATGTAATGTGCACAAACCAATTAAAGTCTCTTTTTAATGTATTGTCTCTCAAGATTAAATTCTGGAGTACAGATCTTTCAGTACAAACAATTGATGTTACTAGTAACAAGCTTCCAAACATGGGACAACAGTTGGGAAATCTGGTATGATTGCTCACATGTGACAAAATTTTACGATAATGAAATGGGGAAAATAAATGCCTTAATATGGTATTTTAAAGTCACAAAATAATTCTGTCAAAAAGTCCAAGACGTTTACCTTAGCTTTCCCGTGAAGCTGTCACCACCCCGCGACATGTCTGTAGGATCAGTTGATATCAAATAATTTGAAGTCTTGCTCTTCTTTCTTTTTCTTCCAGCCAGCAGAAATATCTAGTTAATAAAATATAACGAAAGCTAATACGCATCAATATCCTTTAACTTGAGTATCTGTTTAACATATTTCAGCAATTGGCAGCCAAGCCGCTTGAAATTTGACAAATTGATGTTTATTATTCAGCAAAAATAATGTAGTTTTCAGACAAGCTATACGTGAATATTTAATAATATAAAATCTGAAAATAATATTTCAGTGGTACAGAATTTTAAAAATGGCTTTGAAAATAACAAATATATTACTATATAGCTTAAGTAAAAGCTTAAATATGAAATAAAAATGTTAGCTTTCTTCAAAGCCCTAAAATTATCAGTTCAAGATGATGAAACTTCACTTTCATAGCAAATGGTGATCAATAACATATTTCATAAGGACAGGCACTTAAATTGAACTCAACTGATAAGGATATTCACAAAACGAGACACATAACAATTCGACCAAAGCAGGGTACACAAATTCTTACCTTCTTTCCATCGTCCTTCTCTAAATGTAAGAAATAGGTCGGAAACAAATTTCTATCTACACCTTTCTTGTCCCTTGTTATCCGGCACTTAATTGTGGTTCCTTGAGGTGCGGGCCTGCATAAGGAATGATACAAGTTCAAAAAGCTAATGTACTTTGAGTCTCAAAGAAATAAAAGTCGTATAATATTGGCAAGAAATTGTGGGCTAAATTATGATGGTGTTGAAAAAGCATAGGGACATCTGACAATATGACTGCAACAGTCTAAGCAAAAAACTGCAACAGTTTTTAGACAATTCCTTAAAAAGATACATCCACATTGGATAAAAATACAAAGAAGGTACAGCTTGTGGAAGCATTATAAATAAGCTTATATTTCTTTTCCTGCCCAGCGAAGCTTTGCCGTTTAGAAGAGTCATATGGATACCGCAAAAGCTCTATTAAGCCCGGGAAGATTTTTTATTTTGTCAGACCTGTCAGACAAATGTTTTCAAAAAAAACTTTCCTAGCAGCTTGGAAAGTTTAATCAATCAATTATTAGTCATAATCTTCATCAGAATCACTAGGATCAATTGATAACCCTGGGACATCTTCTAAAGAAACTCCGACTGACTTCTAAGGCGCACAAGTAAGTCTTTGCTATATCTCTATGGTCTTTGCATGAGCCATATTAAGAGACCCAATAAACGCGCATGTTTTCTTTGTTTGACATTAAAGACTTAAGAAGGAGGCTTAATAGAGACGCGGGGCTTATTTTAAGTTTTTGTATTACGGAGTTTAAGGTTAAAGTTTTTGTAAAAAGAGCTTTAACGGCAATCGAAAATGTTTGTTTTCCACTTCTCCAACAATTTAGTTACAATTAAGAACTGGAAGAAGATGGATGGCGTGATTTACGTTCGTTTGAACGAACAGATTATTTATGTTTCTAAATAGAACACAAAGATTTAAATGCAAAAATATGTAAGCTTGTTGTGAAAGATGATTTTCAAGCCTATGCAGGAAATATTCATAGAGGGGATAGAACATGCACTTACATGAATGCAAATCTGTCAAGATCATCTATTTCCAAATTGTACCCAGGGACAGTTCGGTCTTTTCCCTAAATGACAAAATCAAAACATAACAAATTCAACGGTCTAATCACAAATTTGTCTAATGAAATTCTCTTCGATGATCACAGACTTCAAGAAGTTGTGAGGATGACATTGTGGCTAGGGTCACCGGCCAAGGGTCTGTGGTTCGAGTCACTGCCATGACCAAACATGTACATAAAGTGATGGCTCAGTCGCTAGATTTGCTGATTTCAGACCGACGGGTCCGTGGTTCGAGTCTCTGACATGACAAAACTTTCCTTCAGAGTGAGGAGAGTCACCAGCTCTCTGTAATTCCAGGCATAGGAATAACGAGGTTTGGTCACATCGAGAGAAAGGACCAGGACACTGCTCGATAAACATAGCTTTTCAGTGCCCTAAAACTACTTTCTGAAGCTAGGTAGCAAACAATACAATACAATAAAGTGGGGAGAGTCACCAGCTCTCTGTAATTCCAGGCATAGGAATCACGAGGTGTGGTCACATTGAAAGGAAGTTCCAGAACACGGCTGGCTAAGCATAGCTTCTCAGTGTCCTAAAACTACCTTCTGAAGCTAGGTAGCAAACAATACAATACAATAAAGTGGGGAGAGTCACCAGCTCTCTGTAATTCCAGGCATAGGAATCACGAGGTGTGGTCACATTGAAAGGAAGTTCCAGAACACGGCTGGCTAAGCATAGCTTCTCAGTGTCCTAAAACTACCTTCTGAAGCTAGGTAGCAAACAATACAATACAATAAAGTGGGGAGAGTCACCAGCTCTCTGTAATTCCAGGCATAGGAATCACGAGGTGTGGTCACATCGAGAGGAAGGACCAGGACAGGGCTGACTAAGCATAGCTTCTCAGTGTCCTAAAACTCCCTTTTGATGCTAGGTAGCAAACAATACAATACAATAAAGTGGGGAGAGTCACAAGCTCTCTGTAATTCAAGGCGTAGGAATCACGAGGTGTGGTCACATCGAGAGGAAGGACCAGAACACTGCTAGACAAGCTTCACAGTGTCCTAAACTTACCTTGGGGAGCTATATCAATAATTAAAACAAACAGCCTTTCATAATATGGCTAGTAAATGTCAAATGACGTCAAAAACCCAAACAAGTAACAACATAAAGCAGCTTTGGTAAAAAGCAAGCTGACGCAATTCACCTCTGTTGTGTTTAATGGTCCGGTTGGCGTGGCATCGTTATGGCCGCTCGGCGAAGATCTATCCAGTCTTGCTCTTGGTGCTGTGGGAGACGGTAGTGGAGAAGATTCCAAATCATCCTCATCTGAAGATTCAACCTTTGCGGGAATCCCCTTATCGCGAAGCTTTCGTTCAGTGTCTGTCAACTTAAATATAATTAATCAATAAGTTCATATTCTGCTTTTCAAACATCTGTAAAGGAGATACCAGAACCGGGTTGGCTCTGGTCGCAATTTATCCCGGAACAGGATATCCCGGAGTATAGCCCGGAATAGGATATTTTGGAACAAATACTACGATTATGTCACTAATTCTATTGTTTTCTACTGCTATAAAAGCAATGGTGCTTTGCTTTTAAGGCCAAACATTTAATCTGCCATTACCATGTACATTTGTGCAAAGTATACAAACTTTTGTTGATGATAAATCAAATGTTGTCTCGAATGGTGTTCATACCTTTGTTGGCAGGGAAGGAATAGATTCTTCTGAATCCAAACTTAAGTTGGTGGGCGATATCGGTGCGTCTGGATCGAAAGCTACATTAACTGATGCCCCAGGCGTATCTGCAATAAAATAATAGTCAATTGTTATGCTGCCTAAATAATATCGCTTGTAAACTAAAAACATTGGCTGCAATTTTTGAGGCGCTGCTTCAGCTAGTAACTTTGTCTTCAGCCTACTTCTTATTGCGATCTATCGTAAATATAATTTTAAATGTGTTTTCCAAAGCAATGCGCAGTTACCGTCTCCACATCAGAAGAAAAATAATTTATAGCAAACTTACTGGCTGTACCCAAAAGAAACTGGATGCAGCCAAAAATAAAATACAGGGGGCTCGGTATTTAATTGCATAATTCATATTAAATGAAATAACAAAGTTACTTCTTCAAAAATAGGAATTAAATTATACATGCTACATACATGCATTATACATGTATTTTTAGATTTTTCAGCTACAAGCTTTTCTTAACAGCGCGCACACTAGTTCTAAAGTCCACTTCACAAGAGGTCTGGCTGGGTCGATGGATTTTTATTAATGCTTTCCCTAGCCACAGCCCTAACCCTAGCTTATGCACTAGCTCTAACCCTAAGTCCTAGCCCAAGCCCTTGTTCTAGCAATAGCTCTAGCCCCAACACTAGCCCTAGCTCCAGTACTAGCCCTAGCTCCAGCCCTAGTCCTAAATCTAGCCCTAACTTTTATCCCACCCAGCCCAAGCTCCAGTCCGTAACCCTAGTCAAAGCTCTAGCCCGAGCCCCAGCCCTAGTCCTAGATCTAGCCCTAACTTTTATCCCACCCAGCCCAAGCTCCAGTCCGTAACCCTAGTCAAAGCTCTAGCCCGAGCCCCAGCCCTAGTCCTAGATCTAGCCCTAACTTTTATCCCACCAAGCCCAAGGTCCAGTCCGTAACCCTAGTCAAAGCACTAGCCCGAGCTCCAGCTCTAGTCCTAGATCTAGCCCTAAATCTAATCCTATCCAGCCCAAGTTCCAGTCCGTAACCCTAGTCAAAGCTCTAGCCCGAGCTCCAGCTCTGGTCCTAGATCTAGCCCTAACTCTAATCCCACCCAGCCCAAGCTCCAGTCCGTAATCCTAGTCAAAGCTCCAGCCCGAGCTCCAGCTCTAGTCCTAGAACTAGCCCTAACTCTAATTCCATCCAGCCCAAGTTCCAGTCCGTACCCTAGTCAAAGCTCTAGCCCGAGTTCCAGCCCTAGTCCTGGATCTAGCCCTAATTCTAATCCCACCCAGCCCAAGCTCCAGTCCGTAATCCTAGTCAAAGCTCTAGTCCAAGTCGTAGCCCTGACACTAACCCAAACTCTAGCTCTCATATTTATCTGCATATTATTGGAGAAGTAAGTGGCACTTGCATTTAATATGGTTTATGTAATAAAACGCCTACGCTAGAAGTTTCTAGGCCAATTCTTGATATATACCTGATATACTTTGCTTATATCCTCCCTGTTTTCCTGACTTAGGCCGAGTTCCACCACGTGTGCCAGGTCTTTTGTTATCATTCGGCTGCATCATTCCTGAAAAAGCAGACGAAAAAAATTATTAAACTGTTCAAAACAGAGCCAATCAATCAAGGACAAACCAAGTCTAAATTTTATACTTCTTGACTATGAAGCTACTGATCGTAAGCGGTTTGCCATTGATCTTCGCTGTGACATTTACATAATAAAGTATCTGTGTCCGTAGGGTGCTTGATAAGAAATGCACCTGTGTATTTACGGGACATGGTGGAGAGGTATGTGCCCTATAGACTCTCAGATCGAGTAACGTGCTGCTGTTAAAGGTTCCTCGTTTCAAGAACAAAACATTAGGTGCTAGAACATTTGCCTATGCTGCAGCTAGTCTTTGGAACAGTCTTCCGTTTGAAATTCATTCTGTTGACAACATTGATCATTTTAAATCGTCTTTAAAGACTCATTTATTTAAATTAGCTTATGATGTTATGTAATAGGTATTAAATTGTAAAGTGTATAGAAAATTGTATTATAGTTATCTACTTTAATCATTATTATTATTAGGGTTTGAAATTGGAAGACTGGGTACTTGAAACCCTTTTGAAGGAGGTGAAGATTTTCCATTGATGAGCAATTCCGTATACAGTCACTTAAAAGATTGAATGATTCCACAAACACAACAGAAAATCTTTGACACAAATGCAAGTATATTGGGTGTGACCGTGGGTATGACCTTGGGTGTGGCTTCCAGAGGTTGCCTTCAACACAGCCCCCTTCTAAATTTTCAGAACAGCACCCCTGTTCAAAGATAGTATTATATTTTAAAGAAAGCATCTAGAAAGATAATCTAAAGACCAGATTATAAGGTGCTACTTCAAAATAAAATAAATTGTCTATTTGAAAGCCGGAAAAAGATGTATAGCACGACATTTTCAATTAAGCTTGTGCTTGTTTAAAAGAACGGTAAGATTTAACAAAAAAAGTCGAAAAAGTGTGGGCCAGGTTAATTTTCGCTATTCTGCCGAGCAAAAAATTAAGTGCAGACACTGAGACTTCCTTCATACTAAAGTTACTTTCTCTCCAAAATCGATTGTCGGTTTAAACCAAATGGGTGGAGATGCATTTAATAATCCGGGTGTGTTCTCAGCCCACTCAAAAAGTGTGGTCAGAAAATCCAGGATCTTGGTATTAGTAATGAGGTTACGGCTCTAATGTAGGTTTATCGAAGCTGCATTTTGCAGTAAGTTGTTTTGCAAATACAGACTTTGTTTTTGTAAATACGAACAAAGCAATGCCAGAATCTGTAACACGGCTTCTCTCTTACATTAAGCTTGATAGAAAGCGTCAATTTTCAAAGATATCATCAAATATTTGACTACAGAGGTAGGCTCGCGCAGTGTGCAACTTAATTGTTAGCAGGTATCTATGGTACAGTTCTACAATTCTCCACCCCCGGGCAACAGAATCATTGCTGTGCAGTGCACTTTGCATATTACTGATTCCATTTAGCTGTCAAATTTATTTCTATGTGGTATCCCAACAGAGTACACAATAAAAATACAAGAGCGTGCATTATACTGTAAATCAGGAGCGGTTGAAAATTTAGTTTCTGCTCTGATGTGATCAAAGCTTAGTACTGATCCCGGGGGATACTCCCTCTAAAGCCTGACAGAGGGGTCTAGTCAAGGTTAAAGAGGACTTCAGCTACAATGTTAAAAATTATTCTCAACGGGTAGTATTTTTTGACAATAGCCCCCAAATGGTAGCAAAAAAACCAAACCATTACATCTGGTAGCATCCATTTCACATCTGGTAGCCTGCTTTTTTTCTGAAGATTTTTTTCGCCATTGACAGTTATTGATTCGAGAAAGATAAAATCTTGTTCATTATTTGAATGAATCGCAATCTCAACTCAGCGTAGGAACTACTTAAAAAACCTCTAAGGGGTAACATTTATCTTAATCGGGCCATTTGGTAGTCATTCGGTAACACCATTAAACAAAAACTGACCCCCTGTCAGGCCTTAATTGGAAATGCCCCCCCCCCCAATTTGATCTTCCTGGGAATCGCGTTTTTCTTAAATCAAACAGATATTTTCTATCTCCATAGGTATTTAACTTCAAACTCCAAGGACAGAAAGACAAAGGCCTCTTTTGCAGACGCAAAACTTTTCTAATGATATATCGACAGTGATTCTGTCGATATTGCAGAAATTTCATGTTTCTTGTTTTCTATGTTTCTTGCGATATTGCAGAAATTTCATTTCTATGGCAATGCAACGTGTTTTAAAAGCTCTCCAAGGACTGATAATTGATTATCTTGCTTGTCATGATAAGTCGATTAAGATAGATTATCATATCAGCTTTCAGCTCTATGTCAGTGCAAAATGCGAGAAGATCGTGCTTCTTTATAAATAGGAGGGTCTTAAGACCCGGCTCGACCTTTTTAAAAATATAATTCAAAAACTTCAGCAAGTTTTCTTTGAGACAGTTATGTTACGGAATAGGATAAAAAATAAAAAAAGGTTTTTTGTCTCACCAGGAAGGTTCCGTTTCTGCCTGAGGATATCATCATTTCGCTTTTTCTGAATTGCAAAAACAATTTAACTTCATTAGCAGTGGCAGATAGGCAAGATAATTATTGAAACTGAGAGGCTAATACAAAATATAAGAAGATCTGGATCACAAAACATTTTGAAGTGATGAAGACCATGAAATAGGCAAAGTAGCAAGTTTGCGATAACAAACAAATTATTCATCCCAAACAAAGTAAAATGTTCTGATCGCAAAAATTCTCGTGGCATGTGCTTTGAGACAGTCAATTGTAGTTTCAACTATATGTACAGAGCCTTTTGCTCCTCAGGGTATCGTTCCCCGTATTGCTTTCCTAATTAACGAAGAATGACAATCCTATGCGAAGTTACGAGGTGGGAAATGAAGTTATCGGCCACTCACAAGTTCGGCTAGCTTCCTCTCTCTGGTTTCAGCACTTGATGCAGTTGCAGGTCGGTAGTCGTCATCTTCGATGATGCTGTAGATGGGAGAAAAGATTATTAATAGCAGAAAAGTTTAAAGGGGTTGGAGGAGACATGTAGCAGGTAGAGCTAATGAGAAGCAGAAGAAGGAAGGGGCAGACATAAGAAAGGACAGAGGCAGGAAGGGACAGAGGTAGAAAGGGGCAGAGGAAGGAAGGGGCAGGGATAGCAAAGGTAGACGAAGGAAGAGACAGGCAGGAAGGGGCATAAGTAGGAAGGGGCAGAGTTAGGACGGGGGAGAGGTAGGAAGGAGCAGACATAGAAAAAGGGAAAGTATGGAAGGGGCAGAGGTAGAAAGGGGCAGAGGAGGTAGGATGGGACACAGGTAGAAAATTTGTGTTCAGGAAAGTGTAGCACTTTTTCAAAAGTTCTCAAGAGGGGACTTTTTCCCCAAAGTTAAACATGGATTGTTGGAGCACTTAAGATTCGAGCACCCTGAACATGGGCTCCGACACAAGTTGGAAAGTGTGGGGCCGAGGCCAAGTTGAACGCCCATAACAAAAGATTTTGAAAAAGCTCTATTGTTTTGCAAAAAAGGAGGCCAAAAAACAAAATATGAATCTGTGATATCATGTTTAGGAGCAGAATGGGATTAAAGATTGTTGGGGTCCTTATGAAAGCAGGGTCCTCCCATGACATCATGTCTTGATATCTTTCAGCATTGAAGTTGTCTTCCACCGATTATTCGAAATGACCAGTATTCTAATGAAATTGCTATTAGCCGCCTGTGCAGAGTGCTTGACGCCATGCAGACAGAACAGCATGTGAAGAACAGAAATTCTCTAATTCGCTAGATCTAGTTGCACGCTCAATGCCATAATCACGCAGCTTCAGCGTTGGAAATCTAATGATCATTGTGCAGCACCAAAGATCAGGGCTTCAACCGTGAATCATAAAGTTTAACGAGCTCCGAAGATGGCTAATTCGAAAGAAAATTACGCGACAGAACTTCGGTAGAACTTTGCTGTGCAGATGCAGCAGCTGATATTGCTCACGTAGAGGCATTACTACACATGGATTTTGCACTTATGCAGCAAACAGGGCCGTCGCTAAGCACCTTCACTTGGGGGGGGGGTTGTGCCAGTCACCAATTTGCCGACAAAATAGGGCGTGGTCTAAGATATATCAATTTCTGGGTGTGGCATTTTGACGCAAATTATTTTGTTTATTTATGTTCTCGTTAGTCAATCATCGCTTCGATTATCGAGTAACTGAGAGTACTTTCTTTGATTTTATAGAAGTCCAGTTTTGAGCAATGAGATATTCAGAGATACTCAAGTTATGAGCAATGAGACCCTTATTAATTCAAATAGTTCAGCACGTTGATCTTACTGACAGGACCGCCGAGAGGCTTCAGAGGCCTTGCAGCAAAACTGAAAGACGAGGCCCCTTGCGGGCGGAGCGAGCAGAAATATTTTTGCGACCTCGCCTTTTAGATTGTCTTAAAATGCATTTCAGAGTATTTCTTGCAGTCATCTCTTGCAATCAATTAAGAGGCATTGAGTCATGGTAAATAGGCCTTCTCTATAGGGGGTCATTTGGTTTCGGCGTGATCGCTGCTATTTCATGTGATATTTGCATCCGCTGTTGACAACTTGCTATTGATGGAAATTGTTTTGTCAATCAGTACAAGGTGAGTTCATGTGACCAGTTCCAGGTCAACCAATAGCATCGCAGTCATGAAAATCATGACTCAGCGGATTTTGCACTTAGGGTATACCCAATTCATTATATCATGACTCAATGCCTTTAAATATTTGCTTATGGACTGGGGCATTTTTTTCATGAATGGATGTTAATTACCAACAAGGAAACACCACTCAATAAATAAAAAACAATTAAAAAAACACGCTGGATAGGTGGATATGACATGACACCTCGAATGCAATGTTTGCTCACGAACGGCAATATTCCCGGACATCTCACAGGATTTTCCGATGGTATACCAGATTTGCCGACGGTAGACCAGATTTGCCGACGGTAGACCAGGATTGCCGACGGTAGACCAGGATTGCCGACGGTAGACCTTTATGTTTCTGAAGAGATCTTCTCTGAAGAAAATGGCGGCAACCTTCAAAGTTTGAGCAGGGTTTAAAGTCAAAGAGATATCGTGTAGAATTCCCCATCTAGGATCAGGATATCTGCGGTCAAAGAAATCTAAAGAGGCAAAAATATTTAGGTTTCAATGCAAACACAGTACTAAACATCTCATTTTCTCAAATGTTTGATTTGAACATTTTGCTTAACAAATTCATTGATTATGAATTAAACGACCGTTCGAAACAAATACTGGCAAGGTTATGATTCCTTGTCCCTGGCGGGATTTGTGGAAGCAAATGATGTGAAATAGAATTGCTATGGCAAAACTTGAGGTACACCAAAAGCAACTTGGTCACTGATAGTGGAAATTCATTTCGAGATGACATGTACAATCCAGCCAATCGAGAGGGGGGCTGGGGGTAATTGCCCCTGGGCCCGTAAGGAAAGAGGGGCCTGCTGGTCTCTTTTCAAAATACGAGTCTTAATAACATGGTATTTATAAAACATATCTGTACTGGGAAAGTTTAAAAATGCTTTATGAATATAAATTAAAAGCAAATACAAAAGTTCTAAGCAACTTAAATCAATATTCAATCCATATTTTAGGTAAATTGCTTTGGGAAAGAAGGGACCCAGGCATTGGACCTGCCTCTGGGCACGCGGAGAGGCAGTTGGTGGCCCTGTGTACAATATGTAAACATCAACAACCACTTAAAAAACAATGATCAATAAACAAATGACACAATAGTCAACGTAAACAATAATGACAAAATCAGGCACCAACTAGCAAAACAGCAAGCCATATAACGTGACCTTTCCCGTAACGATAGTTCATTTATCAACTGCTGATGACTAGAAAACAGCTTTGTGATGAACATCGAAGAAAGAAGCAGAGAAACTTGAAATAGACTTTGTTGATACGGTTCTGTTTTCAAGCGAAAGGATGCGATTACCTTAACAGAGGTATATCCATAAGGAAGTCGGCAACAGCAGCAAAGGTGGTGGTAATGAACAAAAAAGCCACATCTAAGATATAGAAGATACAGCAACTGC